ATAATATCACAAAATCAATTAGCCGTTTCGCAGGCATCTATCCAATCATTATAAACGTCTATAGGATCGAGAGCACGTTTATAGTCGTTTGGTAATCCTCCATGCAAACTCTGCACGATATTCTCGCCGTATTTCTTCCCTTGTCCCTAAAAAAAACGTAATTATTATTGATATTAATTCGCACATTTACAATCCAACAAACTAACATTTTCACTTCACAAGACTGCTCGTGATTGCAGAACGGACAATTAAATTCCTGATCGAGTGGTTCGATGGCCTTCTTCCTTGTCGGTGCTTGTCTTTTCGATTTTCTGCGACCCATATTTTATCAAAGTCTTCCAAAATAATAACAAATACTTATATGTAAACTTTTATTTAGTATTCTAAGATCAATGATTAGAACGTAAATAAAAATTCAGAGCGCAAGCATTAATTTTTGTTTGTTGCAATTACAATTCACAGCTAATTCGAAATGCCAATGGTAAAATGATTTTTGCAACTTTCACCTGGTCAGAATAACTTCTGCTTGTCTACAAATCGTACAGTTTGCTCTTGATTCTTCTTGCGATTACCAACTTCTACTAACTACCTGTACCAAAAACTAACCAGTTGCTTGGGGTGCTACTGTTGGTGGGGCGCATCGATTAAGAGCGCTCCTTATGTTCAATGTCCGAACTAGAGGGTCATAAATTTCACTAAATTTCCCGAAAATCCTCATTACTAAATAGAAAGTTTAACTATTACTATACTATATAATATTTTATTACCTTTGCACGATGGTTGAAAAAATTGAAACAGCTCATAACCTATTTAGTTTACGTACATAGTATGTATTTTTTCCTTAATTTTCACCTTAAAAGTTTTTTAACTGTTATTTTTATTTCCCGATATTCCCGGGAACTCAACTAAACTAGAATATCTGGAACTAGGTTGCCGAAAACAGTTTTTGTTAAGAAATGTATATAATTCAAAAACCGTTTTTTTAACCGGTGGACTTAAAATCTAAAATTGACATAAAATCGTCTATAACATAAAACGGGAAACAGCATAAGCTGTCGCGATTTTGATACTGCCGGGATTTCGAAATATACCCCAATTTTTATTTCTTCAATTAAACTTCTCCAAAAAGGAGCGTCAATTCTTCAGTAGCAAGAAAGTCATTTAGATAAATGACTGTTATTTGTTCATCAGCCAGTTCTGCACGAGTCTTGATAGAGAACGGACGTGTGTTTTATACTTATTCTTGGGGGTGGTGATGGAGATGGAAATAGAGATAGAGAGCTCGGACGGTTCGTCCTGCTGTTCCGAGCCCACGGGGGGCGTGTGGGAGCAGGGCAAGCGAAAGCGCGGCAGGCCGAAAAACAAAAACTTCGAAAATAAAAAACCATCACAAAAAAGTTCTCAAATCCTACGACGATGATACTTTTAAAACTCCAACGAAAATTACAAAAACTACATCTGCTCAGCCTTCGACTTCACAAACCACTAGAAATACCTAATACCTACGTGGTAAAAACCGCAACAAATATGACCAGGATCCAATGCTCTTCGCCATTGCCGCCGAGGTGTGCGGCATGCAATTCGGAAGACCATGCGGCTTGGTCCATGAAGTGTCCAAAGAGACCCACACAACCTATTCCTGGTATCCCAAATGCTAAAATCAAACCCACAAATAAGAAAATAGCAGAAATCCTCGAAGCCATCTCCAAGGATAGCAGGATCCACGGTGCGTTAACAATCCATGACTATATAATTAATACCTTTACGAACAAACTCAATAACCCTAAACATTCGGACCGTGCTTCACTAGTTCAAAAGCTAAAAAAACGATTTGTAAATGACTTCCACGTGGACACCCACGTGTGGTTCTCGGGAAACTATGTGTACATTTTTATGTTCGACCAGGACAATCCAGGTTATGAGTCGCCCACATTATCTACGCAGGGCACCTCCAAATCAATTCCCTTGAATGGATAGCAGCCTCCGTGTCTTATATTCCAACATAAATTCCTTTCATCCTAAATCCCACCTTATTAAATCCTATACAATTAAAAATAACATTTCCGGTTCCCTGTTTGTTGAAACCAAATCCCGTGTGCTTCCTTCCTTCAGAGATTGGCCTTCCCTACACTTTCCTTCTTCCATCCTCAACAACAATATCCGCGATGATTCTTTCGCTCTCGTTCATTCGTCATTCAAGCTGGGCAAAGCAAATCCCCCAGTCATAAATAATCCTGCCAACAATTTTACTATTCCCTTTCACAACTCCAAGATGCAGATATTCCTTGTTTACAGCCACCCCAACTCCAGCATTGATCACTCCATATTCCTCAAAGCCTCCCTTTTCGATCACGTCCTTATTGTTGGCGATTTCAACCTAAACAAGTCCAAGTCCCGACACCTCTCCCATTTCCTAGCTAATTCTAACTTCGTTCGTGTCCCTACCCCTCCAACATCAAGAACCTTGATGTTGTTCCTGATCTTTGTTCCGATCACCTGGCAATCCAATTTGACATCGATCTTCTGACTCCCCCTCTAAATAAATGTGATATGTCTATTGTTAACTCCAGTCTTCTCTCCTTCATTTCCCAAAATCCGGACCCTTCTCCAGAAATCATCTCCAAATTCCATTTACTTATGTCCTCCACGGTTATTCAGAACTCCCCCAAAATCAAAATAACACCTTACAACTACTCCCTTCCACCCTTCATCCTTCGATTATTAAAAAAGAAACGACAACTCTATAGACAAATAAAACAAACTGATGACAAAAATTTAAAAATTATTTTCAATGAACTAAATAAATCCATTCAAAAATTAGTTCAAGATTTTAAACAAGAAAAGTGGTTAAATGCTTGCTCCATAAGCGAAGAGTCGAGGGGTAAAAAGTATTGGGGGCAAATAAAAAACTTTCTAAATACAAAAATATCCAGTCATTATACCAATTAACTGACCCCAATACAAACATCACTCACTCAGAAGATGACAGCATTTGCAATGTCTTTGCGCAACATTTAAAAAAACAATTTGATTTTGACGAGGACACTACATTTTACCATAATAATCTTGTCCATATTATTGATTGGTACCAATCTTTTTTTTTCAATAACTTTGATGTCCCTCCTGAGTTCCTTATACAAGACCACGAATTCCTCGACATCCTGTCATCTTCTAAGAACTCTGCCCTCTGGTTATGACCATGTTACTAGGAAAATTTTAAAACTCCTTGATCCAGATGTCCACTACTTTATAGTTAAAATCTTTAACTTCTGTCTCGTCCGTCAATATATCCCTTGCAAGTGGAAGTCCGGTATAATTGTTTGTATCCCCTAAAGTGATAGTGACCTTTCTCTCCCTTTCGGTTACCGTCCAATAACACTCCTCCCCGTTATCGGCAAATCCTTCGAATCGGGATCTGTCTGGCATCGGGATCTTCTATAAACTTTTCCTTCTAAATCTCCCCCTTACCTCATCAGCATCATCAAAAACCTCCTAAATAATCGTTCCCTTCCCCCTCTGTCTCCTCTGTTATATAAGCTTTTTTGTTGTGATATGTATATATATATTTTATGTTAGAATTTATTTATGTATAGAATGTACTCTTTTTTCTTATATATTGTTGTTTGGCCAATAAATTATTATTTTTTAAATATAAATGAATTTTATTTAAAAAAAATATACTACTTTTTTTCATATACAATTAATAAAATTAATATTTAAACGAAATGTTACAAATTTTAAATAAAATAACTTATACAGAAACTACCAAAACTACCAAATTGTAACACGATTAAATCTTGTGCAATAGAATTATTGTATTCCTTCAATCTTCCTACAATTGATTAAATATAATAATTGAAGAATTTTTTTATTACAAAAACAATATAATTTAGGTTACCTTATATATCACAATATATTAATTAATGTCATCCAGATGTTGAATTGAAATAATATGTTTTAAAGTTTTTAAAATATGTTAATTTATTGTCAAATCTAACACAACATTTAATAGGATAAGTAGCGTATAAGTAGCGTATGAAAACCCTCCATTCTGACATATGCGTTAATATATTGATTGGGATTTTTTTTGTGGATTGTGGAAATATTTATACTTTTAAAAAGAAATTTTCTGTCATTAATCGAAGCTATACAAACTTTAAGTTCAAAAAGTGTTTGCAAGTAACGATACCAAATAGCAAATTTATGCTTTACTTTTGTAAATAAAATGGATAAATGGATGGACAATGTAAATAAAATGGATATTCTAAGCGACCGCATTTAATAATGTGAACAAGGATAGTTTACATTTAGCTGAAAAATCAGAAAATCAAATGATTCTATAAACGAATTGAATAAATTATTGAAAAATATATCTATAAAAATGTATGCAAGTTATTAAATTTGTATGCACTTTGTATTTAATATATTTCGAAATACTCTGAAATAATTCAAATTATTTTTTTTTATATGTTGAAATGTCATATGAAGAATAAACGTTATAACTCTTGTTATTATAATTGTTATAATTATTAAAATTACGTAATTTTTTTATGTCAAATGTTACGAAGTAGATTGCAACTTCGTATGCAAAAAAAAATATATTAAGAAATTTAAATAGGATTTGAGTTATATAAAAAACGTTACATGTTCAAAACTTGTAATTAAGTATCTTTTATTTGTCAAATGATAGGAAATAGATTGTCGCTTCGTATGCAAAAAGAAAATATTAAAAAAGTTAAATATTCCTCGATAATGTCAATTATTATATTCTTTTTAAATTTTAAAACAAACTAATTTATAATAATAAAGAAAAACGTCTTTATTGCATTATTATTATTATTGCTGTTAAATAATACATTCTTCTCATGTGTTTTAGCCGGTGGCAATCGCAAGCCCGACAACCGAAATCCCGACGTTCGAAATCCCGACTGTATCAAAATCTCCTCACTATCATTACTCTGGTGCGAGTTAAGTTGCATACTTCTAGTATAAGAGAAGGTTAGTGGCAGTTAGAGGAAAAAGAAAGTTGAATTAAGCACGTTGCTTAAAGGAACACAAAATCAAATTGTTGCTGGTTGTGAGTTTTTTAAATATAATTATTTAAAAAGTAATAATTTGCAAAAAGTAAGAGACCCAATTATTACTACCTATGCGCATGATTAACGGATTTACTCGCCTGTATCACCGCATGAGATCTATAATTTGTTTTCTTGTATCAGCTGTGTACGATTTGAAATCAAAACTTAAATTTTTGAGGTATGTTTATTTATTCTTTGATTATGGAAATGGTAGTAATCTATTTTATAACATTATTAATAATAATATTTATAGCTGAGAAACACAAAAGACAATAGGTTTCCTATTGAATAACTGAATAATGGATGGTGAATTGTTTCTAACTATGATTGTGAAGACTGAGTAAATTAAGTTTTGTATTGTAGATGTTGCTGAGAAAATTGAGTTGATTGACATTCAATTGGCAAAGGCAATCAGCAAAAGAGGAGAATTAAATAGACTTATAGCCAGGTTAAAGCAGGAAAAGGATGAATTGCAATCCAACTACAATTTGAAGAAAAGTTTGGACATTGATGATAACTGGACTAAAACGAATTTCCCCTGGTCAAAGGAGCTGCAGAACAATTTGGAAAAAACATTTCATTTAAAGTCATTCAGAAGTCAACAGATATGTGCAATAAATGCAACACTATCGAACAAAGATGTTCTGCTGCTGATGCCCACTGGTGGTGGAAAGACATTATGCTACCAATTGCCAGCATTGATTGGCAAAGGCATGACCCTGGTTATATCACCTCTGCTAGCCCTCATGGAAGATCAGTTGATCAAATTAAAGAAATTGGGTATAAACTCTATTTCCATGTCATCTGGAACTCCCAAGGAGATTAAGAATCAAGGTTTCCAGTACCTATCAAAAGGGGTTGGTAACCCAATAAAATTCATGTATGTCACTCCTGAATGGCTGGCGAAAAGTAAAAAGTTCATGTCCGGTTTGCAAAAGTTGCATGAGGCTAAAAAATTGGATAGGATAGCTATAGGTAAGATTGCTTCATATTGAATATAGTTTATTTTTAATTAATTAATGTATTTTGTGCAGATGAGGTCCATTGTTGTTCTCAATGGGGTCACGACTTTCGCCCTGATTACAAATACCTCGGTTTGCTGAAAGGTATGTTCAGCGATGTTCCTATTATTGGATTAACCGCGACTGCCACGACTTCGGTGCTATTAGATATACAGAATATGCTGGATATTCCTGGTTGCGCTATAATTCGCGCTCCATTCGATAGACCAAATTTAAAATTTAAGGTAGGTGAAAATATGTCATTACTTATGTTATTTAAAAAAATATATATATCACATTTAGGTCGTTGCTAAACCGGACAAATCTGAAGAATGTTTGAGCTTGCTGGAGAAGCTGCTAACTAAAAAGTATAAAGATGAATGCGGGATTATATACACAGCAACGATCAAGGATTGCGAGGAAGTAACAAAGGGTCTGATGGCGAGGGGTTTGAAGGTGAAGCATTACCATGCTGAGCTGCCGGATGAGAGGAGAACGAAGACACATAACAGTTGGTTGAAGGATGACGTTCGGGTTATTGTTGCAACGGTGGCATTCGGTATGGGCATTGATAAGGCTGACGTGAGATTCGTCGTACATTATTCCGTACCTAAGAGTATGGAAACGCTGTATCAGGAAAGCGGACGTGCTGGAAGGGACGGAAAGAACGCCGAATGCGTGGTGATGTTCAAGCTCTCTGATTACCTGAAGAACTCTGGTTACGCCAGGTCGAAGACTGAGATTAAGAACGCCCTCTCGGTATTAGAATATTGCCTGGATAAACGCAATTGTAGGCATTACTTAATAGGTCTGCACTTTGAGGAATCGAAAATCAAATCCTGCAACACGATGTGCGATAACTGTGATAACAAGTCCACTCTAGAAACGTACGATATTAAAGAAGCCTGCAGCGATGTGTACCAGATCTTGGAGCACGCCGCCATCGCCGAGAATAATTTGACTGCGAACAAGTTGATCGATCTCTGGATGAAACCTAAAATCAAGATAAAGAAGCCGAATATTAGCAAGGAGGAAGCGGAATATCTTGTCGGGCACTTAATACTGAAGGGATGCTTGAGGGAAGAGAAAAGTTACACGCCTTACTCGGTGAATTGTTACCTGAGGAAGAGTCACTCCACGTCGCAAATTGAAGTTGTCCTAAATGCAAGCGCATCTCTTGACAATTACCTCAAGCGAAAGCGGAAAGTCATCGAGATCGATGACTCTGAAGATGAGACCAATTCCAAATCGAAGTCGAAGAAAAGCAAATAATTATAATTATTTTGTTTGAAATTTAAGATCTGCACTTGTTTTAAAGACATTGTATTATGTAATCTAATATTTATTCTTCTTGTGTCAAACTGACGCCATTTCTGGAAAGTAACTAGTCGTTATTTCTGTAGCTCTGATGACAAGTTAATATTTCTTATCGTTTTTTTTTGTTATTTTGTTCTTTGTAAATAGATGTACATAATTACATTAAAATGAACAATTCTTATGAATATTAAGTTTCTTTGAAATTACACATAAATCCTAATGCAAGAAAATTAAATTATTTTCCACATGTATGTCAATTTTATGACATCTGAAACAAATGATAATTTTGTGAATAAATAATTTAACCAACACAAATATCAAGTAAAATTATTTTGATCAAGTACAAAATAATAACTTAATTATTAAAATTGTCTACAACTAAATTAATAAAAACTTTTAGTACTTTCTGAAATTTACGAACATCTGTAAACGTTATAATTGGGTATAAAATCACTTCGACAAATATTTATAATAGTCAATATTTTTTTTATTATGTATATATATAAGATGTACATATTTACATTAAAATGAAGAATTGTAATAATTATTACGGTCGTTTCTTTCACATTACACACGTATATCCTGTTTCATAAGTATGACAGAGAAGTAGAAACAAACTTAAAAAATAAACAAACAGAAAGTAATAAGAAACAAAAAAATATTTAGGATACGGTGTTTTACTTTAAACAAGCAGCAGCTGCACAATCGATTCGATTTAATTAATATTTTTTTGTATGCATGCTTCCGTCGTTGCACACGCGCATCATTTTCAAGCTACAAATGTCGTATTTACTTGCATCACTATTTCAAAACAACAGAAAATAATAATATAGTAAAAAATAATGATAAAAATATATAATAAAGAATCAACTTAATTACTAAAAACTGAAAATAATAATGTTATTTACAGAACAAGAAGTTGTATTTGGGAGAAAAAATGTGTAGAGTTAAATAATTTCCTTCAAAAGAATACAATTAAAATATATATATATATGTGCATATATATATTTTGTTTAATCACAGTGGGGGCCATATGTTCTCCTTTAAATACATATATATATATGTATGCATGCATGGGATTGTTTCTATTATAAAAATAAAATAAAATTAGCATTGTCCTTTCATCATCGTTCACAGGTGACACTATTTGTGTGTGTGTGTATGTTACAAAAGAATCTTCTGTTTTAATCACTAAATTTTGGCAAAATTTAAACAATGAAATATAAGTAAATAAATGCAAAATAATAAGTTAATATAAATTAAATAATATTTATCTTATATAAATATATATATACATATATGTATGTGTTGATGGGCAGAAGAAAAATAAAAAGAATTAAATGAATACCCTGTGTTCTTTTCTGTTCATCTTCTGTAGTTTGCTCGCAATTGGGTATAATTAAACTGTCATCTCCACAAACATATGTATATCTATAAGTATATAAATAAACTGATGGTGATTTGTTTGTTCCGGAGAAGATCAAAAATCATCCGCGTTAAACATGAATGCAACGCTTCCACATCAATTATAAAAAGTCAATTGTTGCAGCGCGTTTCGCGCGCCTTTTACCTTTTACACGCTCTCCGCAAAAGAGAATGTCCTATGTACAGATCTCGTGTTGTATGTACAGTTGAAGCCGGCTTCTAGAAACTACAAGAAACGTCACACAATATCACTGGGCTTCGATTGGTGGTTATCGTCGCGCTCTTTGAAGAAGCCCTTCTCCGTTTTGCACTCACGTATGGTGACGGTCTTCAGATTAACAGTCACGTCCGTTATGAAGACTTGATCGGCAACGGGGTTTCGGGCGAGCCAGTAGTCGGAACCGGGACTCGTAAGCGCGACCGGAGGTGGATGTGACACCTCCTCCGCCTCCGTCTTGTGGATGTTATTATTATGACCGTTCACAGTGACGTGCTTATTGTTGAGAACGGCTTCGGGGTGGGACTGTTGATGCTGCTGCTGGTTCTGCGGTCGAAGAACAGGCGGGGCTGGGGTGGACGTAGGCGCGGGTGCAGTGGAGATTGCCTGCGAAGCTGCTGCCGCCGACTGGTTATCGTCAGTACGTGACGCAACCGGCTTTGGGGATGCAGGTTCCAAGGTGGAGGTGTGTGGTAGAGCAGGATCTATTTGGCTGGGTCTTTTATCAGCGCTCCTTGGCGCCGTTGCCGTGAGGACGGCAGCGCTCGATGCCGACGGTATACCGGAGGAGGCTTCATCCTCTTTCTTGCCGTTCGTGCGGGCGCTGCTTGGCAACGACAGAGGCTTCGTTTTTTGTACTTTCGCAGGTGGTGGACTCGGACTTGTAGGACTGCTCGTCGTGATCGTCACTCCGATCTTGCCCGACTCCTTCGACAACACCTCTGCTTTTCGTTTTGTGCCCACGGGATCTTCGGATATGAGTCTGCTAAGGATTGGTCTGTCCTCGCTGCTCGAACTGCTGGTATTCTCGATGTCGATGGCTGTCGCTGGAGTCAACGTCGGTGGACTCGTCTCTTCCTCCGCGGACGCCCGCGTCTCGTCATCCTCGATGGGTGCTGCGTCCAATTTTGGTATTGACTTCACGCTCGAGCTCTCGTCCTGGCTCTCCTCTTCGCTGTTCCTCAACTCTTCTTCGGCACCGATGGCCTGGATTCTGTCGAGCGTCTTACCGGCATTCTTCTTCGGACCTCGTTTACCAGGTGTATTTTCTTTATGCAGCGACCGTTCGTACAGATCAATCAAACGAGAATCCAGAATATTCACTTCTGGTTCCCACGTGTTGTGCCTGTTGCTCCAACCTTTCCATTTTACGTAATACTCCACTATTCCCTATAAAGAAACAAATAACAAATATAATAAACCATTTACAAATAGTCACAATATTATAAAATAATAATATGATGTAATGCAGAATAGTAGAGTCTAATAAATAACGTAGATCACATAGTACATTTTATGTAATACACCACTATTCCCTATAAAGAAACAAATAACAAATATAATAAATCATTTACAAAGTAGACACAATATTATAAAATAATAATATGATGTAATGCAGAATAGTAGAGTCTAATAAATATAAGGGCAGAAAGACCTAAAGTCTATACTCCTTTGTAGGAGTTGATGTTTTTTCTTCGATTATTTTTTATGCGACTGTTACAACAAACATTATTACAATATTATATTGAATTAAAACATTTTTTACTTAAGATGTAGTAATAAAACTTAGATAAGTCTTCATAGAAGAGTATAAAACTATTATTTAAAAAAGTCAACAGTTCATTAATTCATCTTGTATTTATAAAAATCCAAGTGAAATTTTGATTACAAGTGACCCAAACAAAAATAATTTTCTTACAATGATCAACTTTAGAAAGAAATTGAAATACATTTTTGTGGAGGTATGAAAAATGTTAACTCTTCGTCCCAAATTATATAATAATTACCACATTTTGATAGAAATAATAAGACTTACTATCGAGAATTCACTGTATTGTCTGTATTTTTACAAATACTATAGTTTACTAGTAAATAAATAATAATATAATTATGTAAATCATTTTGTTAGATAATATTTCAACTAATCCTGAATGTTTTAAATGTTAAAATCTAAACGTACAAAAAATTATAATTGAAATACTGAAATCTGTCAAATAAATTAGTAAAAGAAAGCTGTAAACTATCCCCCGCAATTAATTTTTCACAAACATCATATATAATAAGTAATTGTCCAAAATTTTATTAATTGCAGGTAATATGTATTGCAATAGTTACACGATTATTTTAGTAAACAAAATCAGCATATGTATTGAGCTAAATGGTCTGTCTGCAACTATTTTAATTTATTTAAAAACAGAAGGCTGTGAAAATAATAATAACAGTAAAGCTTTCAGATTAAACAACTGAAAACTACATGTATTAATTCAAGCAACAACTGTTTGTTTTCAATAGAAATGTTTTAAAAGTAGTGCACAAAATACAGAAAAGTTTCAGAAATTGCTGAAGTTGTTACACAATTGTTGCTCTTCAGATTTGTCAGTTTAAACAACAGTAGGTATTAATTGAGTGCATGTATCAAGTAACAACTTATTGTTTTAGAAAAATGTATTTGGCTGCAGTTTGAAATGTAGTATGAACGATTGGCAGACAGGTTATGTTGTGCAAGGGATTTAGTTGATGGATGAGGTTATCTGAAGGAAGCGTCCAGACGGATATTCTTGATGCACAATTGTATATATGGAAATTGGTAGATGCAAAGTAACTGATGGAAAACATACCTTTCTGATCCGTTTCTTGATGATCTTCTCGGCGGCATAAACATGATCACCTAACTCCATTGTTGTTGTTGTCCCGTGCCCGTGTATGTATGTATGTGTTTTGGTTCTCGCTGTCGTCTCTACTCTTCTTCGGCAGGCAACTGTTTAAAATGGGAATCAATTCGCAACGGAGCCACCTATGCAAATAGGAGGTGCATTAAGTGATGATCTCCACGCACTTTTCGCACACATATTTCTCGCGCTTCCAGCTCATTAAAACTCAACAAAAACTGGCGCTATATGCACTGGCCTTCATATTTAATTCTTCACCTCGCAGCTCTTTTCCCCACTTTCACCAGTGTTGCCAAATTTTATACAAACCATAACCAACTCTACCATCCGCTACATTATCAACTATAACAACAACGAAACCCAAGTTATTTTAAACACAACATGAATGAAACATTTCTCAATAACAATTTAGTAAAATACAACGTATATTTATTTCGAACCATCTGGCAACAGAACAAAACTGTTAAATTGTATATAAAGTTGCCTACAAATACTGAAGCGCAAATAATAAAACGTAAACTCATACTAAATAAACTTTAATTAACAAATTGCTTAATTTGTTGAACAATATTCATGAATTTACTGCCCTTGAACAGGACGACCTTTCTGTAGGGAATCATTTCAACATCGTCCTCCTTCCATTTTCCAGCAACCGAAGTATCCGACTCGTTCTCCACGCTGAACTCGAATTGAATACTGGCCTCGTTTACGAATATTTCTTCTTCGGCGTTTGCATAAACGAAATCATCTGAAATCGCGCATTATTAAAAAAACGAACTTTATTGTAATTGCAAAAAAAATAGTACCGCCTCCTCCCTTCGGTTTATGCATCTTGCACACCACCAAGAAATAGTCAAAATCGTAAGAATCATCCTTCCTCTTATACCGATCCAATTCTGCCATTAACGAAGTAAGCAAAGGATCCGATATCTTGGGAGGAATATTCAAGAACCTCTCGTTCACGAGAAAACCGACCTTCGAGTTAGCCATAATTTCCTTAACTTGATCCTGCGTATTTTTATCAGAATGCTGCATTGCCTGACTAATAACCACAGTATTCATTTGTTTTACACAAGTTGATTCCTATAAATATACAATTATTATATGCAAATTACATTTAAAAAGAAAAATATACCTTGTGTTTATACATATTTATAATTGATGTGATACCAAACACCTCTAAAGCGCCTCCATTCATTTCATCATCCTCATCGTCTTCATCATCATCACAGAAGCTTTGCTTCAAAACGCTCCCGATACCAGCTTGAGCAATGAGCATATCACTCATCTGAGATAAATCAATGTGTGCTTTTAGGAACAACTGCTGCAGCAACTTCTTAATACCATGGAAATCTTCTCCTTCTGGATTCCTTCCCTCAAAATCAGCCTGGATTTCCTATCAGAAAGAAATTAATTTGTAACAAAATCAAATTAATATATAAAAGTATATATTACTTGTTGTCCAGTGTATTCCTCTGATCCACTGTCGTCATCAGATGAGGCAACATTCTCGTCGTTCTCCTGGAGTGCCTTTTTCTTTGGTGGTCCTGCCATTGTCGCAATTAAATCAGATTGAATCCCGATGCAATAAACCACATGTGATGAAAACACTGTTTCTTATAGGTTATGCGCATCGCACAACTAATAAACATTGAGTGTACGCAACCAATAACACCGCAATTTTAAATTTAAACTTTCCTAACATTTTCAAATAATATTTATTTCTACTCTTAGAATTTAAACAGCTTGAAAATAAGTTAAATTTATTTTGTAATTTATAACTGAACTACATAAATATCGATTATTTTTTATAGTGCAACATCGAGCATGTCTTAAAGTCGTAATTACTGTTACTTAAATTGTGCGTTCTTTTTATGGCCAGGATTTGCATACACTCTTGAATCATTGACATACTTTGCAAGACGTTTTACTAGACAGATTAAAACCACATAACGGTTTTTACTAAGTTCGATGAGCGGTTGATGGTTTATAAATCAAGTATTGAGCCCATTATCGTTTGCTAACAATTGAAACTCGGATGAAACTTGATAGCAAAAATTAACTTTACACTGCATTTATTTAACTTTTATAACTCCTGTTTGATAATGTATAAACTTTGCAAAATTTAATTGCCTAAAATTTGTGCACCAATTTAAATACTAAATCAATTTTATTCCAAAAAATAATTACGATTTGAACATAAAGTAACTATTATAGAATTAGTTGAAATGAAAATCAATAAATCAACTTTTGGCCATCTTTCCAATCGAATTGCTATGAGTAAGAGCGAGGGAATAGCAACATCTTCCGGTCGACCAATCAATATTTGTTTCTACATTTTTGTCCGTCCGTAACATCTAATTACATATTCACAACAAAGCGAGCGACAGAAGTGGAGGAGGAGCAGTTACCGTTTTAAAAATAAATGAAGAATTCAGGCAACGCTACAAATCGCAATCGGTAGTCGTTCTGATTGGAGCGGATGAAGAGAGATGTGGACTCCAGGATTTTATTTTACCTGTTGCATTGGTGAGGAGGATATATGGATGGACACATAATAAAGGTTTGAATTTAATTGATATTTGTTAATTTAGTGGTGCTTTGCGGAGCGCAGTTTGCCCATTTGCCAAAGCCGGGAGCTATCATCAAAGATGAACTTCTGCTGCACAACGCATCCATAGCAAATAGGACTAATAGGGATTGTCCTTGGAGGCCAGCCGATGCAAGAGCTGTATGTCCGGATGCTGATATTTCGTTCATATTGTACAATGCGGAAGGAAAGAAGCAGACCGTGGATCCGAAGCAAAGCGATTGGTTAAGACAAACTGGTTATTACGATTCCAATAAGGAGGATATCCTTTTGATACACGGTTACGCAGGTGGTGATGACACCCTTCCAATTGTCGTTTTAAGGGATGGTAACTATAAGCAATACTCGTCGTTAGTAAGTTTATTTAAAACGTGTGTTTACAGCGTACATTAAGAATGGTAGTTACAACGTGTGGATGGTGGATTGGGGTGCTTTGAGCCAACCCCCTTGCTATCCAGCGGCTGTACATAATATTAAAGCGGTAGCCCGATGCACGGGAAGTCTTCTGATGTCTTTGCGAAGCGCCGGTATGCGCACCGATAAATTAACATGCGTGGGACATTCTCTTGGTGGGTAGAGCGGAGGCCGGAAATCGGTACCGTTGTAAGCGTTATAATTGACCTGCGAATGCCCTTTCAGGTGCTCACACGTGCGGACTGATCGCAAAGAACGTTCAGTTCCGGTTGCACAGGATCGTAGGCCTGGATCCGGCCAGACCGTTGATTCCTGCAGGCAGCAGGTTGAATAGTGGACACGCAAACGCCGTCCATGTCATCCACACGAATGCTGGTCATTACGGAGAAGCCGGAAGATCGGGTCACGCTGATTTCTGCATAAACGGAGGGCGCGTACAACCGTTCTGCGAGAACGTCGGATGTGAGTCAGGATATCCTATTTCCTAATGCATCTACTGATTTTTACTTTTGTTGTTTTACTCCGCAGTCGATGAACAGCTTTGTAGTCACGTGTGGTCCATCTGCTACATGGCCGAAAGTCTGCATCCGGAGCTGGCGAGGAAAGCTGAGCCCTGCTCTAGGCGCTGTCCGACGGGACCAAGACCCGGACATCGGATAGGAATACCGGCGCTTTTAGGGCAAAACACACCGTTGACGTAAGGATAATTATATTTTTCATTCTCTCAAAATTGCATTCATTAATTACCCCAGCACTTCCGGTTCATATTGCGTTTACACCGATGAACAACCGTATTGTCCGAAGACACCGGAAGGACCAGGAGATCCGAGATGCTGCCTGGTTCGCGTTCCACCAGACGGAACAACTTCGAACTAACTCAGTCGTCGTTTATTATTTATTTATATTATACTTATTTAAAATAGACTTAAACTTCAAATTAGTGCGAAATATATATTTATTGAACCAACTATTTGCAATATTTTTTTTGTTACCGATAAAAACAAAAATGTCAACAAGAACATTGAACTTGTTGGACTTTGTCTTTAGACTTTGTGTGTTCCACTTTGTTGATTATTACTTCTGAGATTCGATTACGGATCCCACATTTTCAACTTTCTTTAATTTTATGTTTCTTCAGAAAAAAAAAACACTTATAAACTTGATTAGTATAACATAGGCCAAAGAAAACCGAAATTCGAACTGATAAAAAGATCATTGGCAATACAACAGATTAATGGTACTTCAAAGATCTAAATATTGTCATATTAATACAGACAGATTCCCGTGGGCCACAGAAATTGCATACAAGGCCGCATGCGGCCCGCGGGCCGACGGTTGTCGACCCCTGATCTAAGACAACAGTTTATTGAGCGTGACGTGAATGACAACTTTCGAGTTATCATTAAAATAAAAAGAGGGGCGTATAATAAACATCCAAGTTATATTAAATTAATTATTTATGTTTTCAACGATTTCATAATTTATACCAGAAATAATCAGTTGTTTATAACGTATGGAACTTCCGGCATCGTCTTTAAATAGAATATACCGCGCGCCTTCCGATCCAAATGATCGCCCATGTAAACCGGATTCACCATTTGGCATCCTCTGGAGAAGTCGTCTAGTGAGTTGCATTTGTAAGAAGCAAATTTGACGTTGGTATCGATGCTCTCTTTAAAGTACTGCCAGCTTTTACCGTGACTGCAAGCTGCTGTAAACTGCAAGAACACAATTAAATTTAATGAATACGTTTGAAACATTTAAATTACATCCGTGATGCCGTTGCATCCTGGTTGTGACATTACGCCACCGTTAGGGTAAAAATCGGCATGTCCAATGGCGTCCATCAAGCCGAAAGTACCGGCTGCAGTATGAATGACGTCCACGAATTTGGCTTGATGATAGGACAGTCGTCCGTTGGACAATTGGATCATGCCAAAAGAAGGAAACGCCGGATCCAGGCCTGAAGTTTAATTTCAAATATAAATGAATGTTTTTATATTAATGAATATTTGCAGGCAGAGACCTGTAATTCTTGAAACGTTCACGCTTGAGTATTCACCAGCAAAACCGGAAATATGCGCACCCAAACTGTGACCGATCAAATGAATATCGTTTGCATCCGCTCCGTGGGTTATCAATAAATCAATTAAACTTGCAAAGTATTCTCCGACCTGCCTAGTGCTTGTTGCAGGTATGAAATATATAAGATTTCCTGAGATTTTGCTCCAGTCGACCACGAAGATATTGTAATCGTACAGTTCGAGGTATTTGTCTTTGATTTCCTGACAGGTATCGGAGTAGCCGCTGGATTGGAACCCATGTATAACAAACTTTGTGCTTCGAGTTGGAGCGAAGTGAGATTTCTTCAGGACTTCGTAAGAGTTGATTATTAGCTCGCCTTCCTTCGGGCCTTCCCTCGTATATAAAATGAATTTAACATCATCCTGCAAGTTGTGAACCGGTGCCTTTTCATCATCGAAATTATAGTCTTGAAGATCTTGGAAACCACGTAACAAGCTACCTAAAAACGAAATCAATTGCAAATGCGTTACGACTTAATAAAGTTATACCGGATGCGCGGTGCGCAGCTATGGCTACGATCAAATTCACCACTAGTTGCATTTTCGTTTGTCCAGATTGCTACAAAATTAGCAAGTTTTATATATACATATTATCTATCGTTATCTAATTCGACGACGAAGCATAAATATTTATATATCGACCTTAATAAAGTAACATTTACTCACGCTTAATTATGATTAATAATTAACCTGAGCTTAATTTCGAGTACAGAAGAATATGCAAAGCAAAAGTGAAGCCACCAACTCGTATGTAGCTTTGTTTAGGACCTATTAATGTGTTGCATGTGTGCTATCTTAAACATATGCAACATATATTATTCTAATAGTTTACGGCATAATTGCAGGAATCTAATCCCATTTCCTGTGGATTAGTAACTGGCGTTTGGTTTTCGCCCATTTCGTTATAACCGAATAAAGAAATGTTGGGATTCGCGAGCGATGAATCGATTCGCGGCAGGCAGCATTACGTAATCAAGTTATATTTGGATGTGGCCTGTGTTTCTTGGAAAATCCTTTGGGAATGGCGCTTAATTTTTTTGTAATTATAGCAATTATCGCGTAAATAACGCACTTAGCGGTATTCATGGCATGATTTTAGGCAACCTTTACAGCAATCGACGTTAATATTTGTAAACGCGCCAATGGGTTGAATCTAGAAGAGGATAGCAAGTAGGATAGTAGGCGTGAAAATAGAAACACTTCGGTATTTGTATTGTATATTAACGAGGAGTTCTTAAGAGTGGGTGAGCTTTTTCTTCGGTCTATATTCTGTCGATTGTGTTTACTACATTGGCTAGCCTGAAATCACCTGGAATATACAATAAAAATATGTCTGCCTGCTGCCAGCGAGATGTTAAGTGTCGAAAGTAGATTGTGTTTTTGTACGATGTAGGGACGCGCGAGTGCAGAGAAGAGCTTCGTTTTTGAATGCTTAGTGCTTTTGGATGGTCATATCGTGACCTTGGTCAGATTCCGAGCGGAAGGTGTTTGTGCGGTGGAGGCGGCTGCGGCGGCGGCGGTGGTGGTGGTTCATCATCGTAGAAAGTGTTACGAACGTAGTGTATTTACTATCGGTGTGAAAATGTCGTTGATGTCTTTCGGGTGTTGCACGCGCTTCAAAATGACGCCCGAGGAGCTGGAGCAGCGCTACAAGAGCCAGGAGATCGATAAGCTCATAGAGAAGGATAAGCAAGTGCTGAAGAGGCAGGTCAAGTTGCTGCTGCTTGGCGCCGGCGAGAGCGGCAAGTCGACGTTTCTGAAGCAGATGCGGATCATACATGGCATCAAATTTGAGCAGGATCTGATTAGAGAGTATCAGCAGATCATTTACCAGAATGTAGTGAGAGGCATGAAAGTTTTGGTTGATGCCCGAGACAAGCTGGCCATTCCCTGGGGTGATACCAGTAATGTTGCTGTCGGCCTGGAACTGCTGCACTTCAATAACAATCAGATCATTGATGTCAACAGGTTCACCCAATTTGTTCCCATGCTGAAGAAATTGTGGAGTGATAATGGTATTCGTAGGGCATATGAAAGGCGCAGGGAATTTCAATTAGTAAGTACTGTTAAATTAAGTACATCACAAAGAAGCATTACTCATATTGCATGATGTAATGCAATTATTGCTAGTGTGTTTAAATAAATAGGACAACAAAAGGTACAACTATTAATTATGTTTCCCTTGTTGCAGAGTGATTCAGTTGAGTTCTTCTTAAATAACATAGAGAGGATCTCCAGGTCAGATTATATGCCAACAAACAAGGACATCTTGCACTGTAGGAAGGCCACCAAGGGCATAACGGAATTCGTGATTCCAATCAACACAGTGCCCTTCCTGTTTGTGGATGTGGGAGGGCAGAGGTCACAGCGTCAGAAGTGGTTCTCGTGTTTCGATTCGGTTACGTCCATCCTCTTCCTGGTATCCTCCTCAGAGTTTGACCAAGTGCTGCTCGAAGATAGGAAGACCAATCGTCTGGAGGAGAGCCGAGATATCTTCGATACCATCATCAATAATAGAATCTTTTCCAGTGTGTCCATCATACTGTTCATGAACAAGTACGACCTGCTAGTGCGGAAGGTCGCAAATCCGGAGACGGATATACGCTGGTATTTCCCGCAGTTTACCGGCAACTCGCATTCTATAAAAGATGTACAAAGCTTTATCTTGGCTATCTTCACCGGCGTCAAGCGCGATCCAAAAAAACAACTATACCACCATTTTACGACGGCTGTCGACACCGAAAATATCAAGGTGGTATTTAATTCGGTCAAAGATACGATCCTGAATCGCAACTTGGAGACCCTGATGTTACAATGATCGTCGTGTGTCCACACCCACCCGTACATCTCTAATTATTTCCTCACATAATGTGGCTGTGTTTCTTTTTTATTTGTAATTAATTAATGAAACAACAAGAGAACGAGAAAAGAAAAATATGCGAGTAATGGCAAAGTCGAATTCGAGCGCGAAGGTTTTTCCGATAAATGTTTAAAACAATTTACAATTAATTACTTTTATTTGTTTGGCAAAGACTGACTAACTATTAGTCCATCATCTCGAATTTTACTTTAAACAGGAAAATGTGTATATTATTATTTTATATTAAGTGAATTGTGTAAATAACCAATGGATCCATTATTATTTTCTTGTTGTATGTATATTTATTCTATTATTATTTTATTTTTTTTTGTTCTTTTAAATTTTTGAATCATGTTTTTGGTAGAATTTAAAAAATATTTACCAAAGAGAACTGACTAACAGAACTGCCCGTTAATATATTTATAAATGATTCAATCCAATGAGCACACAAAAGAGAGGGACTCTATTATTATTATTGTTATTATTAGTACTTGGAAGAAGGTCGAATTATTTAAGAGAAGAAATTGGTCCATTATAAACAGAGCATAGCTATATATATATTTTATATTCAGAATTTCTATAGGAAGAAAAAAAACAACAGATATAAACAAAAATCTTATGTGCCTTGAAACAACTTTTTTTTATATATATATACTAGATTTATATAAAAAAAAAGATATATGTATATATAACATGTTTCCTAGAAATGCATTTTATAATTGTAAAATTATATATATATATATACATATTTGTTAATTTTATGTAATTATTAATTGTAAATAGAAAAAAATAAAATTTGTTTTTAAAATAAATATATATATATTAAATATGATTGAAATCTTACTTTTACTACCTTAAAATTTGACTAGGTTATGTTAGTTGTTTTACATGAAAAACTATTGTTATATTTTATAGTTAATTACTTAGTTATATCATATACAAGAGAAAAATAATTAATTTACTTAAGTGAGCTTGGATGTGTTTTATAACTTCAGTCTGGTTGGAATCTAACCTAATGTTTTGAAGTAGCATTTCCATACAGTAACAACAATGTGGAGGTTTTTGAGTAAATGTAAAAAACTAGTGCTTGATGCACCTAATCAACAGAAATTAAGGACATTCTGTACCAATGGTAAATAAATACATAATAATTCAATTCTTCAATTTTAATATAAATCTTTTGAATCAAGGAAATGTAGATGTTTCAAAGATCAGCGGAGGAGATGAAGCATTAGAGCATAAATTGAAAGTAATCATATTGGAAGCAGATGTGATGAGACAGGATGGTAAAACTGTTCCTTCACCAGAGTTTATGACCTCTGACCATTGGTCTGAACTGTTGAAATTAGAAACACGATCTTCAAGGAAGAAGTATTTGCAGTTTCTGTTTAAAGTAGAGAAGAAAAAGGAGGGACAGGCAGTAAGTATTCCTAGTGATTTAATGATTATTTATAAATTTTTCATAATTTTATAGCAAAAAAAAGAGATAAAAAGAGTTGAAAGGGAATCTCAAGATTTTGAACCAAATGTTGATGGAGCTATGAGGTATGACTTGGGTCACAATAATATATTCTTGAGATTCTTTGACAGCACAATAAACCATATGTACAATAACAAACTCATGCAAGCGATGCAATTTGGACAGAAAATAGTGATTGATTGTGGATATGATGAGAACATGACTAAGAGGGAAAATATTAATTGTGCAAAACAGCTGATGTTTTGTTTTGCAGAGAATAGGATACACAATGGTAAATTGAATTCCACAACACTAAATGTTATCTACATTTCAATGATTCATTTTTAGATCCATTTGATATACATTTTAGTAATTGTCATTTGGACAGAGATTTGATCAAGTATTTGCACAAACATATTCCAACAATGTACGATGCCGATTTCCCTATGAACATTCACGAAGCCAGCTATTTAGATATGTTTCCGAAAAACGAATTAGTATATTTAACGCCGCATTGCAGGGAAGAGTTGAAAGAGTACGATCATAATGCTGTTTACATCATAGGTGCAATAGTGGATAAGATTAACAATGAACCTTTATCGCTGGCTAAAGCGAAAAGGGAGGGACTTAAGATGGCTAAATTACCTCTGGACAGGTATTTGCAATGGGGTTCAGGCGCTGGAAAGTCGCTAACCCTAAATCAAATGATTTCCATCATGCTGGACATAAAGACAACAGGGAATTGGGAACATAGTCTGAGGCATGTGCCAAGGCGAAAATTAGTTAATCATGAAATGCAGCCATCCAAATTCAGCAATTATAGGCAGACAGAAGTTTCGAATGTCAAGAAATCAACAAGTTCCTGGAAACCTAAAGGGGACCCGAAGAATAATTTACTTAATTTAAGGAAAATTATGAATGAATAAAAATGTTAGAGTAATGTAAAAATTTAAATAAATTGATTTCTTTTTAATTTGTTGTTTTGGTAAAACTGATTAAGTTCGATCGATCGATAGATTTCTATTGCATTTCAATGTTGGCAAGAGTGTATGCGCGTATGTCGTTTTATTAATTTTATGTTCTGTGTTGTTTTTACATGCAAATCAGTGGACAAAATGTCGGATAAAGGGTTTAAAGGTAATATTTATTATTTTGGTTACAAAATAATAGATTTTCGCTTTATTGTTTTACGTTAATCGAACGAAAATTTGAATTGTATTCAGGATATGACTACTACTAGTTCTTTTTCTTTTGCACAACCTAAATCATATATATGAAAGTGTCAAAACTGCCAATTATCTATTTATAAAACTAATGATATGTTTTAGTGATGTTTTGACAATGGAGAGTATCATAGAGATGCCTCCCGAAGGTGGAGGCACCATTAACAATCATCTACTTGACAGTTCTTGGAATGAAGGTGCTGAGACTGATGGAAGCAATAATCCTAATATATTATACATTGCAGTGAGTAACAACATAGATTATAACCTTTACATGATTTATGAAACTTGGTTTCTACTATAGGTAGAGTATGTGAAACATGCAAATGATTTCAAGCTAGAGCAAGAGGCAGAGGATTTGAACTCAGCACAAACATATCAAGAGTTTCAACATGTCAGTCCATTGGATCCTAACATGAGCTCTGTTGCAAGCTACAGTCCAGTTTACACATCAGAAACAAATTTTGAGAACCCAGTGGTTGTAGCACAGCTGGTACAAAATGCTGATAATGAAACTGCACCACCAAATCCAGAGAACATAATTGGAAATCAGTTTTTGCAAATTGTTGAGAGAAGTTCAACAGTCCCAAATGACCCACAGATCATTGCTAATACTGAGCAGGAGGTTGACATATTAATTACGGATCAGACTACTGGGATTTCCTATTTAGTTGAGAGGTGTTTGGCTGAGGAAACCCATTTGCTGGACTCTCATACATTGTTGGGCACTGAGCTTTTATCTTTAGATGATGGTACTCTTAAAGCTAACTTACCCACAATAATATCAGATAATCAGCAGAATACTGTGGTTGAGAATGAAAAAACAGAAATAACACATAGCCAGGAGAGAAGATCTTTGAGGCAGACTGCCAGGAAGGTGAAGGGAGCTGAAAGTGAAGAAGAATTGCTGACATGTGTCCAGCAGATTAGTGATAAGCCTATACTTTCAAGGGCTAGAGCTTCTTTACCAGAAAATCATTTAATCATTGGAAGAAATTTAAATGGAGGTTTGTTTATCAATCAATAATTAGTAATGGTTATTATATACAGCACAGTTTATTTCAGAGATTGGAATATTTGCCAAACGTTTCATACCAAAGAGAACACAATTTGGGCCAATTGAAGGATTGACATCTAATGATTACATCAAATATGATGAAGATCAGGTTGTGCTTTCTGTGGAAACTTCTGATGGTTCTTTCCTTTATTTGGACGTTTCTGATGAGAGTAAGATTTGTTTCTAATATATCCTTATATATTATTAATTTATCATTTTTTAAAGATTCATCCAATTGGATGCGCTTTGTGCAATTGGGGCAAAATTTTTCTGAACAAAATTTGGTTCTGACACAACAGGATAACTGCCTGTATTACACTACTATAAAGAATATACTTCCTAAACAGGAGCTGTTGGTTGGTTATGGTAGAAACTATGCTCAGATGAGGAATCTTCCTGTCTTGGAGCCAATGCTGGAGGACGAATGGCCTTGTTACGAATGCTCCGAGAGGTTCACCACTTCGGAACAATTACAGAAGCATTTAGATCAACATGAAGAGATGGATGAGAAGCAAATTGTTGCCAATGATAATAAAAAAAGGAAAGCCAGGAAGAAGCAGCAGTTGAATATGGATAACAACGTAGGCACGGCATTGCAATGCACTGTTTGCATGGAGGTGTTTAGTGCGAAGCGATTCAATTTCCTAAGACAACATTTGAATGAACATGGTTTACCAGCTACAGAGCAACTGCAAGATAGATACATCATTGCTAAGTATATTCAACAAGAAATTGAGATTTGCCAAATTCTATTGATTTTTTTTTAGAAGTTACAGTTGTTACGAGTGCGAATCGATTCATCTGAGCGAGGATGATCTAAGTAGACATCTGCAGGAGAATCACAGCGGATGTAGTGAAAATAATTCATCAAATTCTGAACAAGCGAAGGACGAACAATCCAAAGAGTGGTTTAAATGTCCTAAATGCAATAAATTGTTTGCCTCTCGGGACAGAATTCAGAAGCATATGATGGTGCATGGAGATGAGCAAGCGAAACCTCTGCAGTGCGACAAGTGCAGCAAACGTTTTCTGAACAAATCAGCTCTGGTTTGCCATTTAAAAACTCACCTGTTGGGCGGTAAAATATTTGAATGTCCCATATGCAAAGAGTCTTTCCATCAGGTGTTCGAATTGAAGTTGCATGTACCAAAACATTGTGTTGATGGCCATTACACATGTCCTCATTGCAATAAGCTTTTTGACAAGTACAGTATAATCAGGAAACACATCCGTGCATTCCATAGCGAAAGAAAGCATAGTTGCACTCATTGCTCGAAGAGTTTCCAAACTCTGGACAAGTTGCGATGCCATCTCCTGAGACATTCGGATCATCGCGAATTTCTTTGCGCGGATTGTGGAAAGCAGTTCAAGAGAAAAGATAAGTTGAAAGAACATTGCAAGAGAGTGCATTCAGAGGAGCGAGAGAACGCAATCCCAAAGAAATTCACACCGAAGGTCGAGCCTACAGATTACCATAGGTTCATTTACAAATGCCACACTTGTTTGGTGGGTTTTAAAAGGCGCGGAATGCTCGTGAACCATCTGGCCAAACGGCACCCGGATATCAGCTTGAATTCAGTTCCTGAACTGAATTTGCCAATCCTGCGCGCAACTAAAGATTACTTCTGCAACTATTGCGACAAAGTGTACAAATCCAGTTCCAAGCGCAAGGCGCACATACTTAAAAACCATCCTGGTTCGGCTCTGCCCTTGAGCAACCGTCGTTTTGATTCCACCAAAGTCGCAACTGATGCTCCCAATCCTACATTCTCGATGACCGTTGGTTCGGTTACTACCCATCCCCATGGTTGTCAGTTGTGTCACAAGCAATACGCAAGCAAAGCCAAATTGCTGCAACATCAACGCAAGACACACAAGGCCCAAATGTTGGAGGAGGAGAAGAACCACGACGAAGCTGGCGGAGTGCAGCAACAGGATGAGGAGGAGGAGCAATTTTATCAGCAGGTTATTGCGGTGGCTGATATACCTGGTACTTCTACGGTCACAACCGGCTCAGCAAACGATTCTAGGCTGTACCGTTTGCTGACAACCGGAAACAATTTAGTACCACCGCGTTGAAGAAGTAGGACCGAACGGCCCGTAATTCGGTTTGTTTTACCTTTGCTACTTTTGTCTTCCTCCCACTAACACAGCAACAACAATAAAAAGAAAAATTGTACAAAGGGAGGATTGTGTGCTCGTAGGATGAAATTGTTGAAAGGAGGTGCGCTTTGATTAATTTGTTTGGTCAGGCTGCGCCGTGGGCTGGAAACCCACGTATTTCTGTAACGATCTTTTCCGTTTTCTGACACGCGATTCGTAATGGCGATAACGAGAATTGTTCCTCTCCATGCAATTTTGCGTATTGATAACTAAAAATTGAAGGTAGTAGATAAGTTACTTAAGAGATTGTGGATTCGCTTTGGATACAGTCGGAGCGCCTTTCGGGGAAAGACGTTACCCGCTCTTTTTCTGATTATTGTTAATCAACATTTTTCTGTTCGGGATTTGACTGACGTCTTTCGGCGACAAGCGCTCCAATTGTTATTTCGTTTAGAAATATAATGCATTTATATGAAATTCTGGTCGAGTGCAAAGTAGCACTAGTTAGTTACATTCATGATATTGATAATAATTAAATGTCATTGCTACAGATGCTCGCTGATATTGTTTGATATATAAGATATGAATATCGAAAGGAACAGCAGCAGCTGATTGTGATTAATATATTTTAGGACTTGTTGAAAAAGGAGATGGTGTTGGAAAAGCGATTAGTTTTACATAAAAAAAATTTGTTGATATGATGATTTGAAATGAGTTTTATTGTACCAATAAAAAAGATATAATAATAATAATACTTAAATCGATCTCTGTTTCTAAAACATGATTAAATAATCGCTTATTGAATACATTAAGAAACGAAGATGGATTGTATTTTTTTAAGAATGTTGTTGTCGATTAATAAATTGAAGGTGCGTCCTCTCCTTTCGCTTTATTCACCACTGGTTTTGTTGTGCTCGAGTGGAAGATCAGTCGTAGGAGAGGAAATCCGAGTGCGAGGGCCATGGATCAGAATCGCTCTCGTCCAGTTCGTCCGTGGGTATGCTGGGTCCTTGTGACGCGTAACTGCTGCTCTCTCCGGTCACAGACATATAAAAACTGGATTCCAACTTGGGGGACCGTCCCAAGCCATTCAGGCCCTCCGTCGCGCGCTGGTTATGCGGATCCAGACGCAGCGCAGCGTTGAAATGTGTGAAAGCCTCCTCATCTTTTTGCAAACGAGCATAACAATTTGCCAGGAGTTGATGCGTTCTCGACGTTGGGTACTTCTCCACGTGCTTCAGCAATATCGTGCAGGACTCTTCGTGCCTTTGCTCCTGCTCTAAATGCTCGGCCAGCAAGTAGATTGCGGGCGTGTACGAAGGATCGGCAGTTAACGCGCGATCCAATAAACTTTGCACCTTCCCTGTACTCACTGAAGTAACATCCTTCATCAAGGCGGACGCGTAAAGCTGTAAATTACGCTAAATAATAAACAATTCCAGTATCAAAAGATCACTTTATGCTTACGGTTAACGATTGCGGACTATTATTCAATTGCTTGCATCCATTCGCCGCCATCGTTAATCCTTCCCTGATCCTCCGCATAGCGTAATTGCATTCTACCAAGCCTTTATGACCATCAAACCTGTACGGACAATAACGTACGGCATCCTTGAAATTCAGAAGCGCATCTAGGTATTTCGTTATTTGCATTAGGGTGTGTGCCATTAACAGCAGCGCTTCAACGTTCTTCCTGTTCATCAGACATGCTTGTCGTGCAAAGTGCGCAGCCTTCTCGTACTTCTTTGTTGCAAACCAATACCATCCCAAAACTATCCAATGCTCACAAGACCAATGTGCTATGTCAATGTCCACGTGCATCAGTCGCTCCAATTCCTTCAGGTGTTCTTTGTCGCTGCTGTTAGCTAGCAAGTTGGCAAGCAGATCTCGACCATGTATCATATTGGGATCTCTGAGGACGGCCCTCTGCAACTCCGCTAATGCCCTCTTCTCATCGCAAAGGTATAAATAACAGTAAGCTTTGGCCGTCATTAAAATCGTGTTGTCCTGCAACAACTCTATACTTCGAAAAGTAGTGATCGCATTGCTGAAGTCCCTTGAATGCATTTGGGCTAACCCTCGCATCCATGAGTTGATCCATCCCAACTCTGAGGTTGCATCCAGCATCATTGCATTCACCTCTGTTCCCTGTACATAAATATATCTTATTAATATTAAATCAAATTTGCGTATGTACTTGCATACCTTAACACCTAATTTGAGCAAACTTTCTGCAGCTTCTAAAGCTGCAGGGTTCTCCCGCAGCACCTCCTTATAACATGTAATAGCACTTCTATCAAACCCTGTCTTCTTGTACAAGTCCCCTAAAGCCATATTGACCTTAGCACTCCGATTTCTAGCTGATATACTCTGTAACAGCTCAATGGCCTTTTTCGTTTGTTTCATCTTCACACAGCATTTGTACATCTTATATTTAATTTCCATATCACTCAATATTTCCTTCTGTGTGTCTGGAATCTTTGTAGTATTTTTTGTCTTCAGGATATACTTTCTGATCTGCAATGCCTGACTGTAGGCATTATCAGCCAATACATAGTTTTGCTGGTGGAACAATGAATCAGCATAGTATATGTACAGCTGAAACTTTGTATATGGTGCAACATCTTGCTTCTGTTCTGAGAATGTTAATGCAAGATGAACCTGAAACACGTAAATTTTGGTAAAAAAAAAACGGATGATTTAAGGGTTTGAACTTGCTTACCAAATGCTCCACGTTTGAATAGAGCTCCTGTTCGTAAAGTAGATTCACTTGTTTCAATAAATTGTTCATGTTGTATACGAAATAAATAAATATATGTGTATATATCACCATGTACTATTTCTGATGTACTACCTTCTTGTGGAGGTTAGGTTTTATGCGCTTTTTGACAATTCCGTCCCTTTAAATTATGGTATTGATCTCCCGCCCAACTCAACCATTAAAAAAATCATCAAATATTTATTAGACTTAATTTGATTTAATAAATAAATATAATTAATTTTTTGTATTTTTTTTTTGTTATATTTATCATTAGATGAAGTACAAATTCAAATAAAAACATGTTATTTAATGAAATATTCAATGGAAATTTGCAATACAATGAACATTTCAATATTGCTTTTATTGTATAATAGAAAATAAATAATAATAATAATAATTGCAAAAATTACATTTTTTCAAACGTTTCCTCAAATTTGCAAGAAATACATGTGTGTGTATAGGTATCATCTTCTTCATTGTACGTTTCTTCACCGAATTCGTGAACGTGCGAAGCAGCGGATGTACGATCGAATAAACTACTTCTCATGTTCATTCGCAACTCCTTCATCTGTTTATGATACTTCTTAGTTTTCGCTAAAACTTTCTTCTCTTCCCTTTTCTCCAACTCTTCCTCAATCTTCTCTTCGCTACCCCAAACATCCAACGCTCTACGTTCCACCTGGAAATTATCTCCAATATAAACAAACAACAAATACAATATATTTAAATAACTAAACCTGAATCTGCAGATACAACTTCATTTCTCCCCAACGCACATTGTGAGGATTCTTGCGCGTGATGAACTTCAATGGAGGTTCCCTTTTATCAAGATCACAATCTTTCAGAAGGTACTCCTTCATTGCCTCTGTTTTGGAGATTAATTTGTGCATTTCAGGATCCCTGAAAATCTCAATCAAATTATCCAGTAATTTCTTCATTTCAATTCATTCTTACCTGCATTCATCACAGACTTTACAATCAAATGTGTCCAGAAGCCATGAATTTGCAAATGGTTTGTTGCAGGTCTCACAGTTTGGTCTGTCTTCTTCTATAATCGGTGCCTGTTGTTCTTTCAGCTTGATTTCATCATAGACTTCTTCAAGATCTTCAGCATCAATATCTGGTTCTTCTAATAGAAAACCACCACCTGTATCTTTGTATTTTGTTGTTCCAACTTTTATTGTTGTTTTATCTATGGAAACTGCTTGCCTATAAAAACATGAATTTGTAAAGATTCGTAACCTTTACCATTACATTTTACGTTACCCTTTTGCGTAGGGATGAGACACCAATTTGCTTTTTTTTAATACCATAGCTTTACGCCGGTTCTTTTCGATGCGCTCTTCCAAAGTTTTCGTGATTTCCGCGTTTTCCATTGATAAGGACATTATATATACAAAATTTTATATACTTGATCTAACTTGATCACTTTTCTGACAGAAATGTGAACTCAAAAGTCAGAATATTGTTATTTTATCGGAAGACTATTGAATGCCAACATAAGAATGTTTTGACAGAGAAACAAGAACATTTGAGATAATTGCTCTCTGTTCCTCTTTAATATTAATCTTAGTAAAATATACTGAAGTATACTATTCCATACACATTTGTATGGTTGGTTGATTATTTCCCTCAACTTTTAGTTGTTTTTATTTGGTAGCAGTGAGTAGTTGTGAAGCAATCCAAGTCCAAGTCATTAAATAAATTTTAACCTAAACTTAATCGTTCACATACGTTTGTTGCGGTGTATATTTATAATTTAGTGGCTTAAGTAAGGAAGTACAATAATTAGAGTGGTTCTTTAAATATTGTTAAATAATGGGTTCCAGTAGTAAAAAGTACAAAGAGAAAAGTGATAGCAATGGCGGCGGAAGGAAGCGACGCCACAGGAGCAGAAGTCGCAGCGTTTCACCAGATTATGATGCACCAAGAGAAAAGAAACACAAGCACAAGAAGCATCACCACAAGGATAGGAAAAGGGAGAGAGGTGGTAGACATGACAATGACTCCTCAGGTAATGTTTGCTAATAATTGAATTATGTATGCATCTACTAATAAATGTGTTTTATTTTAGATGTGGTTGAAGTTTCACCTGACCGTTCACCGTCTCCGTCACATCAAGTTGAAAATACTAAATCTGGACATGACAGTTTATCCATAGATGAGACAAATAAATTGAGAGCTAAATTGGGTCTTAGACCATTGCAGGTGGGTGTTGAAGTAACACAATCAGCCAGTGGTAAAAGAGATGAAAAGAAGAAGGATGACCTGGGTGAGTTTTATCATAAACCAGCCCCAAACATTGGAGAAACTACCAGGTCTGAGAAAATTAAATATAAACTGAATGAACATAAGGAGAAGAGACATATTGAACATAAGTTGTCCAAGGTGAAATTGCTGGGTGAAAGTGACAGCGATGATGATGCTGCTGCATGGGTTGACAGGAATAGAAAGATACAGGATGCCAGAAAGGAAGCAGATCGCAGGGAGAAAATTTTGGCAGAATTGGATGAGCAGTTTGGGGTAGGGGAAGTTGTGGAGCAAGAGAAACGTGAGAAGCGATTGAAGAAATACACAGAAAAGAATTTGAAAGGTCTAAGAGTGGAACATGATGTGGACACATTTTCTGAAGGAAAAACTATCGTTCTAACCTTGAAGGACCAGGGTGTTTTGGATGAGGATGATGATTGTTTGGTCAACGTTAACATGCTCGACGATGAGCGGTACAAGAAAAACATTGAGAACAAGAAGAATAAGGGTACATATAATCCATACGATGTGGAGGAAGTCGACGAGTTTGGTATAGTCAAAGAGCGAGATCTCTTGGAGAAATACAATGATGAAATCGATGGTGAAAAGAGGGACAGTTTCCAAATCGGCGTAGACGATACGCTTAGGAGGAAAGCGGCTGCCGTAAAAAGCGTGCAAGAGAAGTTGGCCAGCAAGAGATTGGAACAATTGGGTAGCAGTTTGACTTTAGCATCTGATTATTACAATGATGAGGAATTGGCAAAGTTCAAAAAGCCCAAGAAGAAAGTCAGAAAGATTAGGTCTAAAGGTAAAATATTGACTGCCGACGATCTGGAGGCGGCCAACGCTAATAATTATGGTATTGAGGATGTTGGTACTAGGAGACCAAAGAAAGAGGAGAATCATATGGACATTGATGATGTTCCAAACGTCGATATAGATATGAAGAATATAAAAATTGAAGAATCCGATGAGTATGTGGAAAAGGCTTGGATGAAAGCAAAGAAATTAAAGAAAATGGAACGGCACAATGTGGATTTCAGTCAAATAAAACCTGAGATTGTCGTAAAAGATGAACCAATAGATTCAGGTAACATTACATTGAATTCGACTGCCGAGTTTTGTAGAACCCTGGGAGATATACCGACATATGGTAGAGCTGGAAATCGCGATGAAGGAGAAGATATTGATATGGAATTTGAAGCCGCTCAGGGGGATGACGTTGAAGCAAATTCCGATGATGATTGCCAAATTATAGAACCTGTGGCCGGCACTTGGAATTCCATAGATCCGAATACTAAACCACTGTCAAAGGAGACAAATACCGTACCGGAGGTTCCCATTTTGGACGAAGAACCCGACGTTGGCTCAGGTGTGGGAGCTGCGCTAAAATTGGCGATGAGTAAAGGTTATTTGGACAAAGAAGAGAGCAATCGTCCCTCGAATTCTCGTCTAGCCTATCTACAAGCCAAGCATTATTCCATCGAGGATAAGAATTACGGGGACGAGTCGGATCGTGGCGGAGGTCCCAACAGGAGGGATCGTTACACAGGACCGGTGCAAGATTTCAAAGAAAAGGATAGTTTTAAGCCGAACGTTAAGTTGGAGTACATCGATGATGAGGGTCACGTTCTAAACTCGAAGGAAGCTTTCAGGTACTTGAGTCACAAGTTCCACGGCAAAGGTCCTGGTAAGAACAAGATCGAGAAGCGCATCAAGAAGACTCAACAGGAAGGTCTGATGAAGAAGATGAGCTCCACGGATACTCCGTTGGGAACGTTGAACATGCTCCAAGCGAAGCAGAAAGAAATGCAAAGTCCGTACATAGTTCTAAGCGGCGGCAAAACACATTCAACCACCATATCGAAAACACGTCGATAGATTGTAAAGTTTATTTAAATTAAAGTCCATGTAAACTCATCTGTCTCTGAATGATATTGTAATATGTCTTTGGGGACATTGAGTCTCATCAATAATGAGTCCATGTTGATATTACTGGTTCCTTTGTAATTGGTAATAATTCTGCGGAGCGCCAATTCGCATCCATTCTTCCAGGTTGCGGTTAACGTCGACAAATCTTGTGATTGCTCGTAAACCGCGCATTGCTGTAACTTGGATAATGTCTCTTCTCTGTCTATGACCGTTCCTTCCAGTTGTTCAACATCGCATCTTAAATTTTCAATTTCTTGAGATTCGATAGTGTCGATATTATTTCGTTTTAAAGACAATTTGCTCTTTTTCATTAAAATGATTTTACTGCCTGAAGGACTTGGACAAACCTTGTATTCTTTGGATTTTAAGGTTTGATCTGTTGTGGCAGGTACTAATTCATCTGCAAATTCTAATTAATTATTCTATAATTTATAAGGTCAGATAAAATGGTATACCTGTATCAAATTGAATTTTTTTTTTTGGAATTTGATCACAACTAACTAAACCCAGCTGTTTGTTTGGTGGTGTTTTGCAAACACTTAACAAATCATTGTATATAACTGCAAAACAAGTATAATCATTATATAATAAAATATATAAATATAAACTTACTAGAATCTTCTCTTACTTCTGTTATATTTATATTTTTTGTATTATCTACTATAGGAGACCCACTGACTTTTGATAAACCCAATCCTTTGCACGGTGTTAAATGTGGATTTGAGTCTGTGGATGATTCACTCAATCTTTCATCTGAAAGACATTTTAATTAATAAGAACATCAATTATATGTAATTTTTAAATAACTTACTAATTTTTTGTTTTGTTGCTGCTGCTGGACTTTTCACCAATTTCTTGTAACTTCTTGATAAACCCATTCTTTTATTCTGAGACAAAATGGGACTGCTACTTTCTAGACAACTATCAATTATTGATGTACCTATAATGTTAACCAATAATTAATAAATTGATACTGTAAAAAATAATATAATTCACTTGAGGCAGGATTATCTTCAATTTGTGTTACTCTTGGACTAAGTAATGGACTCTTATAATTTCTTGACAATCCAATTCTTTTGCAAGGTGTGAAAAGAGCCCTTCCACCAGGTGATGAAAAACCTCTTCCTCCTTGCTTATTAGGCGTTGACATTCTTGCACACTAAGATTATATTATGATAAACAATAAATGCACAAAAAATATTATTAGAATGAAAGCAAGTTACGATTACTTTACCCGAAATCTTCAAATATGTTTTCCATTTCAAGCATGTATATAAACAACAAAAAAGTCACATATTACCAACACAATTTTATTACGAGTAAAATGTTTTCTGAAATGGTTTTCATTGATTGTCTAGTTGCATAGTTTCAAATTCATTTATTGTAAGTAAATGTGCTTCTCCAGTTTGACTAATTGTACCTTAATTTTTAAGTACAAAGACTATGGCTGGATAAATAGTGTTTGACATAGGCTTAGTATATATTACGTTAGGTGAAAGCCTCCAAAAGGAATAAATGTACTTGTTTTTATAAAATGCGCATAGTTCATTTAGTAACTTTATTTATTGTAATATATAATAAATTGTATTAAAAGTTAAAAACAGCCAGTATATCAATCTTAAACTTTGGTATAGGCAGCACTTTGTCGGTGTTTCTTCTCCATGTCGAGTTGTTTAACTCTGGCATATCCAGCGCTTCCCAAGAGTACTATCATATTAGAGAACCACCAAAGCATCGATTTGACTTCATCGTACCAATACGTGGCCAGCACGGTTTGAGCGCAAGCCTTTGCTGTGCCCGAGATGTTGTGAGTTAAAGCCGATGTTACCTACAAGAACATTTACTATAAACTATTGTGGAATGCAATTGCATAAACGTTTACTTTGATTTGTAGCGTAGTTAAGAATCCTATTGAGAAACCGCAGACTCCGCCCACGGTCATTAAGATCCAAAAGAATGGGTCAAACAGTCTATCGTATTGGAGAACCTCAGTAATGTCGCCGTTAAGTAACATCAATGGAATGAAAATAATGCTTGAATAGATGTTATTGTAGCACGACAAAACCCATATGTTTTCGTCTACTTTAGGTAAAACTCGTTTGGTGAAAATCGAGTACAATGATAGGGAAAGAGATCCGAGAATACCGAAAATGGTCCCGCTTATCGATAAGGAACCTTTGAATATAAAATATTAGGAAACAATTTAAATAATAAATGTATAGCACCTGCAAGGTTCTCTTGATCAACACCCAAATAGAAGCCAAAGATGATCAAGAAGCAAAAAAATATACATCTCTTCGATGTTTTGTCTCCCAGTATCAGATAAGTAAATGCAACATTGAATATTGTTGTCAAAGATCTACCAATGTAGTAAAATGCCACAGATACATATTTCAGGCATAAGTTGTTTGTGGCTATCATGCTAGTAAACATTACAGCTAAAGGAATAACCTAAAAAAACAAAAACTAATTATTTGTTTACTTGCTTCATAAATGCATACATTTCTCATAGTCTGAGAATCAAACGGTTTCACTTCATGGGAAGACTGCTTAAATCGATTTAGCATGAAGAGACATATCAGGGCTGTAACAACAGTTTGATAAAATGCTATAAAGAAGGGAGCTTCCAAATTCAGGTCTGATAAAAGAGTTTTGTTCACAAATACTGTTAATATTGAGATCACCCTACAAACGCAGATTGATAATATAATAGTTAACTTGAATATAACACTAATATTTACCAATATCCACTAACAACAAGGAAAATTCTGATATATTTCCTGAGCAACGTTTCGTGCTGCGTCGAAGACATCTTTGCTGGATAATTTGTTTTTGTAATGCAGGTGTAAATTGTTTTCAGGAATATTTCCTTATCTAATCATTTTAAATGCTTTTGTTGCATTTAAAATATTTTTAACTACCGGTGACTGCCGGTGCGCAACATCAGCAGCAGTTGGCTGTTCTGTATAAAGTGGGTTTTAAGACATTGGCTGGAAGCAAGATGGCAACGCACGACGACCGAAATTTTCGGTCCACCTACTACGAGAAAGTGGGATGTCGCAGCGTGGAAGAGAAAAAGTCGCTCGATATCCTTTTAAAAGAGAAACCATTGGATAAAGTTAAGCTAAAACAATTTTGTCTGAGGTTTTCCGTGCCTTCCGCCTACAGAAACATCGTCTGGAAGTTGCTTCTTGGTTAGTGTTGTTGGTATCAAAATAACGTGAAGTTGCGTTTTGAATTTTTGAATTGTTTTTAAGATGTTTTACCGATTTACGTCGATTGCCATACATTTATAATGCAACAGAGGAAAGAGGAATATTCTGATTTGTACAGGACGCTACAGATCTTGAGAGTCGTGGACCCGATGATCCACAGACCGCAAAGCTTCTATGCTATGTGGCTGCTGCAGACAGGTCAATTGCATTTTAACACCAACGTTATGAAGGAACACAGCTTCGTGCATCTGGTGCAATCTTTCATGCAATTCTTCGACGACGACGCCGACATATTTTGGCTTACTTCCTTCTTCTACAATCACATTCAGAAGAACAAATCTGAATACGGTAAATTGGCAGAGTGCACTTGGGGATTTCTAGAACGCGAAGACGTTGCGCTTTATAAGCATTTGTTGAAGATCAGAGGAAATGGGGAGTTACCTCTTGAGAAATGGTTTGATAGTTGCTTTGCTGGAGTTCTCAATGAAAATGCACTAGGAAAGTATGTCTCTTCAATAATTCACAGTAATAATTCACTATATAACTATTTTAAAATTGAAGGATTTGGGACAAAATATGTGGAGGGTCATACAAAATTATGTCATTTCTTGTGGTAAATCTCTTCATGAATCAAAAACATAGGCTATTGAAATGCATTGATACCAAAGCAGTTATAGAGTGTCTCAAGAATGTAAGTTTTGTTTACACATAACTTTAAAAACCAATAATATATATGTTAATTTAGATACCAGAAGAAACTGCTGAATTGATTGCTACAAAATCTATTGATATGTGGCAACAGAATGGAAGCCCATTAACCATCTACGACAAACCGAAAATCTAAGTCTGAATTATATCTATTATCGATTATTTTTATTTAAAACAAAATGCCATCTGCAAATAATAAATAAAATCCTAAATGCAAATAAAATTAATTCGTAACGATGACAGTCTCATTTATGTTGGTATCCATGATACTCCTATTAGATTAAATTTTGAGGTTGACTGGATATTGTCGATAATTGTATACTTCAAAATGTCAGGAAGTAAAGCGAAATCCGAAAAATCATCGACGCCGACGGTAGCTTACAGCGAAATTGCTGTTAGGAATAATGCAACGGTTGTAGAGTACTGCCGCACCTCGATGGCTGCTCTATCAGGTTGTACTGCCGGTATGAAACGTTTAATAAAATATTTAGTGTACATTATTAGTGTTAATGATGAATATTTCAGGATTATTGGGATTAACTGGTCTGCATGGAGCTGCTTTCTACATATTCACAGTGTTTGTGCTTTGGTTTATGATCAATTTGAAGGCTGGGTCACAGTTTAATAAATTTTTCATGTCACGGAAAGCTTTGCTAACAAATGGTTTCTTTGGACAACTCTTCACATACATTCTATGCTGGACTTTCCTCTATGGAATGGTGCATGTGTATTAAGTTCTAATTTTGTATAATTTTAATTTAAACAATATTATTGTGTAATATTTAATAAAAGTGTTTGGGGGTGCAAATAGTATTTAAATGGTTTGATTACTCTATATTTCTATTTTTGTATCCTAGCTCTACACAGATTTATATTAGTAATTCAATTGTATCCATGATACAAATATAAATGTATATTATAACATGGAACTTACATAAATTTGAATGGGAAAAACTGAAATGAAACTATGAGATGGAATAGTAAAGAGAAGTATTGGACACTGTCAACATTAATCAATCAATTAGAAGTTTTTGATAAAGTCAATAAATTTCACTTACAGTATACCAAACATATCTATCAGACATTCTGATTTTCAATGGTAAATTATTAACATTTTAAACTACGGAATATCTAGTTCATACATACTTTATTCTACTTATGAAACAGTCTCATAAAATTCTTGACACAAATATGCTTAATTACATTAAAGATTCTATAAAACAATAAAATTTTCAAATCAAAATTAATGTTTTAAGTGATTTGTACTAAATTTTTTTTATCAATAAATGTAATATTATTAAAATGTACCATATTTAATTGAACATAAGACGCACTCCGTGGATTTATAGGACAGTCTTTCGAAAAGAATATTTTATTACCATCTGACCGTAAGACTTGATCCAATATTAAGCTTAATTTTCTATTTAAAATGTGTTTCTTATGGTCCGAAAAAATAGTGTAATAAAAAAAAACGAATGAATAGTTTCTGTTTATTTTGAATGTGTTCTGGTATTCTTGGAAAACGATACACGTTGGCATCAGCTGCGACGTAATGTTGGTTGCGCACAGTGACTGCTTATAAAGTTGGCTTTATATTCCTATTGATTTTCCATCTCAAGGAAATTCTGCATTGCAGCAGTAGCAGTCAGGATTTTCTGTGCTCCACAATTCCGTAAAAGTCAACCATGGTAAGATCAGTCTTAAACAATTAATAGCAGTTAATAAGTAGTTTTCCTTAGGCTTTTAAAGCTACCAGATGCCCCACGGAGGACTTGTCTCTGAGTAATTGTGCAGTTGTTAGCAGTAATGATTTTTCAGATGATATAAAGTATGTACATATATATACAAAAATATATATAGATATTTAATCTATAATGTTATAATCTGCAGATATATAGATGTTCACACTGGAGCAAACCAACATTTTGTTTTCTCAATAAAATCACACCCTAATATCCAACCAGGTCATGTAGGTTTCAGTTTGCCACAAAGAAAGTGGGCTGTTTTATCATTGAATCAGGACATAGAAGTGAAACCCTATGCCTTTGGAAATGCAGACTGTCTTTCATCAATCATTCTTGAGGCAGATTTCTTGCAAAAGAAACAGTAAGTTTTTTTTATAGTTTCAATGGTTTTATTGATTTAATAATTTTCAGAGCTGTTGCTGAACAATACAATACAGAGGAAATGGCTAAAGAATTTTTGATGCAATTTCCTCATCAGGCTTTCACTGTAGGTCAGCAGCTTGCATTTCAATTCAATAACATGAAGATGTTGTCTTTGGTTGTGAGGGACTGTGAAGCAGCTGATATTGAGGCAATCAGAAAGGGAGTGGATTCGAAACCAAAGAAAACCAAGATTGGTAGGTTGTTGCCAAACACTGTGGTCCAATTTGAGAAAGCCGAAAATTCCGCTTTGAATCTTATTGGAAAAGCTAAGGGGTGAGTTGGATTTTTGTTGATGATGAAGTATCTGATATATATTTTTTGTTTCGCAGTATGCAGCCAAGGCAATCGATTATAAACCCGGACTGGAACTTCCAGAAGATGGGAATCGGCGGTTTGGATAATCAATTCAACGCTATATTCAGGAGGGCCTTCGCTTCGCGCGTCTTCCCACCGGAGATTGTCGAGCAGTTGGGTTGCAAGCACGTGAAGGGTATTTTGTTGTACGGACCTCCCGGTACCGGTAAAACCTTGATGGCCCGTCAGATTGGTAAAATGTTGAACGCCAGAGAACCGAAGATCGTCAACGGACCTCAGATTCTGGACAAATACGTGGGCGAGTCCGAAGCAAACGTGAGAAGGTTGTTCGCGGATGCCGAAGAGGAGCAGAAGCGCGCCGGATCCAATAGTGGTCTTCACATTATCATCTTTGATGAAATCGATGCGATCTGCAAGTCTAGAGGTTCCGTCGCTGGCAACACGGGCGTTCACGACACCGTTGTGAATCAGTTGCTCTCGAAAATCGATGGTGTCGAGCAATTGAACAATATTTTAGTCATCGGTGCGTATGACTAGTGAGGTCATTAAAAATTGATTTTAATAATGAAACTTGCAGGCATGACCAACAGAAAGGATATGATTGATGAGGCGCTGTTGAGACCGGGAAGATTGGAGGTGCAAGTAGAGATCAGCTTGCCGAATGAAGAGGGTCGTTTCCAGATCTTGAACATCCACACTACCAGGATGAAATCTTTTAAGAAAATCAACCCAGACGTGGACAACAAGGAGCTGGCGATTTTGACAAAGAACTTTTCCGGTGCAGAACTCGAGGGTTTGGTCAGAGCTGCCCAATCGACAGCTATGAACCGTCTGATCAAAGCCGCGAATAAAGTCGAAGTCGATCCGGAGGCCATCGAGAAGCTGTTGGTGAACCGCGCTGATTTCTTGCACGCTCTCGAGAACGATATTAAGCCTGTAAGTTTTATTTATTCACAGTTGTATTGGAGCGCATCTACTAATATATATCTATATTAACATTTCAGGCATTTGGCACAGCTCAAGAAATACTTAACCAATTCCTATCTCGTGGCATTGTCAACTGGGGTAGACCGGTTACAAGTATTTTGGAGGATGGAATGCTCTACATCCAGCAAGCTCGCGATCCCGACACCGCTGGATTGGTGTCCGTTCTGCTGGAAGGACCTCCGAACAGCGGCAAAACAGCTTTGGCCGCCCAACTTGCTAAGAACTCTGAATATCCATTCGTCAAGGTGTGCTCTCCGGATGAAATGGTTGGATTCACCGAGACCGCGAAATGCTTGCACATCAGAAAAGTATTCGACGATGCGTATCGCTCCACTTTGAGCTGCATCGTGGTCGATAATATCGAAAGACTGCTTGATTACGGATCCATCGGTCCCAGATATTCTAACTTGACTTTGCAGGCGCTCTTAGTTTTACTTAAGAAGGAACCGCCACCAGGCAAGAAGTTGCTGGTATTGTGCACAAGCAGCAGAAGGTAACTGATTGGTGAAATATACAATTCCAATTGCATTCAACATATAATTTTATAGGCAAGTTTTGGAGGACATGGAAATGCTGTCCGCCTTCACCGGAATCCTTCACGTGCCGAACTTATCCAGGCCCGAGCATTTGATGGCAGTTTTGGACCACTCGGAAGTGTTCTCCAAGCAGGAGCTGCAGCAAATTAATAAGCAAACTCAAGGAAAGAGGTTAGTATCCATGTAATAATCGCTAAACCACATATAAATTGATTGATTGATTACAGGTTATTTGTTGGAGTTAAGAAACTGTTGGCTTTGATCGACATGGCCAAGCAGAGCGAGGAGCACAAAGTCATTAAACTGATTACTAAATTGGAGGAGGACGGTAGCTTAGATTCCGGTGTCTGTTAGGAGTAGTCATTAGTTTGTGATGGTATCACAACATAGCTGCTTCATTCCAATACTGTATTATTTAATTATACCGCTTCTGTATCTTTAGTGGAATTCTTTTTTATTTTTTGGAGCGAAGATGTCGTTTAAGCTATAAGAATTAGCTTCGATGATAATAACTCTTCAATTGCAATTTTTCTTCCTAATTGTTACTCGATGTTATTCCTCTCGATGTGTGTATAGGTAGGATACTAAACAGCTGCAATATTATATAGTCAATAATTGTTCATAATACAAAATTCTGTTTAGGATAAAGTTACGTTTGTATATTCTAGTATTTATTTATATTTTCATTTAATTTATAGACGTGTTATTATTTGTAGGTGTCATCTCTTAGTGTTGTTGAGCATTGCTCCAAGTCGACGCTAAATGATGATTCAAGTGAACGTGGAAATGTGTATGTGCCGATTGGTTTATTCCTGTTAATATAACTATTATTTTATTAATTATTGATATAGTCAATTATGATAACGATCTTCTGTAGTCGAAATGATGTGGTTACTGTATAAAATAATAGATTCAATGCATTTATCCATGAGCAAATTGTTAAAGTTCTTGAAGCACCACATGTTAGAAATGGGTCATAAGTTATTCCAGAGAACAATTATATATATATATATACTGTACAAAATAAAGTTGATTGTCAACACTTGATTTATTCAGTAGATCGATGATCCAGAGCAATAATCCATCTTCATTTAGAACTTCAGTTATATGACTGATTTTAATATGTATCTGAGAGAAAGTACCCAATCAAGACAAATAAATATAAAATAGTTGTCCTTTAATTAGCCTTAATAATCATGAATTTCCAACACAAAACCTCATTATTTGGCAGTAAAATAAAGTTAAAAGTAACCATGGTTTCACCAAATCTAACACTTCAGTCAATCGATTGGTCAAAAGTTCATTATTTTTTTAGCATTATATATATATACTTCATTTTACATTTGGCAATGTTAATGTTACCTGACAGTGAGACTTTTTTTTTATAATCGCGGTGAAGTTAAAATATTATTTTGTTTATAATTGTAATAATAATAACATATATTGCAAGTGTCATAAAAAGTAAATACATATATATATATATTTTTCGTAAAAAAAAACATTGCAAACTGTCTTTCCGCCCATCACAAATGTATTATGTAATGTATATTTAAAGATAATGCGCACAAGAATATGCTGCAATATTTATAATAGGGCAGAAATACTTACTGTTAATTGTTCTTTGCAGCAGTTGACTTTTTATTATTATATTGAGTTCTTTTTATTCTGTAATTTTATTGTTGCAATATATATTATTATTTATAATATTGGAAATATTCGAAATGAAACAAATATAACAACCTTTATAATTGTTCTTATGAAAAACAATTGGTTATATCACAAATCACATTTGAAATGTTCGAGTTTTTTTCGATAATTCTTCGATATTCCAAAGTTACAAAAATGCTATGCGAGAAAAGAGAGAAAATAAATACGAGGGTTCATATTTGTATGCTCAAAAATGAGTACGTTAAATATTAATGATATTGTTTAAGAATTCTGATTACAAAATTATAATTAGTCTGCCATATTGTATCAAACATTTAAAGCTTTGCGGGAGGACTACGTATTGGTTTGTGGTTAATCCGTTAATAGTATGTAATATATTTATTTATTATAAATAAAATAAGTTAGTTGAAAGAGGAGGAAATTTGTTGTGTTTTGAAGATGCGGATCTGCAAAGAAGAGTATGTTAGGTTTGGTGCGTGTGGTGTGGGAAGGCGCGCGCGTTTTTCCGACGCGGCTGCGTATAGTGAGCGTCCATCCACCCTTGGCTGTCGCAACAGTCGGCAGAAAACGGATCAAAAGCGAGTTGCAAGCGTTTCCCGCAACTTCGGGTCCTCCGCTCTCCGCATCAAAAGCAACAGACGAAATCATTGCGAGAAAAAGTGCAAGAAAAGTGCTGGAAAACGTGGCGCAGACGGACCAGGACACAGGACAACCGCATCCAGGGACCACAGGACAACCGAATCGACCAGGTAAAATAATAGCGAGAAGACGGGAGAGCGCGGAACGCGTTTTTAGCTAGTTTTAGTTCGTCCGCATGCCTCTCGCGCTGAGCGGTGCGGTGCGTTCTTTCTTTCTCGACTGTTCTTCTTCATCTTCATACTCCTTCGCCACCTCCTGCTGCGTATATTTATGTGTCTTTTGCAATTATTTCGCGTCTCACCGCTCGACGGAAACACCACGGAGGCGACGATATCCGTCCGTCCTGCCAACGTCGTAGTCTTTAGCATTTGTTTGTTGCGTCGAGCGAGAGGATTTGGATTCGAGGTGGCGGTGGCGGCTGCAGCAGCAGCGGAGGCGGCTAATCTCCGAATAACTGGTTTTCCGCTCGTCGTAAAGCGCGCACCTCGCAACAAGAGGAGAAAGAACCCTTTTGCTGCTGACGGCCACCTGAAATCCTGTTGACCAGATATTTTTCACGTAACCTACACTGCGCGTACATAGAGATAACGCGTGTTTTACTCGAGAGCGAGGAGGAGGCTTTCCTGCGAGCCGGGGCCGGCGACGAATATGCTATGTTCAAGCGGGGGCATATGCGGCGAGTGGCTGCTGGCAGAGCGAGAACGAGCGTATAGCATGCATGCTTGTGCATGTGAGTAATTTCGCTCTCTCCGACTCTCTCGCAGGCCAGCCCAGAGATAGCCTTTGCAGAGACCATGCATATAGAATCCAGTCGACAAACACGCGCCGCGCCATCGTCCCCGTCCGCCTCCTTTGCCGCCTTGCAAACGGGAAAAGAGCGGCGACATGTCGAGCGCGCGCCTTCAACCAAACAACAACAACAAACAACAAGAAGAAGACGACATCGACGACGACGGAAAGGTTCGCGCCACCCCCGCGCGCTCTTTTGCGGCCGTCTTCCACTTCCGGCTCGCACGCATATTTCGAATTCACCTCTCTCCTTTCGTCGCCTGCCCCCGAAACGGCCGTCGAACGGTGGAATCGCGCAAATTTCCGAGCGGAACGCGCGCAACCCCGACAATTGTTGCGCTCCCAAAATATACGCCTTCGGCTCGACCGTCGACCACGTCACGGATCCAAGAGTGCAAAACTTCCAACCAACGGTAGGCGTAAATACCGGTTAAAACGATGAAACGCAACATACATGCGTGGACGGCACCAAAGTTGACGCGAATCACGTGGAGAAAGCTCGCCCGTCGAAATTTCACCAATATTTTTTTGGTTTCGACCTGTCCACGTCCAACGCGGACGACGTTAACGCGTTTGTTCTTGCAAGGTAGAGAATCGTTTGAAATATCAATTAAACCGTGTTCGCTCGCTCGCTCGCAGCGAGGGTTCTCCATGCATCGCAATTGATTATGTCACGAGGAAATAAATAGCGTCGCCTCTGATTCACACTTCTGCAACTGCATCACCTTCAACTTTCCCAATAAACTGGTTCGGATCAGCAAAACTCCACCAAAAATGTTCCGGTCGATAATCCTTCGGAACATTAGCTTCAATAATCAACAACCCATTTGTTGGTAAACCTTAACATATTAACTGCGGACACGCGCGACCGAATCTTTCGCTATATATAAAGCACGTGGAAATAATAGTTAACCAACGAAAGTTTTGTAACTACGTTTTACATCGGTACTAATCACGTACCTTCATATTATCAAATGTTATTCGCAACTATATAAATAGAATTCGGGGAATTCAGAGACCGAAAGAGGATAACAAGACCACGAGGACTTTTCGCACATCCGTATCTCCGTTCGAGTGGAATCTGCTTTAAACATGATCGCAACTTTTACCTTCACATTCATGATATTCTGAGTATATTTTGCGCATTTTGATGACAGCAATAGTTCTTGTCAATATTGACTAATCTTTTTGTTTTGATCATCATCAACACATATTTTATTGTATTCTAATATTGAAACATCTGTGTCAATACGTTGGAAATTTGTATACCTCTTCGTTTATGTTATTGTACTGTTGAGGTAGTCCTCAAAATATGTTTACCATTTTTATTTTTTCTTAATTTTGCGTTGCGACCGTTGTCGTTAATCGTGAGTAAAGTCGACTGAACCCGACGTGCGCGAAAATGAATAATCGTAATTATTGTTTTCAAGTCTTCACTGAACATTTATTATGTTACAAAATATTTTAAATATCTTTACGCTCGGTATATTAATTTAGTTCTAAAATATTGTATAATATTTTCTCAATCTTTATATATTATTGAAAGTTATTATCGTTTCAGGTGTTATACACTTTCGATAATGTGTATTTTCGATAATATATAATATCTATTGTGTTTATAGCATGTTAATAGTTACTCTTAAAAGGTATAGCTCTATGTTTACAAATTCTTTAAAATCAACAGTATAATCGTTTTTAATGATTGTTTGTGCTGAATATTGCTTAGAAATTATATTGTATTTATAGAATTTGTCCGAGGAAGGAAGAACTTCAGTTGGTATTTATCTAATTGTTTGTTTATTTAAATGTAGGCATATAATCGAACGGCCGATGTTGAACTAGACTTCACAAAATCCGAGTTGTTTTTATTAATCGCGCAGCCGATAAGATAGTGCTCGTAGTGAAATAATCATCAAATAGGAAAATAAAGCAAAGAAGCGCAATTGACTGCTTTTATTTATAGCCGTGCGAAATGTCCAATGCCCACTCGTTACTGCCGTTCATATTATATGTGCGGTATACTTGCATTACTAATCACTTACTTAGAGCCTAAAAAGAAAATGGTTTTTCTTAACAGATCGTCCGCATATTTCAAATGGCCACTACCGGAAATAGTTGGTAATAATGCCGTTGTATTATTGCCAACTTGCGCTGTTCACCCGCCCTCCGTCAACCGGTAGTATTTCTGCCGATTTACAAAAGGCGGCAATTTATTACGGCGTACTTGATAAGTTGCGAGTAATGTGTACGAGATGTACGTACATCTTACTTGACATATTATTTGCGTACTTATACAGCAATTATCACGAATGCAGTTTACTGGCGAGTAATACGAAGTGAGTAATTTGTAAGTAGTGCGCGCTACGTGCAAATTATAATTTTTTTTTCCCGTTCGGAGAGCGCGTTGTCAAGGGAACTCTCGAATGCGGAGCGCACTCGTCGCTCTTCTCAATTGTTTTTTTGTTTGCGTACTGCAAGTCGCCAATGACGGCCAAATCGGTAGGATATGAATGGATGGTATTTGTTTTGAGCGCCATTTTGGTGTGAAAGATATCTGAATCTTTCACACCAAAATGGGGGTACAGTAGTATCATCGGTTCGGGGAAGAGCAGGGGCATCTCATCATAGCAGCCATGCTACGTGCGTCACGAAGAGCGCGCGCCGCGTGCGTTCGCTCAACTTGTTCAGTTTTTCTTCGCGTCTTCGGCGCTGTTTGCTGCCGGCACACAGCACAGTGTTCGCATTGCGTTGCGGCAAATTTAACGCGCGCCTTTTTTGTTCCTAGTACTTGTTGGGGCCATCATTGCTTGGGGGATACTTAAGTCGTATTCTTCGTTATATTTAAGTTGTTTTCTTTGGTTTTTGTGTAGAGAGGAAGACATCGGAGGCTGCGAAACAACTATTGCGAAGTAGTGGCAGTGCAGACAGTAGGAGAAGAAGACTAGACATATAGAGAGTGCATATAGATTAGGAGGGAACCAAGATGACCGGGGTGAAGTTCCAAGATCATATCCTCGAAGCAATTGACCAGCTGCGTCACCGGAAGGCGCGTCCGGATGAGGAGAGAATCTACAACACGCTGTTCCGGCGGCACGCGATCAACATTACCGAGGCTAAGACCGCACTGAAGCAGTGCGTGGAGAGCGGCGCCGTGCTGAAGGTCTCGTACAAGGGCAATATTAGCTACAGGAATGCCGCGAAGAAGTTTTCGCACCTGAAGCGCGATGCCCAGGGGGAGGTGATACGGGCGCCGGGAAAGCCCCGGCGCAAGTTCACCGCCTTGCTTACGAACGCCTTCACCGAGCTCGTCCTGCACGAGCCCGACTATTTGGAGTACGGCGTGCCGCCCCCGGAGCTAATTAAGATCATCCTGGCCAAGGACAACGTGCGTTACACGAAGCGATATGTAAGTATTCTGCTGGAGAAGGAGGTCGAAGCCGGCGGCCTGGTAAGAATGAACAGCGGCAATTTTCTCTTCGGCCGAAACAAAAACGATGAAATACAGACTTGTCACAATCAGATGGAAACCGAGCACGAGCACAGCGACAATATAACAGCTCTGACTCAAAACGCCGCCGTCATCGCCACCACCGCCGACGCTGCCGCCCCCATCACGTCGCCACCCCAAACGACGTCGCAACACACCGCCGCCGCAGTCGCCTCAGCAGCCGCTACCACCGCACCGCAGCCCAAAGTGCAACAACATCTCGTCCAACTTCATCGCAACAACAACAACCATCAACAACATCAACAAGAAGAACATTCAATAGTCCTCAATTCTTCTTCATTCATGGATGGCCATGGCCACGCACAGGATGACAGACCCAACGAAAACCTTCGTGTTGGCGGCAGGAGAAAGGTAAGAAAAATTCCTTCTTTCCTCCGCTCATGTATTTTTTTTCGTTACCCGTTTTACGCAATCGATACTCACACGTAACATAACCTGCAACTTCTGACCTACCCTCAACTCAGAAGCATCTCTCACATCTGATTCATCCATCAACAATCAAAATGGTAATTAATCAAACACAAACATAATCTATTTTGAGTACAAAAAGCAACAATTATATCCACATCAGGATTTAACTTTGCGGCACTAGATGTGATCTTCACATCATATATATCAATACTAATAGTACTTAATTATCTTAGCCTTTTATATTCTAAACATTATCATTTCAATCAAAACTAAAAATATATTTAGGTTAAGTAAAACTTGTAATGCAGCACTAGTATTTACTTCTCGACTGAATGCAATACTCTTCACCTAAATGACCCTACAAAATTATAAAAATCAATACTTATTCTACACAACTAGACTATATATACTCTTAAAACAAACCACTTCAACAAAATGTTTAAAACATCTAATAAGTAAAAAAAAACAACTTTGGTTCTTTTTCAGCAACTTTGTTTCAAGTTATTGCTACTAATACTTAACCTTACTTTATAACCTTGATTAATTCAGATATAAAACTCCAAAAAAGGTAAATTATTTTGGATAATTACAATACACTAATTTTGAAAATAATTATATATATTGCAACAATAAATTCTGCACAGGGCCTTTGACCATAGGCCTTTCTTTGTTTATTCAAGATTATTAAATTAAAAATACAATTAATTAATAATCATAATTTAATGTAAGACCTGGTTATACTTTAATTTAATATGTTAGAGTTTTGTTTGTTAATTTTTGATTAGTTTGATGATGAATCATCTATATTTGTTTTAATTTGCTCCTAATGTATTTAATGTTAATGTATAAATGTTTTAGTTACAAATAGGACTTAAATGAAATGTATTTTGTAGAGGGCCAAGAAAGTTTTTGATCCATCTGACAACAATTTGCCTAAGAAGAGAGGACGTCCACTGGGATCAGGAAAGAATCAAACTGAAAAATACAATAACTCGTCGATGAGTAGTAGACATAGTGATGGTGGTTACGATTCTAGACCGGAATCGCGTTCATCATTGAATGGTCGTGGAGAGGTGCAAGGTGGCGTCTGCTCGGTATGCCGTATCCAGAACAAGAAAGGTCCCAATGAAAAGATGATCTCTTGCCGGGAATGCAGTAACAAAGGTAGGCAGTTGTACTAAATAGTGCAAGTGTAGTAGTTGATTTACTAACATTTACTTATACTGTGTGTTGTTTGTATTTTAAAGCACATTTGAGTTGCTTGAACGGTGACGACATGATGCTAAAAACGTACCCGGATAACACCTGGCAATGTCCTCACTGCAAGACCTGTTCAGTTTGCTATGAAACATCCTCTGCTGTAAGTGCTTAAATGTGATTACGATAACAAATTGAACCGGTTTATTAAAAGACAATTGTATAATGTTTAAGGGTACCCTTTATGTATGCGCGATATGCGCGGATGCTTATCATGTATCTTGCCATGATCCCAAGATCATGGAGAAATCAAAGACTGGAACGAAATGGCTTTGTCATAACTGCCAAATGCCCGAGCAATTGACTGTTGATAACATCCAACTAGGGTATAACATGGAAGCATCGAAAATGAACCACGGTACTAACTTTTTTTAAACTCGTTCGACATTCGCATTTACTCTAAACCATTTCTTTTGTTATTGTTATCAGAAACTGTTGCTTCTCCAGACGTTTCGAGAGGTACAACACCTACGAACTTCCAATCTGCTCCTGTCAGTCCGACACCGCCGACCTTGAGTCCGCAGACGACACAAAACGGTCGCAGACACACCTTGACTGATTCTGATAGTAAATCAGAAACGCACAGTATTAAAGAGGAAGAACTAGAGGAGAATATCGATCCGAGCATCCCGGATGCAACAAACTGGAGTCCAGAGGACGTCTACGAGTATTTCTATCAGTACTTTCCCGACGAAGCTATAGTTTTCAAAGAACAGGTAAAATCTTTTGAGCACATCACCCCAAGGTGAATTAACTATAATTGTCAATAAATAATTTTAGGAAATCGATGGTCATTCGTTGCTCTTGATGCGGAGAATGGACGTTCTGAAAGGATTAACTTTGAAATTGGGTCCTGCGTTGAAAATATACAGGCACGTACTGAAACTGCAATACCGTAGGGACGACCACAAGCTTTACTGGGCTTGAATAAATACCAAAATGTTTTATAGTATATTGTATTTATTACTGTTATCTATTTCTATATATATGTATATATATATATTATGTAATGATAGTTAAGCAACAAGTTGGAATGATGAAGGTGATATTTTTTATACAAGTGTAGTAGTTTTATTTTAAGGAATTCAATTGATTTATATTTTTTTTTATATAAATTTATGCATAAACATTTAGTTGTTATTAATATATCATTACGAACACTACACACTATATCATTAAGTTTTCTGCTACCGCCAGGTTCAGCATGAACGAATCCATTGAAGAATTCGTGCACGATCTCACTTCGTTAGTCTGCAAAGAATTTATAAGATTTTCCGTTTTGCGATGAAGAGTTTGTTGCAATTTGCTATCGTTGCAGTTATCCTCGACCATTTGCACCAATTGCATTGTGATTTCTTTGTGCTTGCTTGTCATGCAAAATGAATCTACAGAATAATTTTTTTTATATGTTCAGCGTGTTTTTTTTCTTCTTATTTCTAAGTTAAAATTGTTTAAATACAAACCTTTTGATTTGCTCGCTATTGTTATAGTGTTATTGAGTAAATTTACAAATAAATCATAGTGATCTTGTTTTATAATAACACTTTTATCCTTGATTCCAGCAACATAGAAACTTTCATCCTGCAATATAAACTTATTAATATTTGAAGTAAAGTATAATAGGTAAAATGGGCAACCTTTAAATCAGAAGTGATTTTTTTAACGATTGGGAATAAATATTGAGTTGGATCCCTCAGCTTGAAATCAATTAAGGATGCTATTGACTTCAAATTCTAAAATATACAAAAACTTGTAGTCAATTTAAACTAATGTTGTAAAAGGTCTAACCTTCTGCAATGTTTCTAAGTTTGAGTGGTAAACAATAACATTCTTTTTTAATAATAAAGCATTCAAAATTAAAATAAATTCATGCCCCAATGAGTGAATTAAATCTAAAAACATAAATAAAACAGCAAACATAAATCAACAAAACAAAAATTACTTTTAAAAAAATAATAGATACCTTTGATACCAATATAATTGTTCCTATTACATTCTTTGATCTGGTTTCCATTCTCTTGACCTATATAGGAACCTTTCATGAAGGCTTCCAAGTAGATTTTCACTAATTGCACAGGATTCAAGTTTTGCTCATAAGATTTCATTAAAAGATGCCCTAGTTTCTCAAATTGGTTCGGGTTAAATGATTTTGTGACTAAAGCCAGAGAGTATTTCTTGAGTTCAGTTGCACTTTCCCAAATGTAGATCCACTCATTCTCTTGTGTTCTATGGAAATAGCTTTGCAGTGAGATGTCTGATACAAGTACATCTCTTATAGTTTGAGTGATATCTGGATATGACCATGTTATCAATTTCTCATTGTGAAATCTTTCTATAATAGAAAATGATTATTTACAGTTGTTCCAGTTTATAAATAATTTACCAATTATATGAAAAGACATCAGTTGATTCTCAGAAATTGCCATTGTTTAACGTTGAGTTGAGTGATGTTTTTGCAGAAGTTGTTTTTTTAGATTAATGAATTAGTAAATGAACTACAAATCAGCTGTTTCAGTTAACAACATGTAAACTTTATCCATTCAATATGTTTGTTTGGGATTAGATAAGATACGTGTATAGTGTTGTTTATATTTCAGTTTTTATAATTTGATTTGAAGTAATCCAAAAGTAGTTCAAATGATCAAAGTGGTTGCATCTGGTTGCAGCGATAGACTTAGGGTGGATTGTTGGTTGAATCGTAAGGATCAACGAATACAGCTGTCAAAAAATTTGCAAGTATTTAAGTTCATTTTGTCTGTCACTGTAATAATTATTATTACAATAATACACCGGTAAAAATGACGAAACCTTTTAAGTTGAGTTCTGTGTTGTTCGGGCATTCATCCGATGTTCGTTCCGTCTTCGCAGGACCTGACAACAGTTTAATCAGCGGTTCCAGGGATAAAACTGCCAAGTTCTGGCAATACAATGGGTTAGATGGAGATACTCTATGGTTATAGACAGTTAGCAATTATTATTTATATCTAGATCTGAAACGGGATACACTAATACCATAACCTTCAAGAACCAGAGGAACTTTGTTGCCTCTGTTATCTATTTAAAACCAACTTCGGAGTATCCTGATGGATTGGTCATCTCTGGTGGAAATGACAATTCGATTTTAATTTATAAAGCAAATCAGCCCACTGCTATATTCCAATTAAAAGAACACACAGATGCAGGTAATGTAAATATAATGCAATAAATTGCTAACATTAAACAATAACTAAATCTAATTATTTTTTTTTGTTTCAGTATGCAACCTCTCAGTTGGTCCAGATCCTGGCACTTTTTTCAGTGGCTCCTGGGATGCGACAGCAAAATTATGGAGTTTGGCAGAAAAACCTGGGTGTGTAGCCACTTATGATTTGCATCAGGCTGCAGTATGGTCAATCATATCATTATCAAATGGCAATGTTGCTTCTGGATCTGCTGATAGGACAATTATGATATGGACTAGAAGTGGTGAAAAAATTAAACAAATCAAGGGTAGGTATTAATTAATATTCAAGAAATATTTTATGTATTATTTTTTTATACTTTTAAAGGGCATACAGATTGTGTCAGAGGTTTGGTAGACTTTCCAGAACACAAGTACTTTTTGTCTGCATCAAATGACGCTACAATTAGGACATGGAACTATTCTGGGGAAAATTTGAATACACTCTATGGTCACACCAATTATATTTACAGGTAATTCTTGTTGGTTTTCTCCATTTTATTTTATTTCAATCTTTTGTAGCATTTCGAGAAATCTTGCTGTCGGCACCGACTGTTTCGTTACGAGCGATGAGGATTACACTGTTAGATTTTGGTATGATGGTCGTAATACACAAAGTATCAAATTGCCGGCTCGAAGTGTTTGGAGCGTTACTTGCCTGACTAACGGAGATATTGCGGCTGGAGCGAGGTATGTTTTTTTTTTATATTTTAGATGAAAATATGGATGAATTAATTTAAAATCATATTCAGCGATGGAATCATAAGGATTTTCACGCAAGATGAAACACGTGTAGCGGGACCAGAAGTTTTGAAGCAGTTCGAAGATTTGTTGGCTGAAGTGCAGAAGCAGAACCAGGATGAGATTGGAGGTTACAAAGTGTCCGATTTGTGTGGTCCGGAGGCCCTGTTCAACCCTGGAAAGACTCCGGGAGAGATAAAGATGATCAGGGAGGGTGGATACGTCGTCGCGTACAATTGGGTGGAAAACGGAGATGCTAGTCACTGGGAGAAGGTGGGAGAGGTGCTCGGAGCTAACGATAAGGGCAATGCGGGAAAGACGATGTTCGAAGGTAAAGAATACGATTACGTGTTTAGCGTGGACGTGGAGGATGGAAAGCCGCCGTTAAAATTGCCATTCAATAAAGGCGAAGACGTCTACGTAGCTGCCCAGAAGTTCCTTTCTGCTAATATGCTACCTGCTGAATACTTGGAACAAGTCCGTCTACCCAATCTGGTAGAGTGATCTATTGTTAATTTACTCTTTATGTTCATTTCTAGGTCGTCGAGTTTATTTTAAAGAACAGCAACGAATCAGCTCCAATGGCTCTGGACAATCACTATGTAGATCCATTCACTGGCGCCTCCAGGTATACACCTACTTCAGCGTATGTTCCAAACGCTGATAACATCGGAGGTGTAAACTATGATCCTCTGACAGGAGGCAGCAGTTACACTACTTCCACGGATCAGTCATCTAGCGCAATTCCACCTCTGCGTGTAGTAAACGATGGAGTCAACATGGATCCTATAACAGGCGGCAGTAGCTACTCCACATCCGGCCGACAAAGTGAAGATTTCTACTTCCCGCAGTCGTCTTATATACGGTTTGATATGGGCGACCCTCAAGTCATTTTGAACAAGCTCAAGGAATTCAATCAGACTATCGATGAACCAAACTTGCGTCCTGTCGAGGAGGAAATTATCTTGAAAATTGGAGACCTCTGCAACCAACCCACTGACGAAGAAAACGTATACAAAAAGTTATTTGAATTACTGTTTTGGCCTGATGGTAATAACAATGAAAATATTATCCAACAGGTAAATTAAAAGATATTTTGATTAAAGATAAAGTTTTTCCTGTCATCGACGTGATCAGATTGGCGATAAGGGATAAGAAGAACAACAACATAATAAGCCAAATGGATAACGGAGTAATTCTCGATAAATTGAAAATGTGCATTGGCGAAGGTTCTCATGTCGCCAATAATAGAATCGTGGCGTACAGAGCGCTCTGCAACCTGTTTCAACATCGGAGCGGAGAGCAATTGGTTTTCATTCATAGGGTTGAATTACTGAAAATGATATTCACGGTCCACACTAGCAACAAGAATGTCCAAGTTAGTATAAACAGCGAGGTTCTGATAAACGAATCAAACGTTTCCAATATTTTCAGGTTGGTTTGGCGACGTTCATTCTCAATTTGATTATAATGGTGATAAAAAGGCAGGACGAATTTGGTATGCTCGAAATTGCGGACAAATTACCTGATACATTAGTGATCTTGAGTGATCCAGAGGCTCAGTTCAGGGCGTTCGTTGGCATGGGAACGTTGATTTCTTGCGAGAACAAGGCGCTCAATAAAGAAGTTAAACGCATAATTCAAGGGAAAACCCAATTCTGCAAGACGATCCGCGATATAATCAGCGTTCAGGGAAACTCGGAAGTGGAAATAAAGAGAAACAAATGCGCTTCTCAGGTGGATAAAGAATTGCTACTTTAAGTTACAATACTAATATGTTCAAATTAAGCTTAAATATGAATCGGTAAAGTTTTATTTATGTTATTTACAGTAATTCCTACTTGCTGTTGATAAGCCAATCACTTTTTCAGGCAGCAGCATTCAATGCAGCACTGCGCTCCATTAAACGCCTCTCCCTCTCATACTCCTTCATTCTAATCACATAACTGAAACATGATAAATATAACATGTAATAGAAGAAATTGCTTATTATTTCATGGCACTTACTCTTCGTATTGGCAGTTCAAATAAGCATGTTTCTCATGCTCACATTGAACAGCAAATGGCCATACATCCTTCCTGCAAGCCTTGAACCGAAGCAACTCATCAACACAGTAGTCCCTGTTTTGCAGCGGAATTTTTGCAGATTCCATCTCTGCCTTCGTGGCCTTAACCGCTAGAATTCAAACAATTGTTAGATTTAGTGGTACCATAAATTATTACATAAACATACTTCGCTCCTTTCGTAGCTTATCGAAGCCTTCCAACGGGTTATTCTTGGGTTCTTTCAATGGATCTGGAGTTATTTCCGGGTGCAAATAAAGATTTAACCCGTTGCTAACACCATTTCCCATAATATTGCCCATTTTTATGCACTTCCCAATTTAGTACATTCATACACAGACCAATAACCTAAAAACTGTTTTTTGACAGTCCGCCCCTACCCCTTATGTAATTCTTCGGCTTATGCAACTCCTTTTACATAATCAAAGTTTGAAGAATTCAGTAGCAAAATTTGTTGTTACCGCATAATGTGTATATTAATAGAAAGGCAGATGAACGATACAAAATGCTTTAATATTAAATACAAATAAATACAAAAACGTCAATAAATAACTTAAAAACAATAATAAATTAAATATTTAACATTATTTATACATATGCAATATATGAACATATATATTATATATGTATACTTATATAAAAGGAGAATGGGAATAGGATGTTTTACATTTTTTTCTATCTCTGTATAGTTTTGAATCAATAGGAACAATATCTTAACTTCTTTTGATGTAAATTAACAAAACTTCAAGAGGTGTAATCGAAAAGTGTACGCGTCTCTTCCGTTATATCAATGAAATACTTTTCTCCATTTACTTGATAACCGTCTTGTCATCTCTGGTCTTGATAGGAAATTTGTTTTCATTGTAAGTAAGTTTAAGTTGATCCAATGTTTTTATGGCGCTCGGTAGAGATTTGCTTTCAGTCTTATCGGTAATTGAATTTTGTTTATGAACACTTGAGTTTTTGTTTGGTAGGTTTTCTGTGCTGGAAACGACGTTCTCCTCCTTCACGCTAGAGAGCGGCGGAGATCTGGGTTCGTACTTTACATACGAGGAGGCCATCTCCGGCGACTCTTCAACATTGAAACCGATCACCACGTGCTTCGGCGTAACGCCGCTCAGCTCGATCTTACGTTTCTCTTTTGCGATTTCTGTGTACCTGAGTTTCTTCTCGTTGGTATTCACGGTATTCCTCACCTTGGGAACTGCTGTGGTGCGCGTCGTGGTAAAAATCAAATCGAGATCGCGCGTAAACACCTCGAAATTCACGTCGTAGAATATGTCTTGAACGAATCTCCTGGACAGCAAACGGTAGGAAGTCTCCGATACCATTTTACAAACTTCGGAATATAGACAAATATCATGGAATATTGTTGGATTTTTCTGCTTCATATTTAGCAGCACCTGACGCGACTGCTTGTAAGCTACAGGATTCGCTAACATTTCGATGTTCTCCAAGACATTCTCCCTCAAATTCAGAGTATTATCGTCACACTCCTTAAACTCTTGTAATATTCCTGAAAACGTCTTAATTGATAACCATTCTATTCAAAGTGTTTTCATAATTTACCTTTCTTACATTTTTTCTTCTTTGTAGTCAATGTATCGTACGAACATCTTAGGCAAAACTTTAAATTATGTTTAGTGTTTTTCGAAATCCTGCAATTTTCTTCGCTGTCATCACTGTCCACCTCCGATTCTGCACATACTTATTTAGATACTTCAAGTAAAAATATAGTGAAAACATTAATTACCTTTTTCCAGATTTTCCGTAGTTGCGTATCTTGAAAACATCAAAGAATAATCATCATTTTCAGGGAACAAAGAGCTCAGTGAAATGGGCAAAGATATACCCATGTAACAGCAGCCTTGTTTCTTGGAAGAATCTTTTACAGAATACTTTTTCACACTGGATAAAGACGTCAGACTCAGACCTCCTAGTAGGTAATTTCCGAATACTCCTGTCTCACAATCCGTATAGCTAGAAATTAATTTTGCATTAACTAATTAGATTTAATTATTTCGAAAGTACCTCGTGTGATGCTTCCTCTGCCTGTCAAGACTATGCACCCTCAGGAAATTGCTGTTTTGAAAATTAGCGTCGGAGTTGTCCTCGACGTTTTGCTGTTGATTTCTTCGTATTGAACGCACCGTGGCGTAACCAATCAAATCTTGATGACTTAATTTACCTATAGAACTACTGCACGGCGAAATCGTTGATTTATCCGATGGCGTTATACCTGCATCGATGAATAAATTAGTCCCCGATATTATAAAAAAAGGATGAAAAATTACTGTTCATGGATACTCTTCTAGAGGATTCCGAATGCCTTCGTATCTTTATAACTGGTGTTTTTATGGTAATCAAACTGGAACTGCTTGGTATTGGACTTAACGTTTGCAACCTAGTTTCGCTAAAATGCAAAAGTTATAACTGAAGCTAATTAATATTTCTAAATTAAATTACTTTAAGATGCCTTTGCCTAGAACTGATTCGCAAGAGCTGACTCCTGAGGTTGTGGATTCTGTCACCGAATTATCCCTGTATCTCTGTGGTAGATCTGTCGATAGATGAGTATCACTCTTTTTATCTAAATATCCTCGCCACATCTCAAACGTTTTAGATTCGGATAATGATCGTTTGTGGTAACTAGCTGACACGTTCTGATTGGGTAAAGTTTGGGATTTTCCCTGAAAGGAGGTGTCCATCAGAAACATATCCAAATCGGTATCACTGCTGTCCATGTCCGCAATAAACATTTCGCTGGAAAACGCCAAATCACTTCTGTCCGATTCCGAAGTCGGTCGATTCGTTGCCGAACAATCAGGAACATCTTCGCCCCAATTTTCTTCCTCGATTATAGGCCATCTATCGTGTCTATCATGTCTGGTGCAAACCCAACCTGTGATTCTCATAATTATTATATTCACGATCTAAACCAAAGTTGCGAATCAAACATACCCAATTTAAATAGGGAATCCGCCCCAAGTTTAGTGGTGGCTATCAAACCGAGCGCGTATAGAGCTGTAGCTCTAATCGAATACACCTGACAGTTCTTAGCCAAATTTACTATACCAGCCAGGGAGTTCTTAGAATTCAGAAATTCAACTCCTCTAACCGAGCTGCCTAAATGTCCTAAAACCCATAACGCTGCCTTCAACTTCAGTATGTCCTCTTCGGATTCGCACAATCCATTATTAACGCATGGTACCATGGTCATTAACGAACCGTGATCGCAGAGAACCTGAAACCCCTCCGAATGCTTTGCCAATTGTCCGTAGATATGCGGTGGCAAAAACAAATCTTTTTTGCTGATCGATCTCAATAAACTGGATCTCTTATCATATCTACCGTCCTCTCCTCTTTGATGTAAAGTTAGAGCGTCCGCGATTTCACCCTCAATCAAAAACACGTACCTACAAATAATCTCATAAAATGAAGGTCTTACAATCATTATACGAATCGCACCTGAAATTGAAATATTCGTCCCATCGCTGCAATTCGTGAATCGCAAAATTATTGTTCTTTTTCTTAAGCGCTGCAAACCCGTTCGGCACGGAGAGGAATCGGATGAGAAGAAGCATACCCTTTTCTCCTAGGTGCAGCAAATCTGGATTGACTTTGACCAACTCCTCCAAATAAACGGGAACTTCGCAGGCTTCGTGTAGCGAGGCCAATGCGGATAAATACACTGACCTGGACTGATCGTTTAATTGTCCCGCTAATAGTTTGATACCCCACGAAGAGAAATTTTCTATTCCCGCTCGCAGTAGAATCAAAAGAAATTGCGTTGAGTAAAGTCTAGACGATTCTATGGAGCAGGTCAACACTTTCGTTAGCAGATCGATGGATCTTTTATTGTTCTGGTAGTCCAACGATGAAACGATCAGTTTTGCGTAGCAATCGTGATTTGTCGATGTCGCTAAATCTTGTAATCTAAAATGTAAAGACCCAAGTTACAATCGTTGAATTATCGTAAAGACAAGAGAGTTTCCAAAGATTATTATGCTTACACTTGGAAGAAGGAAAGATTAAGTAGTAATTGCTCCCCGGCCGGTTTGCTGCCCAATCTGCCAATGAACAGGAAATAGCTTTGGCACTGAGTATTGGACATATGCTGAGGACTGAACAAACAGTCGTGTGCACTTTTGCTGGTAGTGATCGATTTTATGTTGCTCAAAATATTTTCGAACCATTCTAAAAGCAGCTTATTAAAGAAGGTTTCGTTCAACGCGAGCAGACAGTCTATTAGCTCTAAGCCAACCATCGTGTAACCCTGAGAGTTCTTCGGTGAAGTTAGGTCCATGTGCGAGTACCGGTACGAAGACGGCGTGTAATAATCCACGAGTCGTTTCAGGAATGACCTGTCATTCGCATCGCTCGCACTTATTTCATGTTCAGTTTCACCCTAAAATTCAAAATGAAACGTTAAGATTATTGGCTTCAATGATTCACATGAAAATCAAACCTTTAAAATCATTTTAATAACATTCCAATTCCACGTGTAGGCATCTTTGTTATTCAGCACTCCAGTCTCTTTGATGACATCATCGCCATCTTTCATCACGAGCTTAAATTTTATATAAATAATTTAATAATGCATGTTGAATAGCACAATTGGCAAAAAATGCCTACCTGCGTTATTTTGGACCGTACATGCCTCATCTTGCTTTTACGAATCTGCTCGGTTCTATTGGAAGATTTGATGAAATTGCCGCTGCGCAATATGTAGTCCATGTATAAACTGTAGGAAGCCGGACGTCTTTTCAGTAGCTTGTGGAGCTGTTGGAGACCCGTAACCGCAGCTAGAGCCTGCGGTTTGTCCTTCGTTGCATAACCCAAGAGGTTCGGCAGCGCTGGTGTGATATTGCAGCATTCTGGTGGTAGGAATAGTTGTATCAGACGCAACAGTTCCCCAAGAAGAACTGTGGCGCGAACACATATGAAAGTATCACTAGTTGCAATCACCTCGGCCAACGCTTCTAGGAGGCCGGTTTCAAGGAAACAGTACAGCAGTAACGATAGGTGCATATCACTAATACTGGGGGTTGTACGGGCAAGATGGGGTAAAACAGATCGTCCCTCGGCCACGACGAATCCTTCGGCCAACCTCCAAGAGGCCTGCGGCTCAGCTGGATCAATAGCACTTAAGGCCACCGATAATTCATCCGTCCATTCTGGCTGAGGCAAATTCAAAAGCTCGTAAAGCAGATCCAATACTGCTTTCTGCAAATAAAATGATTCATGATAATCGCTGCGATTTATACAAATCGATGCGATTCCATACCCGAACTTCCAATTGGTTTAAATATAAGATGGCCACAATTGCTTTCAAGCCGGATGAGTCGCTAGGGCTGCAGAAATGTAAAATTCCTGGCCAACTGCGTAAAATCGAAAGGAGCGCCAGCCGACTACAATTGAACCGCAACTCCCTCTCATCCCTTTAAGATAATCAGATTACATTCCTAAAGACATTACGATCACAACGAAGAAGTATAACAAACCTATTCTTGTCCATCCAGCCATGTCTATAATGGAAATCACAATACGGAGCTGCGACGCAATGCAAATCAACGACCGCCTTGTCCCTTGTTATTGGTCGATCCAGCAATAGCAATAAAACCCCACATAGCGACTCCGCTATCCTTGGCGTCTGACATTCTAACAGGTTCCTGGTTATCGCCGAAACTCCTCCACACTCAATAAATAAACCTGGATTTAAAATACCTGTAAACAATGCATTTATTAAAAATGTCATTGAAACAAATTTTGCAATTTACCTAATTCAGATAATGCCGCTAAACAAACTCGCAGCAATCTGTCTTTTTCCTCGACACCGCCATTCGCCAAAGACACCAAGCACCTGGCCAAAACCTTGTCAAATAGGTTTGGTGCAATTAATAATACCCTTCTGATTAGTTTTATAGCTTCAATTCTTTCAATATCATATTTAATAGCCAAATCTAGAGAACGAACCACCATCAGTGGTATGAGCAGCTTGTTGAAGCAGTGAACATCTGATTCATTTGACAGCACATATCTTATTGCACGGAATGCACCTGACCTCACTTGAGTCAAATTGGAAACCAATGAAAATCTTAAACTGATGAAGGAAAATTAATTATTGCTATAGAAATCTTTAGAAAAAGTACACACCAATACAGAATTTCCTCTATACTGAATCCTAATGGTTCCAAATTTCTCTCCAGATGCATGGACAGTTTAACAAAATTATTCAGGTAATTCAAACGTTTAGCATCTGTTACATCCTTCGTCTTGCTCAGCATAGACAGTATCTCAACCGCATTCAAATGTGGATCTGCATTGAATTCATACAAATTATAGTGATTATTTTACTATGCAGAGGGGGGTGTGGGATGGATCTGTTTTGTCTGATTTGACTATCAACATTTGAAACTCACCTAATTTCAAATTTAATTTGATAACATCCTCCTCCTTCTGCTTGCCTGAAAATGATTATTTTTTGCTTTAAATCAATTGCACTTGCAATGTTATATTTAACGGATGGTAGCATACTTTTCCCGAATTTGCTTGAACGAATATTTCTATTTCTAAGCATCCAGCTAGACACAGCCATGTTTGTATTATTCCTTTACTTTTTTGGGACATCAAAATTGAGCGAAAAAAACTAACTGCTTGAATCATTTGGCATTAATAAAAACAGCTATGTTTCGATAGCATTATCCACTTGTAAATATATTTTTTTCTCAACTTATCTCTCTATATACATACAATTTACATATATATGCATGTATATATATATACATATAAATGTATTTTCAAAACGTCAAAAATCACAGAAGATACGGAAATAAGGTTAGGTTTAGGGTGCAGGGCTTACCCACATGAATACTAAACTCAGAAATTGCTGCCAATTTCCATACAAAAATACCCTGAAGCAAATACTTCTTAATACTACTGAATGAATCGAGCATTACTGTAACTTCTTCTAATTAAAAAAAATATACTTTAAGAACAATTGAATAAAAAAATGAGACAATTTGTTGAAAAATAATAATTATAATTTTTTAATATCCGTACGAAAATACTTAAGTATACTTTGATATTCTTCTGTTGGTAGAACTAAACTTGCTAATTATTAAAATGGCGTCGTTTGTATTTAATTGTTGAAATTGATTTTGTTATTGTTTTTGATAGATGCAATTGGATATCAATTACTGAACGAAATCGCAAAGAGCGTCTCAAAATTATGTCTCGAATTAAATCCAAACAGTCCACCGATGTTTGCGGCGATTGCGGATCCACAGGTTTGTTCTTTTTGAATGCATAACATTAAGTCACTTAACAATAATAGACACTTAAGTCACATCTCTTTAATTATGGGTGCAATGCACTTGTCACGTAATTGCTATTGATCATTCTCATAAATGGAATGTAAATTATTTAATTTTAATGCATATCATTTTTTTAGAACCTATGTGGGCAAGTATAAATAAAGGGATTTTGCTCTGCAATCACTGTTGTCACACGCATCGCAGTTTAGGAAGACATGTATCCATTGTCAAATCAATTCAGAAGAGCACTTGGCCTCAATCACTACTTACAGTGAGTTTTAATAATAGTATTTTAGCTCTATTTTATAAGTTTTTTTTACAGATGGTGTTTGAGTTAAATAATGGTGGAGTCAATAATATTTGGGAGAATCAGATTATTAAAGATCCCAAGCTTGCCAAACGCAAACCATCACCTACAGATTCACTGGAGTATTAGAATATATCCAATTAGATTTGTACATAGATTAATTATATGTATTGCAGGGACAAAGCAAAGTTCATCAAAGCAAAACACCAGAATTGCGAATTTGTGTTTAGATCACAAACTGAGGATAATATGGTCTGCTATGAAAATGAACTAGGCAAGCAATTGCATGCCAGTGTCAGAAGCAACAATTTGATAACTTCATTCAGATTGCTCATCCAGGGAGCAGATCCTAATTACTTCCATGATGTATGTAAGGAAATTTCATTGACTTCATCAAATTGATTTTATTCTTGATTGTAGGAGAAAGGTTCAACTCCTTTACATGCATCAGTAAAAGCAAATCAGTTGCTACAAGCTGAACTACTTATGGTCTATGGAGCTGATCCAACTTATCCAGATGCTAATGGGAAGACTGCAATTGACTATGCCAGACAGACTGTGAATAAAACGTTGATGCAACGTTTGATCGAGAGCCAATTTGAGGTGACGGATAAGTTCAGCCATTATTTATGCTACAGAAAACCAGATCACAGCCAGGGCGTCGATTTTTTAATACCAACAAGTGGAGCGAGATCGCATCCTGGCTCTATGGATAAATTGAAGAAGCTGAGCAATCAAATTTTTGAAGAACTTGTTAAGGACGTTTATGATGAGGTGGACAGGAGGGAAATTGAAGCAAGTAAGTTGATCACAAATTAATAAATTATGCAGTTTACATGATTACAATGATAGTTTTCTATTTTCTACTAACAATTTTGGATTATCTGTGTTTCCTGTGAGTACATTCTTAATGGTTAGATTTGTCAAATTTAGTTATATTTAAAATATTATGTTTTTAATGTAGTTTGGTTGGGTAGTGCTGACACAATAGACTTGAGTGCCGTTCCATTTTTACCGGTGGATCCAAGCCTGTCGACAACCAGAAATCAAAGCAGACAGAAATTGGGTAGATTTGCTTCACCAGAGTTAAACGCTTTGATATACGATATTCTGGTGGATTCTCAGAGACGTCAGAAGTTATCTGATAAAGGTAGTTTTACGCCGATTCGTTGCGCTCTAAAAATAAAACACGATTTTTGATTTAGGTCAGCCAAGACAAATATCGCAGCTGTCAGATGATGATCCATTGTATGATTCAGTTGCATCCGACGATGATTACGCCGTAGTTCCATCGGAAGAAGTAGTTAAATTTCTCAAGCATAACGAATAAATTGCTGATAATTGTATTGCTTATAGGTGTTAGATCAAAACCAGAACAATTCCATAGTGCAAAGTGAGAGGATGAAGAACGAGCTGTTGTCGAAAAAGCTGTGCGAATCTGCCGATACAATAAAAGAGTTAAAAAGCGAGATAGGAAATTTGAAAGGATTAATCGAGCATTTGAGCAGCGAAAATCATGATCTTAAAAACAGGTTAGCTCAGTGCGAGGTGAGCAATTTCAATGGGAACATTACAAATAAATTCGTGAGCAATGGGAACAGTGGACCGCAATCTTTGGATGCCTACTTGATGGTTTGTTTAACTTTTTCTCGCTTTTAATAATTATTAACTATTTAACATTTTGATTTTAGTCTCGGCCACAGGAGGAGCTCAACAATCAATTCTCGCTGAGCAACGGTAAAGTTATCGCTGACAATAATAACATTGATATTGATGGAAAGAAGAAAGGTCAGAGACCTTCGAGCATGTACGAGGCTAGGGAAAGGATCCGACCCGTCACGAATTGGCAATTGTTGAAGAAGGTTGATTCGAAGTCTAGTTTACGTTGAATGTACATTATTGATCTTCGTGGTATTTTCAGTCGAAGCAATTGGAGTCCAAGAATCAGACGATAATGCAATGCACAGAGCAAGTGACGAAAGGCATATCAGAATTGTGGAAGTGCATCCAAAGCGGATGCGATAATCATATCCAATGCGCTGAAAAAATACGCATCGCGGTAGTAAATTTGATCAAAGCGCTTCCAATGGTAAGCAATAACTTTTGAATTGATTATATAAATATGGGATTTTCAATATTACTTTAGGAAAACGATACAGTAAAGCATCTAATGGATAGTGTAGCACAGCTTCAAACGAACTGCGTTGGACTCGAGAACTCTACTTCTGTGACTAGTGATAACTTCATTCAAAAAGTTAGGTCTTCCGCCTATCAAATCGCGAAAGACACTAAAGAGCTTGTGACCAAATATAATGCGCATTAGGTGAGAAAAAAAACTACATCGCAATCGATCGTGCATATAAGACTAATCACCAAAATTAATCAGCATAGTATTATACAAAAATCATTCAAAACAATTTTTTTTATGTTAACAAACTTAATTTAAAACAAGGATTGCATGGAGGTGGTTGTATAAAAAAAAGTATTTTTAATGACTGAGTTTCTATTTTTTAGTAAGCGAGTATAAATATATATATATAAATATTATATAAAAATGGACTGAAACATATAAACTATGGCACACTAATATTATTTTTCTCTTTTTGTTTCATATATATAGAAAATATATTTTGTTCATAAATTAAATCCTATGTTTCGCCTTAAAATCGAATCTGTCTCTTTGTTGTTGTTCTTGCCTTCTTTGTTCATCAGCATTTCCATATGATCACAGCCACATTACCGCCAAAGAACATGTACAGCAGGTTCAAACATTCGTAAGAGATTTCAAAGCCGTAGCCTTCGCCTACGACGACGTGAAAAGGTGGTCCGAACTTTTTATCCATTTGGTCTTTGATCATCTTTGCTGCTGCCTGGAATCACCATCAAATTGGAACGCACTTATTGGACATATCAATTGATTTTTGACGATTTTCGTACCTCGTTATTTGAAGCAAATTTTTCGCATGCGGTGACAACCATATCGATAGCTTCTTGCTTCATTTCCTCAGGCATGTCTGAATTCTAAGAGATTTGCAAAAATGTAGCTCTCAAATTCGCTTATGGGGGAGTTAAAAATCAATAATTTATGACTCACCTTCACCAAGGGGTATGTGTGCACTATTTTCTTCTGTTCAGCGGGAGCACCTTCGCCTGCATCTGCCATCGTTTCAAAAAAGACCCAACGATAAACCTTGGCACGACAAATCAAATTAATAATTGAAAACAATTTTTAGAGCGCAAATTCGAATGGTCGCGGGTTGTCGGGTAACATACGAAAAACAAAGTGTTGCCAACTGTACGCACCAAGATTACCAATGGGATAAAGAAAAAAAACGAATTTCTAATGGAGAATATATTTATGGTATTTATTTACAAATCGCATCCTAGATTCTTTACTATATAAATGATTTACTTTTTATCTAAAACTTTGTCGACCCAGATGCCTAACTTATCCTCATCCTGAAGACCGACGAGTCTCTCCTCGACCTTGCCATTGCGGAACACCACCAAGGCCGGTATAGATCCTACATCGTATTTGGCGGCCACCTCGGCCATATCATCTATGTCCACTTTGGCCAAAGAGATCTTTCCGGCCCTTTTGGCGATAACGTTGGCAAGTCTTGGCTCCAACACTTTGCAGGGTCCGCACCAGTTGGCGAAGAAATCGACGATTATTGGTTCTTTTCCCTTGCTGTTTTCGATCCTCTCGAGGAAGTCCTTCTCGTCCTGCACTTTGAAAGAACCACTCTTGAAGCGAGCCACAATCGGCGCAACACTTGCATTCTTGCTGAGAACTTGCCTCAGTGCACCGACTTTAAAAAGGAAATTCATGTTCGCTTTAGATTTTGTTGCTAAACGTTTGAAATGATTTTGCGAATGATATCAAATGATGTCAAAGGCGACGAAATACGCAAGTCATACCAATGTTCAAATGCACGAAGAATTTTCGCCTCTATTGATCTTAATAACTAATAAACAAATTCTAAGATAACGTTCGAAATTACAAAAGTTTCGCGTAAAATTATGCAACACCCAGCAAGATGATTATCTAATAGCTTTAATAGCTATTTCAAATATATAAGTTTAGCCAACATCGAATTTTTAAATGCCCCAGCAGTTTATTGTTTTGTTATTGTTGAAGATAGATATGTGATACATATTATAACAATATTATCTATTAATCCGAGATAAAGTATACAGAAACATGTCTCATTTCAGTGGAGCCCTCCAATTAACTGATTTAGATGATTTTATAACACCTTCTCAAGTAAAGTATTATTCTGTGTGTTAACTCATATAACCTAGATGTTTTATATATTTAATTCAGGAGTGCATTAAACCTGTACAAATTGAGAAGACTCAAACAACAACTGGAGCAAAAATATCTATAGGAGAAGATGGAAGCTACAATCAAATGGATGTGGTGTGTAACAAATTTTAAGTATGCATTCAATTTTACATTTTCAAAAAAATTATAGTCAGGATCCTTCCAGAAGTTGGAAAAAGTTGAAATAACTTTAGCAGATTGTTTGGCTTGCTCAGGATGCATTACTTCAGCAGAAGGTGTTTTGATTACACAGCAAAGTCAAGATGAATTATTGAGGGTGTTTCAGGAAAACAAGGTGATGCAATTACAATAACTTATAGTCTTGATTTTATTAATTTCATAATTGTAGAAATGTGATAAAAATGAGGCCAAATTAATAATTGTTTCAATATCAATTCAACCTATACTGTCATTAGCAGTTAGGTATAATTTGGCCCCAAATGAATGTGCAGCAAGATTGGCAGGTTACTTTAAACATTTGGGAGCTGATATTGTAGTTGATATGAGTTTGGCTGAAGGATTTGCTGTATTGGAGAATCAAAAGGAATTTCTCAATAGATTCAAAAATGCTCCTAAGACATTACCTATGCTTGCTTCAAGTTGTCCAGGTAATTTAATTGATTATTTATTTATTTGATTGCATATTTTGATTCATGTAACTTTTAGGTTTTGTTTGCTACGCGGAAAAGACTCATGGTAATTTTATTTTACCATATATTTCAACTGTTAAATCTCCTCAGCAGATCATGGGCAGTTTGTTGAAGAGTACTTTAAGTAAAAAGTGGGATGGTAAATTAGTATATCATGTCACTGTCATGCCTTGTTACGATAAGAAATTGGAGGCGTCCAGGAGTGAATTCTTCGATGCCGATAGCCAAACCAGAGATGTCGATTGCGTGATTACGTCGATTGAATTGGAACAAATGTTAACTAGAGAGGGAATAACTTTACTGGATATGCCGAAATCAACATACTCTCAGCCATGGTTAGATGGTAATGAGGAGATCGAGATTCAATTGACAAGAAATTTGGGGTCCGGTTCAGGTGGATACTCGGATAACATTCTAAAGAGAGCGGCCAAGGAGCTAATTGGCTTGGAGTGCGACGAGATTGTCTACAAGAATTTGCGCAATCCAGATTTCAAAGAGATACTCTTGCAGAATAATCAAGGAGAGGTTGCTTTGCGTTTCGCCATCGCTAACGGCTTCAGGAACATCCAGAACGTCGTGCAGAAACTGAAACGTGGCAAGTGTCACTATCATTACATCGAAGTGATGGCTTGTCCTTCGGGGTGTCTGAACGGCGGTGCTCAGGCTAGATCCCAAGACGGGACTCACTCCAAAGATTTGATTGTCGCGCTGGAATTGATGTATGAGAAGTTGCCTGTACTGAATCTTTATGAGATCAATGAATTTGCTAAGGTTATAATTAGCAAGGAGGAGATGATGCGCACGGAATACAAAGCTGTTGAGAAAATAAACACGGCCTTGAATATAAAGTGGTGATCAGTGATTAAACATGTTTGTTTTTTAAATAAAATTTATGATTTTTAATTGTTTATTACTCATTGAAACTGCCATAGTTGGCAAGCGTGACGATATCGATGACAGTGTCAAAAATGGCTATTGTTTCTATTTACTTTAACTAATTTGCATTGTAAAACATTGATTGATTCGCGTACCGTTGTAGTTCAGAAATAGGATAATGTGCGGCTGAATCGAAGTTTCCAGTTAAAGCAATCACTATACATAAATAATATGAAACAAATTATTTGTTAAAAGTTAAGGGCAGTGTCAGGAATACACACACACTCATATAAAGAGAGAGAAAGATAAAGATATTTGTAGCACAAAGATGCCTTGCAGCAAGTGCAACTCTGATTTTAATGTGTTGAATTGGAAATTGAAGTGCTTTGAGTGTGAAACTAATTTCTGTTCAAAATGTTTAACAAAAGTCTATGGGTAATTTCAGTGGACACACAGAAAACATTTAACAATTTAAATATTTCAAATTTTAGTAATACTTATTGTGATGTATGTGCAATTTTAATTATACGACCCCCAATTCGGGATAGGCTGATGGAGCTGAAATCTAAGGATTTGCAAAACTATTTGAACAAAAACAATGTATCCACATATGGAATTGTTGGTGAGGTTTAATTGTTTCCATTTGATATCAGTAAAGCATGACTAATATGTCATTATCTTCCAGAGAAACAGGAGCTTGTTGAGCTATTTTATAAGAAGCCCATGCCAGCAACCAATCAAAAATCCAGCAAAAAATTCTACAATCCTTTATCTGGATCTCTACCAAACAAATTGGGACAAAATTTATTCCAAAAGTATAGAAGTGAGTTCATGAATTGCTGTTTTGTATATTATGATATATCAATAATGAGCTGTTCAGGTAACGCTGAGACAACGTTTAATACGAGAAATTGGACCAATGGTGGGCGTTCCTCTGAGCATTTTGCACCGAGACAAGCCCCACCCCCGCCGCCGCCTCCTAGGCCACCTCCGCCGCAACCGTCGGCACCGCCAGCAGATCCAATCCCGGAACCGTCGACGAATGCGGTATTTATTTGGATATATAACATTTTCGTACTGAGAACATAGTTTTTAAAGGGCGAAGGATCTCAGGCGGATAGTAGCCCGTTACAACGTTTGAAGCTATCCGATTTTCATTCGCCGGAAAATCTGAATGATCTATCAGTGAAGCAACTGAAGGAATTGTTGAATTTAAATCGGGTAGATTACAAAGGGTGCGTGGAGAAGGCGGAGCTTCTCGAAAGGGTGAATCGTTTATGGCAGGATTGCCATATGAGAAAAACCGATGGTATCTTTGATTTATATTCATGTATGTTTGCAATGAGTTTTTCATACAACTAAAATGATATTTCAGAATCCAATGAGAATTTCAACGAGTTATGCAAAATCTGTATGGACGCCCAACTAGATTGCGTGTTATTAGAGTGCGGTCACATGGCGACTTGCATCGACTGCGGCAAGAGATTGGCCGAATGCCCGATTTGCAGGCAGTACGTTACGAGGGTCGTAAGAACATTCAAAGTTTAATTGTAATTGATCATACCTACCGGCTACTCGCTCCACGATACTTCTCAAGTACTAATGCAAGTAAGCGAATAACAAAATTATACTTTACATGTATCGTGTGGTGAGCGGTCGGCTTTACGTTTTTGTTAAAACAATAATGCCATACAAGTTTTCATTCATATCAAAACGCGAAAGCAAATTTTGTAAATATTTTAGATTCAAATTTTATATGGGGATTGCCCCAAAAACCCTAATCGGATAAGAATAGATATATATATATATATATTAGGTAATCTACAAAGAAGAACACATGCCTCTATATATTTAAAGTTTATTAAATAATGAAAGAAATCTTTGTGATAAATATATTACATAACAATGTTATGAAATTATGGACAGGATCGTAGATTCGTACCAAACTCTTTGTTTTCTTTTTTCATTCTTTATTATTAATTAGGTTTTTATTGATGTCCAAAACTTGCAAACAATATATGTGTATATTTTGGTGTATAGCGAGGAAAATGTTTTTAAAACAAAAACTGTTTTATTATTTGACGTTTATTTTCTATTTTGATATGCGATTGTCGAAAATTCAGTGACACTGAGAGACGACAGAAGCGCTCACACAAAAAACACGTATCAATCATGACCTAAATTTTTAGTTTTTTTCGCTTCCTATATCCGTAAATCCTTCTATCTATCACATTATACAAACGAATGTATAATGAGCGACGGTGTCCTGGTCACCATCATCCTAACTGAGTCGACTGTCAGCACATTAGGTGTTAACGTGCAAAATGTGGAAGAGATCAGCGAAAGTTTGGGTTCGACTTGGGTGATTGATACCATGTACAAGACGGATCTTTTTAAAAGGAACAGCAACAAGAGTTTGCTGGAATATCTGTTTGGTTCGAGTGATTCTTTGGTGGGACAAGAGATTGCGGTATCCGTCGCTTACTTCTCGAATCACTTCAATCCGGATTTTGATGAAATGGATGAGGGTAAGTGCGTCGATGTCATTTAGGGATCAGCTTTATTACCATTTCGTTCGCAGATGATGAGATTGAAATGATCGATGAAAGTGAAGAGCTGACACCGGAAATGGTATATACTAGGCCGCTAGTTTCTGCGAAGAGTGCAGCACACGACCACAAAATCGTGTTTGAGAACAACAAGATATTGTTGACTGCAACGAACGAAGAGCTTTCGCTGATAGAAGATTTCGATTGGATGTGTCGCATTTGCCACGGGGGAGAAAGCTTAGGTGATTTGCTATCCCCTTGCAGATGTCGCGGAAGCATAGCCTTAGCGCACATAGCTTGCTTGGAGAGATGGCTAAAGGAGTCTTCGAATAGCTATTGCGAGCTGTGCAAGCACCATTACCAAATCGTCAGACAACCCATGTAAGGTCTTCAAATGATTTCGTGATACTTTAATAGCAATTTTGATTAACAGGTATAACGTCCCATGGTCCGTAATCGTATATCTGGGCAATCCCGGTGACAATCTGAAGGACATAGTCTTCGATCTGTTAGCACTAATCCTGTACACTCCGTCGGCCATAGCCTGTACTTATATGCTCATGCTGATCTGTGAGAACGTCACCAAATCCCAATTAAAGAACTCCAGGAATTTGTCGGCTCATTTGGTGGCGTTTTGCGCGGTTTTCGGAATGGCTGCCATAGATTTCACGTATTCCTCATGGCTGATCGTGACGTTCCAAAAGCACGTGAACGCATGGAAGTCTTGGTACAGGACCAACAGTTTCCTGAAACTGATCCTCCCCGAATGGAAGAGGAAGCCCTACCGACAGAGTCAATTCGTAAAAGACCATTAATTATTTATATTTTATTATTATTGACGATGGTAAATAAAAGGATTAAGCGAAGATCAATCTTTGCCGAAAGCCGCGTCCGTTTTCGGCTGGTCTACACGAAAGATGTGATTGGCCACGTTGAAGTAACCCAGGTACTCCACCACGTCCGGCGTCGTATCGATGTGATAATGACCGGCGTTTCCGTGATCGCTGAACATGTGGAAGTGCTGCTCCCTCAGATCCATGTTCTTCGAATACACTTATTAATATTACGCATATATTATATTCGCTTTGGATAAGTCTTACATAAGTTCCCGTTACCAGCGTTCCCACAGCAACTAAGGGTGATGACATATTGAAAAACTGCAACCACTTGTTCAACGTTTCATCGTCTTCGATGGGAGTATCGGAGAAGTCCGGCATTATGTGCAACTTCGCAGAACCCTTCTTTATGATGAAGGTACCACCGAGGCCGACTATACCATCTTGCGACTTGTAAGCTTCACTTAGGACACTCCGAATGCTCGCGATGAAATCGATAGTTCCGATGCGCTTCACCGCGTGCACTTTCAAAACCTTACCCTCCTTGCCTTGCGAGGAGTACAGATTACCGAGGAGACCGAATTCGGTTATGCTGTTGTTCAGCTTCAACTCCATCGGAGATCCAGTCTCTCGATTCAGCATACCGATCCTGCTCTCCTGTTTTATTTCATCCCCGACGTTGATATTAAAAATCCCCTGTAACATTCATCATAATTCAAATTATTGCAATACAATGAGAATAGGAAGCAATTACTTCGCAATTCGTTTTCAAATGATTGAAGGGTCCGGCGCCGGCTCCGATGAGGAAGGCCGGTTTATTTCCACTGATCTCGGCCATGTCTTTCAAGTCGTAAACCTTTGTCCTGTCCACCAGAGGTATCAAAAAGCTGGGACCGCCAATGTCCAACAAATTCGGATTTCCATTCAGACCTTTAGAAACGTACATTGTGTTTACCTGTTGTTATTAAGGTTCGTAACGCAGATTACCTTTGTTCGCAAGGTGGAATGGTGCTTGTGTTAAATCAGGACAATCCACAACTTCTACGAGGACCTCCGAGAAATGCGCTTTCAGCCCATTATTAAGCACTTAAAAAAAAGGACACAGACATTTAGTGGAGGACAATAAAATATTGAGTTACAATAACAACGTAATGATAAAATTTATGGAACGCAACGCAATTAAATATTCATTATCTCCCACCACCATCCCCCAAATAGCGCATCGAATATCTGTATAAATATTACAATATTGCTTCATAAATGTGAACACTTCTGTGAACGTAGTTTCGTGCTATTGTTTAAGGTAAGATATTTTTGTTTTTTTTTCTAAATAATATTTATAACAAACCGTCAGCTACTGCTCGCAATTCTGGGACGTGGAAAGGCTTCTTAACTACGGGATAATCTTTCTTGCACAGAGCCATTCTACTTAAACATGAAATTATTATTAATAAAATAAGCATATTGTTTTGTAATTGTGTACGTTGTTAATTGGTAAACGATAATTGTACGTACGCAGACAAAATGGTGATTAATGTTCGCTATCTGGAGAAATTAATTTTCTGGACGTTTACTTTCCAATTAAAAGTTACTAGGTCATCATCAATCTCTGATAATTCCATTTGTTTAACCTTACGTTAATCGCGTTTCGAATTTGGCGCGCCATCTGCCGCCCGCCTTTCCGTTTCCAGTATAAACAAAATGCGTGCCGGCCATTGGCTGATTATGTTTGGATGGGAAAAAAGTGCGTTGGTGGTGGAAACGCCATATTGTGTTTGTGTGAGCAGAAGCCGCTACCGTCCACTTTGTGGGGGTATTTTTTTTGTTTAAATATAAACAATTAATTATAGAAATAAGCGTAAATCGGCGGCAGCAAAAGTTGAAGGTGGATAATTGCAGTTTGTAGTTTCGGTAAGCGGATTCAGCGAATTGTTGCACGCACAAATCCGCTGTCGGTGGCGGCGACGGCGGCTTCCAACAATGGGCGTTGCAAAATTTTCGGGATTAATCGATAACGCGATGTAATCAACGCTAACTAAAAAAAATTCGCGTCTCTGTGGTTTTCAGGTTAGGTGCAGCATCCAGGATGTCTCGATACGGTTCAGACTGTAAGGTATATGTGGGCGATCTGGGCAATAACGCTTCCAAACAGGAGCTGGAGGACGCTTTCGGATATTACGGTCCGCTGAGGAATGTTTGGGTCGCCAGGAATCCTCCCGGATTTGCATTCGTCGAATTCGAAGATGCCAGAGACGCAGAGGATGCAATCCGAGGATTAGGTAAAGGTCTTTATTGAAAACTTTGTTGGGGTTTTTGTTCTGACCTCACTCTGATTGTAGATGGAAGAACCATATGCGGCCGCAGAGCTCGCGTAGAAATGTCAAATGGTAAAACAGGTGGAGGTAGATACAGAGGACCTCCACCTAGGTCTCGTGGAAGACCCTTCCACCCTGATGATAGGTGTTATGAATGTGGGGACCGTGGCCACTATGCCAGGGATTGCAATAGATATAAGAGAGGAGGTGGCAGGAGGAGGTAAGTTCATTTTCATAATCTCTTTGATTCATTTAAATATTTTTTGTTTTGATATAACTATTTCACTATTCAATTCTCTATATTTATATACAAAAAAGAAATCAATTTTCCATTTTTTTTTGTTTTCAACTTAAATTTTTATTCATATGATGCATGATGAAAGGTGTGTATTTAATTCTTCCTAATTGGAATATACTAATGCATACTTTTTATCAATTGCACTATGCTAGTTTCATTTTGGGAAAGTTAATTGTTGTATGTTCTAAGTGTTTTAAGTAGTAACTACAAAAAAAAAGAGATTAAGTGAGAGAGAATAGGGGTCAATTCAAAAGGTTACGTTAAACAAACTAAAAGTTAGGGTTACAAAGTGGAATGTAGTGTGGGTGACAGTGGTGCCATGTTATAGGTATAGTCTGTGGCCGATAGTCAGGTAACGAACGCATTGAGTCTCATTCACGTCTCGTGTTTGCCAACCCGCTGACTGCGCAGAGCCGCCTCGTAGTACCTTCTCCGCTGTCTATCTCAATGTCTGCACACACACACGACACACGCATCTGCTTGATCTGTTAGACCATCGTGAGCCGGTGTGTGCTACTCTCTCACAAAAGAATTATTCGGGCTAGTGTTCTTTATGCTCTACCAACTGATCCGATCATGATCACGACACAGCTCTCGCAGATTAATGGTAAAAAGTATTTCTAAATATAATATATTATTACTTCTATTATAATAATAACAAACATATATCTATTCATAAATATGTATATATGTGCAAAACATTGATTTGGTACAACATTGTAAATTTGTGACTAATTCCATGGAGATATCTTCGAGATCTACCAGTCTACGTTTGCTTGCGCCGTTGTCACGAAGTGAGCGCAGTACTTGGAGCACCGCCCCGAGTACTGCCCTCACCATCACATTCTCTCAGACACGTAGCGCATAGAGTGAACGGAGGACGAGCGAAGAGATAATGCCCCCACATTAAACAAGAGCAGAATAGAAACAACCTCCTTTTGCACATTCATAATAATTAGTTGTCATTTAGTTCAATACCTTTATTCAGGTTTGTATAAATAATATTTAAAGATTAGCAATTCGGAGTGGTACTAAGAAGAATATACTCTACACACCCCCAATGCCTACCGCAATTGCAATTGTATCTAATAGATTAAACGTTTCCAGGTCTCGCAGTCGTTCGCGTAGCCGTTCTAGGGATCGCCGAAGCAGGTCGAGGAGCGCTTCCAGATCAAGAAGTCGTTCTCGTAACCGCTCTCGCTCCAGGTCACCCTCTAACAAACGATCCCGTTCTCGCAGCAATGATAGAAACTCCAGGTCCAGATCACGCAGCCGCTCGACGACAAAACAGAACGGTGGCTCGGGAGGACAAGACTAGAAATTTTGGACGTACTTTTACAAATTATTCTGATCCAGAGGAGATAACGCAAAAAATATTATTTTTTTTAATTTAAAAATTTTCGGTTTCATCCTCTATTCTTACTTTATTTTTTAAATTATTAGTCACTTTGTGTTTCTTTTTTTCTGCTGCAATGGTTCCATGTAACTATTATTTTCCCCCCAATATAAATGTGTGTTTCGATTTGTAGCATTTATTGAATAAGGAAAAAACTGAGGAGACGGCGGTTAGGAAGAGGCGATTCGTGAAGAGAATTTAAAAAAAATGCCGAAGGATTTTCATTTGTTTGTTGAACGGATCTCGTATACATATAAGAAGTATATTGTAATAAATGTGCAATCACAAACAAACATTATATTATTTTACTTAATGCATCCACGAAACATCAAATGTGAGTTAGTTTTAATACAATTTCGAGGGATGCGCGTGCAAGATTGAAATTATGCTTTTTTATCTTCTTCGACGGCCGCTGGTCTTGAAAAACACTTGGTGTAAGTTGTATAAATATAGACGCCACCAAATAATTATTATTCGAACTATTTAAATGTATAATTTAATATAATAAGAGTGTACACAATTCCGGAGGTGTTTATTTTATAATAATAACTATAATAAACAACAAAAAAATACATGACGTCTGAGCAAGAATTAACGTATCCTTACCATTTACATCCGGAAAAAGTGGAATCCTGCTTTAATTTTCCTACACGATTTTAAGATTTAAAACACCCTCTTCTGGACGATGTAAATGACGCAAGCAGCAAAGAACGCAAATGCAAAGAAAACCAGGATTTTGTCTGTAAATTCGCGACGTCCGTACTTGGCAAGTAATTTCCCGGATTGCGTTATTGTACCGGAGGTGCTTTTAAGCTCTTCCTGAGTACCAACGACGTTATCCGATGAAATTACAAGAGTATCCAAAGTTGCTGCACTCCTCTTAGTCGTGTCCGCTAGTTGCCTACTGATGGACAACAATTGATCTGTTACGCTCGAACTCATCTTCGCCATTCCCTCCTTATCCCTCTTCTGTCGCATCCTAAGGCCATCCTCGACATTCACCTTCTTCATCAGCATCTCCTTCATCCTCGCTTCAATAGTTTTCATGCTCTTTATGTTGGCCTCCTTGAAGTGGTCCATCGATGTAGACAGCTGCTCCCTGTATAGCACCACCTCCCGCAGCAGCTCATCGTCACGGATATCCTTCGCGATGTCTGTGTAGCTGTCGATAAACTTGCGGAGCGCCGATATTTTCGAACGTCCCGCGCCATTTAGATTCTTGAGCTCCGCCAGAGGGCCTTCACAAGCATTGATGTCCTGGCAACACACAATAATGGTAGATCGCGAAAAATTTAGAAACTTTGCACGGCAATAAATGGAATACCTACTTGGATGAGCGCCTTCAACTGCAGATTGTGCTGGGTGATGTCCTGCCGCAAGCAGTTCACCTTAAACCTGGTGGAGTCCATCGTGGAATTGCTAGAACATAACAAAAACCTGGCAACAACCACTGACACAACTCAAGATCGCGCAACCAGCTATACTTTTTGTAAACAACAATAGATTGCGCTCAGCTTCGCCAGATCTATTTCAATTTGAAAATCAGAACCTCGCAAAAAATCTAATAATAACACACTAATTATTGACCAGACTAATTATAATCGCATTTAGATTGAATCTAAGCAAAATTGCATACATATAACTTGTAAATTCCGATATGTTTTACGTAAAGATGCATAGGGTATCTTTACAGTTAAAATTGAAACAATTTCAAAATAGATTCCATACCATTCTTGTTTATTATAGGAAATAATAAATTAACAAAAGAAAAAAAAATCACAGCAATATTGTTATATACTTAAGTACAACTAAGCCTCGGAATAAATATTTCTATTATCACACATTGATTAATTAATATTTGGTTATTCAATAATAGTTTGTTTAAATGTATATACCTAATGCATAAATCAATATAAATGAAGAGTCAAAATAAATAATGCAATCATAATTTTGGTTCCATTTGATGTTGAACTAATTTTTGGGAGGAACATATATTTGCAATCATCCGCGCACTCGTCTTAAACTAGATGTGCAAGCGCGCAGCAACGAGTTGTTTGAAAGCGTTTGCATCGAATAAACGTAGAAGGAATGTAGTAATCAAATGTGCAGGTAACATATTGTAAGTCTACAGATTCCCGAAAGTCTTTATGTCTGCGGCAGAGATTCGATTTCGCCCATTTCGGTTACGGTCTCATCTTCGACGCTGTAGCTCACGATGAACTTGAACGAGATTTTCACTTGCTCAGGATTCGAGATTAACATCACCTGCGTTATGGTTGCCGCCGGCAAGAATGGTTTGAACGCAGGTAGTTCAACAGATGAAGGAGACTGAAGTCTCACTTTACATACCTAAAACATAATGAAACTCTTATAAACGTTATTTGCAATTGCTATATACATACTTTAGGTACGATGGCGCGGAAGAGGACATTCGTTAGGGGAAGCTCATTTTTGTTGGCTATCGAAACTATGATGACGATTACATCATCGCGTGGTTTGTCTTTGGCAAAATGCAGTGTTACGGTTAATCCGTTCTTCTCGTCCAGCACCACCAGAGGTTCGATCGTGCTCGGTCTTACGTTTTTCAGGTCAATGTTGATGTCGCAGAACTTGATTGGTTGCTCGTATTTCTGAGGCGGAGTTTCTGGACTCGCGACGCATTCGAAGCTATCTCCTAAACTTAAGCCAGTGCTAATATCAACCAAGTTATCATCGCCGTTCGATTCGTTGTTACTGTCGTGAGATTCTGATAATAACAGACTGTCCAAATCCAATTCATCATTAAACAAATCAGCTGACATTCTTTTCGATACGTCGTCGCCTAGTTTAGATACCAAGAGATTCATTGGTATTTTATCTACGAGTCTAAAATAAAGATGTTAGAGAAATTTTTATTATTTAATTAAGTCATTATTACTTATTGAAATTGGAGCCGAGACGTGCAGTGGATTGCAAGTTCTCTTTCAACAAGTTTTCACTCATTTCGTCCAGGTCTTCGAGCGCCTTGAACTTGTTGTTACTAGGTTTCTCTTCACTAGTCTCTGTAATTACGAATCCAATGATTGTGGTACAGTGATATTAAACACAAATGTTACCTAGTAAATTGACAGCGATGGGTTTTAAAATATTATCGTCTGCAGATTGTCCATCGTCATTGGGAGTGGTGAATATATCGCACAGAACGTCTACATTCGAATATGAGCAATTGTTCTTCTCGACTGGTATAAGTGGAGGAGCCGGAGAAGACGTTGCTTCTTCACCATGACCAGATTGCTGCAGCAAATCCAACGTGCTAATCTTAATACCTGCGGCATTTTCTATCAGATCCAGAATGGCTTTCTGCTTTTGAGCTTGCAGTTTAACACTGACGTCACCCTTTGCCACTAAAAACTCATACTTTTCAAAGACCTGCCCTAATTCATCATTAGCCCTCAGTATAGCAGCTAAAATGACAAATAATTAATTTGTTAGATTTGCTACTTCCAAATTGATATTACTTATATCTTCAGTGTTCTGAGCCTCGGACGCTAATTTAACAATACTTTGCCGCATCCTCTGGCAACTGTCGTGCAGCTCATTTATAATATCCAGTTCATCGATGGAGGAAGTACCGGGAATATAAGAATCCAGCATTTCGTTAAGCAAACGAACATTGTTCAGCACAGATTCCAGCTCGGAAAAGCGTTTGCTCTTCATCTCGGTGTTTCTCTCATCCTTTGAACAAACAAATGAACAAAGTTTTTGCAAATAATTTGCATGTAAACATTTACCTCTTTGACCATACTTTTAATTAATCTGTTTGCTGCTTGAATATCCTCTGGGTTCCTGCTTTGTAACAACTTCTTCAGTAGTTTGGATTTCTCATCATCAACAAAAGCATTGTGATTTCTGCAAATGTTCTGAGGATAAACATCCAAGTAAAGTGGTGGTTCCCTTATGACACCCTGCTTCCTCAGCATCTCATAGGCTTCCTTTATCTTAGTCTCTTTGGGATAATTAATAGTCCAGACATACAACATGGTCAACACTTTCTCTTTTACAGACATTGGTGTTTGAGTGCCCAAGTATTTGGGAGAGACCAACTTAATCATCTCATTTAAGAAACGAAATTTTCCAACTTCTCCCTGGAACATTGCTCCACATTTCTTCATACTAATGTCTATTATGTACAGGGCCTGCAGCACCTCATATTCATTTCTTGAATGTATCTTTGTGGATAGTAATTTAATGCCAATTAAACAACCTTCCTTCTCTTTGTTCATCAATAAACAGAAAGCCTCCACTGCTTCTATGTCTGGATGTTGGGTTGAGCTTTGCGTAGCTCGGACTGTAAAGAAATTCGTATCGAAACCCTATGATCGTATAGAAATTAATAATATACTTACGAAAGAGAGCTTCCAAACTAACTTTCACTAGATCCATCCTCGCCGACGATAAAATCTGCTGAATAAATCAAAAAATGTTTACATTTCAGCACAACATTTTCCAACTGACAATTGATCTGACAGTGACAAACTTTGACATAAAGATTGTCACACGATTATAAAAGAAATTCAATTACAAGAAATTACGTTATTCGAGTAACTTTTGTTAAAAATAAAATAATTAAGGTTATTTCTAATCAACAAATATTACAATTAACGTTAATATCAGATAATTATTATCAGCATATGCAACCAGTTAAACTTCAAGGAAGAAGGCTTCGTTTGTTGCGAACTTCGTGGCAGATCTAAGCCAATCAGCTGTAGCCTGAAACGAGCAACATATTTCTAACCTACAGCCTACAGTTATTTCCCATGCATTAACTGGCATTAACAGCGTGTTTTTGGTGAAACATTTCTACAACACATTTATGCACATTTTGGTGTAAGCTTCGTTGGATAAGATCATTTTGTGTTGAGGTAAGTGATGTTACTTAATTAATGTTAACTATCATTTTTGAAATTGAATGTTAGTATATGTGAAAAGGACGTGGCTAGGTTAGAAACTGAATTGCTTTTGATTAATTCTAGCTTTATTGTTTTAGGTACATCCTTGTTTGAGACATCATTTCAATAGCAATACAAGCAGTTTACACCAGCAACTGGTGTAGGACGGACCTAAATTAACCGTTGTACCAAATAAAAAGTAAACAGAATGCCACAGAACGAATATATTGAGAGGCACAGGAAGCTCCATGGTAGGAGGCTTGATTATGAGGAGAGGAAGAGAAAACGCGATGCCCGCGAGTCGAGGATTCGGTCGAAGAAGGCTCGCACACTTCGCGGTATCAAGGCTAAGATCTACAATAAGGAGCGCCGCAATGAGAAGATTCAAATGAAAAAGAAGATCAAGGCTCATGAGGAGAAGAAAACCAAGAAACAGACAGAGAAAACTCCAGAAGGGGCTTTACCTGTTTACCTGTTGGATCGTAATGTGGAGAATAGAGCAAAGGTTCTCTCAAATATGATTAAGCAGAAACGTAAGGAAAAGGCAGGAAAATGGGATGTGCCTATACCTAAAGTGAGAGCACAGGGAGACAGTGAAGTCTTCAAGGTGCTGAAGTCTGGAAAGACAAGGAGGAAAGCTTGGAAGAGGATGGTCACTAAAGTAACATTTGTTGGGGAGGACTTCACCAGGAAGCCACCCAAGTTTGAAAGATTCATTAGACCAATGGGTTTACGTTTCAAGAAGGCCCACGTGACGCATCCAGAATTGAAGGCAACCTTCTGTTTGCCAATTATTGGTGTTAAAAAGAACCCCAGCTCTCCAATGTTTACATCTTTGGGTGTTATCACAAAGGGTACTGTGCTTGAAGTCAACATCTCTGAGTTGGGTCTGGTTACTCAGGCTGGTAAAGTGGTTTGGGGAAAATTTGCTCAAGTTACGAATAACCCAGAAAACGACGGTTGCATCAACGCAGTACTCTTAGTGTAATAGTAATAGTTTTATTTGCTATATAAGTTATATAATAGTACATAATTATTTTATACTATTTTGTATATAAGTTTTTTTTTGTATAAAATATTTATTGACAAATCTCACGACCTCATTTATTATTGACCTTTCCTGAAAATGGTAAAGAAGGAAACAAGTTAATGAATTGTTATGTATTTATGAAATTTTATTTCCGCATATTATACATCGTTTGGTATTTTTACGCTTAGGTCTCCTCTGCAGGAGATATTTCTTGCGTTTCGCAACTGCATACTCTAGTTGCCTCAATACATCTTCTTGCGCTGCTTGCTCTTCCTGACTTTGCGGCTGAGGTTGAAAATTATATGACTGATATTGTTGTTGCTGATCCTGCTGTTCTGCTACTGCTTGTTGCTGCTGGCATATCGATGCTGATTGTTGTTGCTGCTGCTGGAATGTCGATGCGGTTTGCTGCTGCTGCCATGTCGATGCTGGTTGTTGCTGCTGTTGATATGTAGCGCAATTGTTATAGTTTTTTGTTCGGAAAGGGCTGCTGTGGATTGCAGGGACAACACGTAGCTTGGGTTGACGACTGCGGATTCGGGCATCCAGGTATCACAGGGTTACCATAGGTTACAGTGCAATCGATGGGCACGCAGCAGTTCATTGGTACGTAATACTCGACTGGAACGTAGCACTGGGATTGTGCGTAATATGAGTAGCAGTAGCTCTGATCGTTCATGGTCTGTGTGGATCCGGTGGAGGAACGTGTTTTAGGCTGGGATCGAAGTGAAGACGATCCCAAATGAGACGATAATTTTTTTGAAGATGAAATGTTGAAAAATGACACACTGAAAATAAACAACACACACTTGTTTCCACCATGGGAACGATGAAAATGATGAAACGAATTAATCAAGAGATCGCTCGCAACTTTAAAATTTCTATATTTCACAGTACAAGTTACGTGCAACACTTGCAGACTTTACGGACGTACAGATGGTCCCCGCATCGACAGCGAAGATGCTTAGGGAGTGAGGTTGAGGAAGATGACGATTGGGAGGAGGAGGAAGTCCTGCTTTCGAGGTAATACTTGTTGCGCCAAATACGACACTCTTCTTCTGTGGTTGTCGTGGAGCACTCATCGGATGCTTCCCATCCATCCATTCCGGCCCGCATGTGGTCAAACATCAGGCATTCCCGAGGTGGACAAGACGTCAGCTTACTGATGCGGCATTCTTGAGGTAATTTGGTATATCTTAGACAAGAGTTATAGCAAACGCTGGGCGGCCAATCCGAAAATCTCCAGCTGACCTCCTCGAGCAGACACCGACAGCATGCATCGAAATTTCTTCTTGGACATCTCCGACAGCAGTGGTAATAACAACAGCAGCAGCAACACCTTCTTTCCATCCATGGACGAGACCGACGTTCCCGAAAACTCAAAACTAACGCGATTTGGCGATTCGACGTACAATAGTGAAACAAAACTTGTTTTGCTTCCGTCATCGTCGCTTTCGGTTCATCGCATCTCAAAATTTCCAGTGTTTAACTTACCACAAAATGAATTGGTAACTATTCCCAACCTCGATCCATTCCATATTAATTCCTATATCTTCAGTGCTGATTTCATCGAGAAATGCAACGGCATTACGTTGGACGGACATTCGCCTTTCGTTCGACCTGATTGTTGCACAACTCCGGGTCGCTTCACGTACAATCCACCGGACAATAAGCCCGTCTGCATATGTCCTCCACAGCCGTGTCCACGTTTTCCGCCCAAATGTGTCGGTACATACAACGCCAAAAGAGGAAAAAACTTCATGGCAGTTACATACGACAACTTGTACTGTCCCGGAAGGTGTACCAGACCCTGCTGTAGACACGTCTTCAAGAACTCTAGAGAAAACTATCCGCCCTGCAAATATGATGATCCTTGCAAAGCGCATTGCTACGATCATCCTGTAGGAATGAAACCCTCTGGTCGTTATCCACCGGATATCTATAGAGGACCTTTGCGTAGAAATTGTTAATTTACAACAAGAACAAAATACCAACTAAATCGATGTTTACGTTTAATTAAAAATAAACTTCAATTCAATTCAACATTCCAATCGTTCTGATTACTTAGATAGGCATCGTAAAATCAACGAAACTTGAATTTGTTACACATCTTTCAACTTACAGATTTGTTTGCCAATCAAATTGCCTTATTTGAATTAGCGAAGATCGTTATATAAAGTTCAGAGAGTTAGAACAACAATAATAAACTTAAGAAATCGAAACACTTCACATACCAAGTAAATTAAAGACGTCATAAATTATTAGCGTATAAGATTCGATGTACAGCTTTTTGTACATCTAATCTAAATCTTATACCAAGTCAAATAAAATATACTTTAGTGTGAATGAATGAGCGTTTAATGAACTAAATTATATAGGATCATCTGCGGGGCCTGTGCAAGTTCATGTTGTAAGCGTTGTAGTAATTGTCGTACCTACTTCTGTAACAATTTCGGGCGTCGCAAATGAGCTCAAGATGCTGTAAAGAAAATTAAATGAATTTAAAAAATGACAACAATTTCTCAGTAGTATTGCAACTTGCGTTTTTCTTTGTTGGTGTGCAATTCATTGGTGATGGCCAGGGTTGCCCGGTTCCAGTTTGTGCCGCATTCGGTCTGCCGGAACTCCCGCACTCCTTGCACAGCTTCACCAGAGATCTAACAAACAATAAAGATAAACCAGTTTGGTCATTGATGCAGATGCAACACAAATCAACCTTTATAGTAAGCATCAATAAAAGATAAATAAAATCAATTTGAATGATCATCCACAATTGCTCTTGGTATTATTGGATTGCTGCTTCTGCCATTGCTTCGCGCAATACTTCTTGCAGTGCGACGTCTTGTTCGGATTGTACTTGACATAGGGTTTCTGAGGAACGCAAGCCCTACCATCTACAGTCACAGCATCTACAGAACCAAACAGGCAGCGATAGGAGAAATCGCACTCTCCGAGATTCTTGTTGTAGCCCGATTCTCCATGATTTTCTACTGCTCTACTTCCACTGGCCCCGCACTCGCGGCATAGCGTCATCATCGTTCTACAAGCAGAAGAGGAAAACCCGATTCAACAAGCATTTTATTGAAGGCTTGGACTACAGAAACAGTTTAAATACAAATTAAAAGTATTTATTTTATAAACGACACGTCTTCCCATCCTTCGAGACTTGCTGATGATCACTTTCACAATCCTTGTCATCCGTTTTATGAGCGTGTTTTAAGACGCTTGGTTTGCAGCAGCAAATCTCCACGCCGCGATAGGATACGCTCTTTGGAGGGCAGCACGGGGATGGAGGACAGCAGGATTTCGGCGGACAGCAAGGCTGCGGAGGAGGGCAGCAAGGATCTAAGGTATCTGAGCAACAGCAAGGAAACGTTGGACAGCAGCAAGGACGCGGTGGCACAGGTATGCTGCAGCAAGGAAAATCTGCAACGGTATTTTTCTTATCCTTCTCGCACGATTGCCTTGCGCAACAATATGCCTTTCCGCACGCTAAAGTCGGCGGACAGCAAAGTGCCCGTTCGAAGGCGCTTGCTGGTGGACAACAAGTATTTTTACTCATGAAGAAGATAGGCGGACTCAGCGTAAATATCGGACTAGGGCTGCAAGAGCATGTTTTCTTCGGCTTCTTGTTATACTTTCTCCCTTTCCTGGGTCTACAAAACGCAACATTCAATTACGCATAAATGAACAACTGAAGGAAAAAATCCTTCCCATTGTAAATTAAACCAAAAAAAAACACATTTAATAGAAATCACATTCGAACTCACTCACTTTCGTTAAATGGAATTTAGACACTTTAAAAATAACACGATATTGAAAAATAATTCTCACCTATTTTCGGTTTCGCTGACCAACTTATCCAGATTATCCATAATTTCGTCCAAACTCATGATGGAAAATGAAACTGAGATTGTGTCCTTTTTTAATATCAAAACACGAAGAATTTAGATGGTGATGAATCGGATGGTGCGAAATGAAGTGAAGTTAAACAAACAATTTATGTTTATTATATGAAATTGTCGCCATGGTTAATTCCACAAATGGCCTGCTTGATTTTAAACTGCTTCTGTTCACTAATATTGATTTGCGATTAACCATAGTAACGTTATTGCTTGATTTATTATTACTGTACCTTAAAATTCCCAGTGAAGATGACACACACAAAAGATGTTGAGAAGAATCACAAGAAAGATCATAACACCTGCCCGGAAGTGTTCTACATCCACCCAATTCCTCCGATTTACATAATGGGAAAGTCCTGTTGCGTATGTCCCCAAAAACGAGAGGAAGATATGCACGAGCAGCACGATAATAAAAATTGCGAAGAAAAAGAAGAAATTCAAGACGAATGCTCGGAGGACAGGAAAAAACGAGTAACGTAATATAATTTTTGTTTTTTCTTCTATATTTAAAGTAGTTTTCAATATAATGAAAAAAAAACAACAATATTTTTTAAAATTTATATTGATGGCATTCAAACAATGCAATTGCTTAATTCGGATGATTAATTCTAATTTTCAAAAATGTTTTAGGAATTAATTCGTAAAGCACGAGAACAATATAAATCGCGGTATGACAACTATTACAACAACTACAATATTACCGACAAGCCGCTGTGTAGTAAACTTTAATATTTGAAATGTAAGTCAATGGTAACAAATACAATGATTATAGAGAAATATTATTATTATTTTGTTTTATAATTAAGTTATAACAAATAGTTTAAACGTACAACTAAAATATATCACTTCCAAATTTTGATGACACCATCTCTTGATGAAGTCAACATAAAGCATTGCTTAGTCTTGCAAAGTGCTATGTCCGTTATGCTGTCTCTATGTCCAGTTGGTGGAGGCTCAGGTCCCGCCCTTGGGATCTCGTCGGGTTTAAGATTGATGGATGGTTGGCCGTATGGGGGTGGGTCTTCGCACGCTTCGACGACCACATTGGTGCCGTCCACTTGTCGACTTTGATAGACTCTCGAAGGTCCCAAAAAATCGTTCGGTGAAGGAATCGCGATATAAGATTGCGATGGAATCTGGAGATCCCAAAACCTTAATCTTTGATCCGAACCACCGGCCAAAAGGAAACCCGACCTGTCGATGCATCCGGTATACATTGCGCACACCGCTTGATTACTTTGACTACTCAGCTGTAAAATGAGAATTAATAATTAGTAAAGTGAGCATTCAAATAAATTTTTAGATTTTTTTTAACTTGCGGCGCGTTTTGTTGATGATGTTTAAATATTATTGAATAACTACAATCTACGGTCAACCTTACCGAACAACTAGATTTATTTTTTCTTTTAATTAAATTTGCGATTTGTTGGTAGCAACAACGTACGTGTGATTTGGAGAGTGGCGGAGTGCTGCTGCCCCAAAGTACACGCTCCCTGGCGCCTGTTTCGAGGTTCCACATTGAGATTTCGTTGTTTCCTTGAACGCTTGAAATAATCCAGGACGGCTCCGTTGGATGTGTAACGACCTTCCGTATCCTTGCGGCTTCAAAAATAAAATAGATTAATCTAATTGAAGAATAAAGAAATTAAGAAAGAGCTTACAGCTTGGGTGTTTGATGGTTGTGATCGGCAATTGAAACCTCAAGTCCCAACATATGTGGTAGCCGGACGCGGTGCCCAACGTCAGCCAGCTTTTATGGGAATCCAAGCAGAAGCTACAAATCAAACCTTTCTTAAGGCCATTCTCCAAGCGCCAAGCATTCCCCGGTGCCCTTAAATCCCATGCAACCAAAGATCCATAAAGAGTAGCGTAGACAAGAACATTTTGTGAATCTAAATATTGTATATCGACGACACTCTTCTCTTCCGCAGCATCCAGAGTCCTATTGGACAACAAAGATAATTTACTTCCATCAACCCTTAGAATATTAATGTTGCCATCGCGAGTAGCCGCAGCCAAAGACTGTCCGTTATCGCATACCGCCATGCTTTCAATGGGCGAGTTATTAGGCATCTTGTAATATTCCTTCGACCTATTTGCAATATTCTTCCCTTCCATCTTAGAACAATCCCAAAGTCTAACGGTACCATCGATCGAGCTGCTCGCAAAGAAAGGAGTCTCCGGGATTGGACACAGCTTCGTCACCGGTCCACGATGCTCGTGCAAATGCGCCACCAAAGATCCTTTCAACTGCCAACCGGGGGGCGGTAACTCTGGTTTGCAAACTGCTTGCTCTGCCCAATCTCTACCGCGCATAGCTTCGAAGTACCTATCCTGCTGCCTCCTCACCAGATTTTGCAATTCAATAGCGCAACTGGAAGTGCGATCTGCAACGAAAATAAAAACAATTATAGTACCATGATGTAACCACATACAAAAATAAAATAAATACATTGAATATACGATTTCTCGTGTAAACTCATTGTCGGGACGGAATCGCTGCCGAAGCGAATGGCCTCTGGTAGCGGCGAAGGCGGCCTACTCGATCTGGAAGGTGGCCCTCCCGAATTTGTACTCTCCGATTGTCTCCTAGAAATGTGATCGCTGCAAATTCACGAGTTAAGTTAGTAAAAGCAAAACAATAAGTACAGGCAAAATACCTTCCACTTTGGACAGAAGCAAAATCGCACTTGCTCCGAACATCGTTCAAATTAACCACGTGACTACGTGCGTTGCTCGACAACGATTTGATTTCAATCTTGCCATCCGCCTGTATCGCAATTCGTTCACTGTTGTTGTTATCGGACAACAGCCGGTGCTTGCTGATCTTTTCTAGGTGCGAACTCATCATCAGCAGTTTCTCTTCAATCACCGTTGTCATACCGTTCGCTTCCAAACGACGTATCAGCTATTTATATAATAAATTATTAATTTCGAGACAAGTTATTTAAATTATTATATGCTCACGTTTTTAATGGAAGTACTAATGTCGCCGCTTGCCACGAATCCGGTAACCATCAAATTCCTTGATTTCTGTCTCATTGTCAACGTTTCCATTAGAGCTTCAATATCATTATATTTTACGACGTTGTCGTACACGTTCCTCGGAATAGGAGGTACCAGCGAATCCAGAAGCAATTCCTGTCTACGCACATGAATCACATAATCAGGAAATAATATTACAAATTAATTTGCAAATAAATACCTGTGTATTTGAAAAATGGAATATTCCATGTACAGTTTAATTGTCGGAATTATATAACAAGAAACATCCAACATGTAGAGCTCTTTGGCAGCCACACAGATGAAGCCAGTTAAAGCTTGCCGTATCCATAAATTTGGGTGCACCAAAAAGCAGGCGCATTCGCATACCACGTCAATCATCATCGGCTTCCTCAACAAACCCAATTCTGCTAACGAAACCATAGCTGTTATAGCCTTTGCAATCACAAATTCGCAGCTGTCTGTTAAACCCTGCAGTAAAAGAGGCGTTATGATTGAAGAACATTGCCACCCTATGAAAGCTGCAACGCCCACTATGCAATCATAAAAAGTACCGCGCAGCTCCTTGTCCTGTTTGTCGTTCAGAAATGTGATCATATGCGACAAAATAATATCATTGGCTACAATAGAATAAATAAAATAATTGAAAATAATTGATTATATAGAAATATACCTTTTTGCCTTCCAAAGAAAACACACAGCTTGGTAATTCCACTGTCCATCAGGATTTGCTTGACATGTGCCTCTGGGTCTGCTAAAAGCAAACATACAGTCTTCTGCAACATCTCGTGAAGCGTCTGCAATTCCACATCATAATTGAAAGAATTATTTGCTGTGCCTTTGTCGCCGCAATCCGCTTGCGTCTGCTCCAAATACAGAACAGCAGTCTCCGCAAGATTTGCTATGTTTTTGGCGTACGCCGCTCGCACGTAAGAGCAACGATCACTTGCTAATGGAGCCAAACCGGGCAGCACGTATTCCGGAAATACATTTGCATCTGATCGTGGAACTTTTTTAACCATTTTCAAGCAATTCGTTACTGTATTTATTGCGGCGACTTTAACGCGAGAGTTCACATCCAGCATCAAAAACATCTACAAATAAACAAGTAACAAGCTTAATAATAATTGTACGATTTTTTTTGACGAATAACTCATACTATGAATGGAATTATCCTATCCAAAATTGTCTCGTCATTGGTATGTGTAGCCAGTTCTTGCATAATCTCCAAACTCTGCAACTTGGTCGTGCAATCGTGCAAGCCTCTTATGCAAGATGTAACCAAAGAGACGATTATTACAAGTCCATCGTTATCCTTGCCATTGGTATCTTCATCGGCCTTAAGAAATTTAAACATATTCCCTGAAGCAAAGATTTAATATTCATGTATAGTTTATTATCAGTTACAGATTTCAATATCAATTTACCTATATCGTTTTTGAGCCTAGCAATTTTCTCGTCGGGCGATAGGATTAGTCGAGTAGAAAATATAAGCATGTAACTCTGGAGGAATGTGTAAAAATATTCCGGGAACAGCCGACCGCGCTCTTGAGCCAAATACAGTTCAGCGGATAAACGCTGATTCGGGTCGCGTTGTATCATACTAGCAATGAGATTTCTCAAATCTGGATCTTCTAAACGATCCAAGTGCTTTTGTGGTGAATATTCACCAGTTTTGTACGCTAATAATTGAGATAACTCAAAAGGCGCATGTCCTTCGTTCCACAGCTCCAAAAGCGCACAACTAAAAACAGAGTATAAGTAAAATTTAAAAAATTCAAAGAAAAATTATATTTTTATATTACCCAGCAGAAAATATGTCCATAGGTGGTTTGAGCTCTCCCGAATCACAGAGACTCTCATTAAATAACGCATTGCTATCTAGTGTTAAGGTCTTGATAAACCTTTCTGGTGCTATATAGCAAATTCTTCTTCTAGATGTGTCAAAAAAGTATGAATAATCAGCAGGATTATCCTCTGGAAGGAAAGTGGGCTTGAATGATGCAAAGTCTACAAGCAATACCCAATTCCATGATGTCACAGTGATGTTCTCCAACTTAATATCTCCATGACATACACCAACATTATGGCACTGATGCAATGCATACAGCACTTGAAAAGTGATCCAACGTTTCTCAATATTTGTCAAGAATGGTCTTGTGCTAATTCTATCATATAAACTATGTTTAACAAATTCTCTAATTATTAACCCAGCCTTATCAGTTTCAATAATTTTCTGAAAAGGCAGGCAGTTGAGTGAAGAAGCCAATTTTTTCCGAATTCTCTCCAGCTGACTTTGATATGGAGCTAAAGGTAGACTAGGGTCATGTATTGCAAATACCTTAACCACTGTCAAACCTTCTTGTGATTCGGCTCTGGCAACTTTTAAGAATCTTGTACTTCCCAAACTACAATTATTTCAATTAAGTATACATAATTTGAAGAAAAACATTGTTATTATATACCTGATATCATATTTATAGTCTGTTAATTCTGTGAGGTAGTGCTCCACAGGAAAGATCTGTGAAGGAGCAATGCCTACCAGTTGATTACCCATATCTTATATTGATTATTTACTCTTTGCTTAGCTCAAATCTACCACAAGAAGTGGCCGGCTACAATCACAATCAACACTGAACAACATGGAGAACATGCATAGGAGGAATAACAATTCTTCCTCTCCCAGCTGTTTTTTATTTTGACAATAACTGTCAATTCGTAGTTCTAATAATATTCGATTAGTTTGTTTCAACCAAAATAAACGTATGCAACCCAATAAACGTATTATGTTATTTATTGATTCCTAGTAATTTACATGTAAATAATATTTAACCTATCTTTCCTAATAGAATTAAAATACACATTAGTGTATTAAAAGTAGATTGAAAATAATTAGAATCGCATCTAAAAAAAAGAGATTAATATTGAAGATTAACAAATGTATTGCCTACAGTTCTTTTTTTTTTATTAAATACACATTTTTGGGATCTGACACAGGCGCGATGAAATTAAATCCAAACAGTAAATATGTAGTATATAACTTTTTTGGTGGTGAAACACATAATAATAATACACATGTAAACAAAACAAGAAACAATAAATTTGAACAAATCAGCAAAATGAAAAGAATTTTGAACATCCCCCACAATTACAAGTTACAGCATTGGTATCTCTCTATTTGTGTGTGCATCCTGTTATATGGTTGTCTCAGAGCCCCGCATTCATTATTTAATTACATATACTAGATTGTTCTTTTGCTAATTAAAAGGACTAACACTTCCTGTCTGGAACCAAATCGCCAGATGACGTTATTGTGGCGTTCAAGTCCTTCTCACAGTTAGCATAGGCCATTCCAATACCGAAGCCACCAGCCAAGATCACTGGCCACCTCTTCTTCTTGAAGAACATGAAGGAGAATACTGATCCCAAGACAACTCCACCACCTGAAACACATTAACCATGTTTATTTCTAATCATTGCAACTGATATGCTCAGGTTATTAAAAGGTATGACGAATGTAGGGGATAGGAGTATATATGCATGTTGTATGTGACATAACGAGCGAGCGGATGACCCATTGGACACTAGTTTTCCGCATACAGGCTAATATTTCTAGATGCGTTACGTAATGGATGGTCTATGGATGATGGTGCTCGAGTTTGATTGTAGTTACCGAATTTAAGAAGGCCATCGGTCAGACACCGATCCCATTTTCTGCCGATTTCGTCCTCGATGTAGACGGGCGACGCCATTTTATTGCTCGTACACGGAGAGTGCTGTCTCTCTTGTTGCCTACTTCGCACCTCGGGGTCTTCGCCAGAGTGCCGCGCTCTACACCCTATCTGTCAAAATGGGATGATCGAAATCCGATGACGTTCCATGACGTTTGCGATTCATCGAAGATCTATTCCAATTTCAACAAGCATCTCCAAGCAACAAAATAATATGCATGGTTTTCACCCTGGTTACCAAATCAAATTATTACCAACACCCTTATCATAGCAACAATTAAATTAGTATACTATGTTGCATACCTTTAAATTATATATTTAAGAGATATTTCCCGAATTGCAACATTTCTGTAATTTAAAAGATGCGCGTATTGAAAATATCGACAATAAAATCTTATAGCATTACTAAGTATAATATTTTTTTAAAGGAATTGTTATTTGAAATAACTAAGCGTGTTGTGTTGCATAATTATGAGATAGTTTAAAACGATTTAAATTTATAAACCTGACCCCAGTAACTTAGACCAGTGTCAAGAAATCTCAAATTAATAAAGACACTGGCTGGCGAAATTGTGCAAGATTCGCAAGCCAAGAGAGGAAAAGAAGAAGAAGAAATTTATAAACTTTAGATCCATGGCGGAGTAGCAAAAGATATTTGGATTCAAGAGAGTCAAGATATAAAAGCTGATATAGCGTTTCTTAGTCGACTGAGATCAGGACATGCAAGCGCCTCCTCGCATCTAGCTAGGTTCGGGTGGCAGGACTTCGACAGATGTAGTTGCGGGACTCTGGATAGCTCTGGATCACATCTTCTTTGCATGCGTTCAGAACCTCCTAGCCACATAAGAACTTTATAAGCAGCTACGTTAGATTTTGTTACGCTTTGTTGCTAATTGTTGATCACTATTCCCTTCAATCCCATCATACGCTAGTAGCAGTAATTAACTTTATTAGAGTTATTAGTATAACAACAAAATAGCGGATGGCGAAATTGCGCTTAGGCGTAAGATAAGTGAAGTTGGAAGGCGTGGAAGAAAGAAGAAGATAAACTTCATAAAATTCCCTGAAAACCCAATAAACGTATTAAAATTTACACTTCTTACAAATTTAGCTTAATTCATTACGTTTTAACGAATTAATTTATTTGCAAAATGAGAATTATAAAACAGTCTTAAAGTATATAATTTTGGTTGGGAAGCACTGCTCAAAAATTCCAGTTTGTCAATTCCAGATTCGAAACGTCGTCATCACATTTTACACGAATTCTACAATTTCCGCAAAGACATGGTCGACTCTAATTACAAAAACACCAAAGTATATTTCCGCTTCTTGCCATCAATCGAATCCAATTGGGACGACTTCCGTATCCTCGAAGATAGAAAGACGCTGTACGTGCGCTGCCTGCAGGACTTCGAGAAGGGCCGAGAACATCTGGAGCCTAGCTACTGGAAGTTCTGCACGGACGGCCTCCTCTACAACAACTCGCAGGAAGAGATCTTCAACGAAATCACCTCCGACCTCCTTCTCGATAAGTCAATAGAGTAACGAACTGCAATTGTAAATATCTCAGAAGGTTTGCAGGATTTTTGAAGGCAACAATGCCATTATTCTCTCTTACGGACAGACGGGAAGCGGCAAAAGCATCACCACTTCCGGTTTGGATAACGCATATGAAGTATAACATCATAGATTTTATAATGAAAATTTAAGTTGTTAATAAGTTATTTAATAAACGAAAATATAGGATCGAGGATTTGTGCCTCGTTTGATTGAGGCTATATACCAGAGGAAGGAGGCCGTAAGATCGTCGTATCAAGTGTCCGTGCACATAACATGCGTCGAGACGAACAGAAAATACGTGATGGATTTGCAAGGCGATGGAATGCTGCACGATATGAATTCCATGAAAAACATTAAAGCCTATCGGGCGCACACTTGCGACGAAGCTTTGCAGATGATCTTCAGAGGTGTGTAAATGAGAGATTATTAAGAGAAAAACGTTATAATCATATTTTATAGCCGAAGCAAGAAAAACAGTTCGCTCGAAGATAACTTACAACTCGCACATGGCGAATAGCGCAATTACTTTTACGATTTACGCGAAAAGTTTTGCAACTAACGATACTACAGTTGGAAAAGTAATCTATAAATTGTTAATGATCAATAATAACAATATAACATTCTATTGTTGTAGCTTCACGTCGTTGATTTATCTGGTGCTGATACTGCAGGAAACGTGAGTTGCTTGCATAAAAACGGATTCGAAATAGGCACAGGGAATTTGGCGAAGACTCAACTAGAGCAATTCATTCTGATATTAAACGAAAAGAACACCGAAAAGATACTTGTGAAACAGAGGCTCTGCATCATCATAAATTACCTGAAGGATTCTCTAAATGCGCACAGCGTTTTGCGATTTATTGGACACATAAGATCGGAGAGAAACGACACGATGGTCAGCTTGTCGATGCTTAGGTTCGGTCAATTGGTCCGTGGTTTAACACCGCAGAAGTTGCATCCGAAAGTGTTTAAAGATCAAGAAACCAAATTGAAAGTGGTCGAAGCCGAGTTGGTGATACTCAAAAAGGAATTGGAATTGAACTCAATGCTGACCAACGTCGATATGACTACAAATCTATCTCATCAGAGATTCCAGTTCATCGAGCGGTTGGCTGAAGATTATTTGAAGGATAAAAGCGGCGAAATAATTTTATTGAATACAACGGACGCGGTTCTAGCTATGAAAGTGTTCAAGAATTATTACAACCGTTTGGAGAGCGAAAAGAATTTCCTTGCCGAGCAAATCAAAACTTTGGAGGATGGTAACTCGTCCAGGCTAAGGGATAGTAGTATATCTTCGAAGGTAAATTTAAAAAAATAAAATAAATAATAGTAATTTTATTAGAAATTATCTAGCAATCGAAGAGGAATAGTATCAAGCACAGCAATAACAGCAGCGTGAGCTTAGTGCGCAGTAAGAAAGGTTCAAGCAAGAAGAAAGTTAACAGAGAATCGAAGGATATAAGTTAGTCTAATTGAAGGAAAGTGTTATAATAACTAAGTTTCATGTTTTCTACTAGGTTCTATAATTGAGGAGAGCGTTCGAAATGGGCCTAGAAGTTCTAAGTTAAGCGTTAGCAAGAGTGCAAAGAGGAGAGGAAGTCGCCGAAAATCTGGCGATTCAGTGTCTCCAATAAAATCGGATCTGTTCAATTTAGCGGAGAGCGAAGCCGCTGTTCAATCTCAAAACTTGCTTCCCATTGAAATAGCTCCCCAATACGAATCAGCTTGGAATTTATTCGTCGAAAGCAGTTCAGATTACAAGATCCTCAAAGATGAGTGCGATTCGGCTGACACACAGTTAGAGGAAATCGTGGAAAACTACAATAGAGAAGCTGAAAGAGTGCAGGAGATTGTGGGCATTTTACAGCTGAGGAGGGATGAATTGTACCGCGCGCAACTGCTCAAAGATTTGGAGAAGAAAGAGGAGATCCCGGCGTTAAGTGATCTCGAGATCAAATGTGCAAATAACGTCAATCGGGAAGAACAAAACCTTGTATTGCAGAAGGAACTTTTACTGAAGCTGCAAGCTGAACTGAAACTTGCTATAGATGCCAGAAATAGAGCCAAAGAAGATTTGAGTCAACAGTTCCAGAAATATTGCAAAAACAAATACGCTGTTCCAGTTCCAGAGTTGGGGAACGACGAAGCTGAGGATCAAACGGAAAAGAGTCTCAGGTCTGTGGATGTGGCCATAGCCCAAACGGATGATGTCGACCAGAAGGTTGAACCGTGCACCACCAAAGAATCCCTTCGTTTCATCGAGCTCAAGAAGATGATGCGCAAAGAGCGAAAGAAGCTAGTCCGCGATTCGGCAAAGAACAAAATGTGGATTAGATCTTGCAAATTACAACTGGAAACGCAATAAATTTGTTTAAAATCCCGATCGTTTTTCCGCATTGATGAGGTCGCATTTTTCTATATTGTTTGTGTTATTGTTGTTTTGCATGATCAAGATCCAAAGATACCAGCGTTGATGAATAAAAAACGCCGGGGAAATGATTATTAGAGCTATTGTTGTGCACATAATTAGAACAAACGCTGGATCCGGTATAAATAATATTAGAGGTAATCAAAATGTAACAGATTTGTTTTTACAGCAGTACGATGATCAACGTCGTCCGCGTTTTCTTTACACTTTTAGTTTGCTTTCAAGTTTCCAATTGTTGCGTAAGTTAGTTTAAATTATGTAGTCTTTCGATGTGCAGACATATTTTAACGTTTTCAAATTTAGAATGATTACAAATTGAAATTGCATCATGTGAGGAGCTGCGAGGATGGAAGCATTATCAAAATTCAGAATATCTCAGCCAATATGGATGCAAACTGCATGATCATGACGAAGGGTTGCATTGTGATTACCAAACCGTACAAAACTGCAAAGGTAAAGCTTAGCTTAGCTAAGATATTTTTGGAAGATATTTAAAAAAAAACAAATTTTGACTGTTTATCGTAGGCCAAGTATCAACTGCAGAAACCCCCGATGCCAGATCTTAAAGGAAATATTGATATATGCAAGGAGTTGACCACTAAGAAGAGAAAATCGGCCCAGCTGCTTTCTTCATTGGGTTTCAAGTGTCCAAGCGAAGCTGTATATCTTTTAAACTTAGATCCAGTGTTTTCAACGCATTGATGAAATTTATTTATTTACAGAAATCTCTGTGCGCAACAAATCCTCAAAAACTGGACATCAGCAAATATAAGAAGCAACTTCATATGGCGGCGGGAAAATCCAATCTAAAGATTGATATTCAACACGATAATGGTAAAAGCTGCGTCGATATAGAATTTGAAATATATAAATAAATTGTTTGAACATGTATATGGATGACACCCGCATATTATGTAATTGCTTTTAGTTATTAATGATATAATGGCAGTCTATTAGATTTCCATATGAATAAATAATGCTTATTATAACTTTGAATATATTCCTTTGTTAATAGTTTAAATTGACGACGAATGGAGGAATAGAAACATCAGAACTACTCATATATATATACCTTTTTTGAACTTTATTAAGATATAATAATATTAATAATAATTAGAACAATTGTATTGTTTGATACACAAAACTGTGGTTGTAATATGATTGAAATTATATACAATAGATATACTTTTGGTGGATGTGTTTGAAATTTCGCAGATAAACATTTGTTTAGTCTCTCAACAAGTAATTCTAACTGGTGGTTAGGACCTAAGATATTTTTTAATGTGGCCCTTCGAGAACGGTCACTCCACCAGCCCGTCATCAACTTTTCTAACTGTTGTTCAGAGCTCTATGATTTTCTCGATTTCGAATCAAGGGGGACCTTAAATAAAACATCCTGAGCGATTTAGAAACCCAAATAATCTTTTACAAATATATGAAGTTCCACCACTGATTTCGAGTATTTCCCTTTCAAGGATAAATAGCATAGGAATTTTGTTTACAACTTACCACCGACTTTCCAAGAATGACATAGTTAAACTTGAAAAGTATTGTGCACCCATCTTACGCAATCATGAAATGCAACAAATTTACGTAATTTTCGTGTAATTAGATTTCGCTGTTTTGTTGAGATCCGACGAGTTTTCACGTTTTTTATTAATTTCAAGAAAAGTACGTAATTTTTGTTTCATATTATGATCCTATTTATTTATTATGGCATTGAGGTAAGTTACAGAACAGATTAACAACCACTTACTCTTCTACATGGGAATTATATTCGTCAAAAATACTTACTTCCTCAGATTCTACTTCTACTTTCTCAGTAGAAGTCATTCAAATTAATAAGACTGTCATTAATAGTTTCATTACTGTTCATTAGTATTGTCGATAATACTAATTTCGTCAGACACACTTCTACTGTTTTAGAATAAGAGTGATCTAAATTTATAAGATTCTTACCAATTATTCTGTTACTATCATCAACAATATTAATTTCTTCTACTAGTAATATTTTCCATCTACATTGAAAAGTTGTTTTTAAAAAAATAAAGTCTTCTTCTACGCTCATTTTCAGTAACATAAATATTGTATAACATCTTTTTACAATTGTCCATGTTTTTCAGTAAATCAGGGAAGCAACTTCCAACCGTTCGATCCAGCCATTGTTTTTTTTAGTGTAGAATTGGTTTTCTTTTTGGTTGATTTTAAAATTAATTCAAGTATCCAAAGTACTAATATATACCACCAGATATACGTTATGTACATCTGTTTTTAGCTTCAAATACAATACCTACTGAATAGCTTTGAGTTGCTTCAAGCTAATATAAAGACAAATTTAATACAATAATGGCTTAATCTACATGGATATATCCTTTGAAATATTTAATTGTTTAAATGCATGTTACATAACATTGCTTTAAATTATTAATTACTGATATAATGGTAGTCTATTAGCTTTCTATATAAATAAGCATGATTACGAATAACTTAAAATAGATTCATTGGTCAGTGGCAGTGAGTAGTTCAAATTGATTATCCTTGATAGGACGACGAATAGACGAATGGAGGAATAGAGAAATCAGAACTACTCGTGTATATATATTTAAAATTAAGGTCCGAATGTGTACATAGTGATATTAATTAGATTTATTTTGGTTTGATTTTTAAGGAAAAAATCATTTTAGAATGCATAGGAGGGTTGTAGTGACTGGCATGGGAGTGCTTAGTCCCATCGGCAATAATCTGCAGAATTCATGGATGAATATTGTGAACAGCAAAAGTGGAATATCAAAATTGGACTCCAAATATGATGCCCTGCCATGTAGAATAGGTGGTGTTATTAAGGATGATGATGGGCAAAGGATTAAACTAGATAAGTACTTTAAGAAAACTGAACTAAGATCCATCAGTCCAGCTGCCTCATATGCACTCATTGCGACAAAGGAAGCACTGGAAGATGCTCAGCTATTAAATCTAGATGATATGACCAAAGAAGTGACAGGAGTTGCTGTGGGAATGGGTATGGTAGATCTGAAGGACATATGTGATACCAACGAAGCTCTCCTCAAGAGCTATAATCAAGTGAGTCCCTTTTTCATACCTAGGATACTGGCAAACATGGCTGCTGGTCAGATCAGCATAAAATATGGTTTCCGTGGACCAAATCATTCTGTTTCCACAGCATGTGCAACAGGTGCACATGCAATAGGAGATTCCTTCAGGTTCATAAGGAATGGTGATGCTGACATTATGATTTGTGGAGGCACAGAGGCTTGCATAAGTCCACTGGCGATAGCAGCGTTCTGCAGATTGAGAGCATTGAGCACATCATACAATGAGAATCCTGAATTAGCTTCCAGGCCTTTTGACAAGTCAAGGGAAGGTTTTGTTATGGGCGAAGGTAGTTCAATAATAGTTTTAGAAGACTTGGAGCATGCGAAGAATCGAAACGCGAAGATCTACGGTGAAATACTTGGATATGGTTTATCCGGTGATGCCTCCCATTTAACAGCACCGAAGGCAGATGGAACGGGTGCTCTGCTAGCGATGCAGAGAGCTTTGAGAGATGCTAAAATGAAGCCTGATGAGATCGGTTACATTAACGCACATGCAACATCGACACCCCTAGGAGATTCAATAGAAACCAAAGCAATAAAGACGTTATTCGGTTCAAGGAATGTTGCCGTCTCATCTACCAAAGGAGCACATGGGCACCTTCTGGGTGCTGCAGGGAATTTAGAATCTGTCTTCACCATAAAAGCTGTCCAGGAAGCGATCCTGCCACCTACTTTAAACCTAGATGAAGTCGAAGATGAGGAATTGAATTATGTACCCAAAGTAAGCCAAAAATGGGAAAGCCAGAGCAGACGAGTGGCTTTAAAGAATGCTTTCGGTTTTGGAGGCACAAACGCTTGTTTATGTATTGCACAGTATGTTTAAATAAAAATTAAATTTTAGTTAACTAAAACTTACAAAAAAATATTCCGATACCGGGAATCGAACCCGAGCCTCCTGGGTGAAAGCCAGGTATCCTAGCCACTAGACCATATCGGATTATATAAACATTATGTCGAAAAATAGTACAAAGATTGTTGTAATTCATAAATTATTATATTTGATACAAGATATAATAACAATTCTCTACTACCATATTGAAGTTTTCGATTTTACTGGAAACAAAAATTAGAGATATGTATTATGTAAAGTGATTAGGCAACTAACATAGCATAACTATATTCATAGATATTCATAACCTTAAAACTTGGGTACAGTGTTTGCATTAAGATGTCTTTAATACTAAGAAAATGTTTTCAAAATGTCCAAATATCAAGTAAGTTCTATATTTATATATCAGTTCATCATAGTATTTGATCATGTTATCTTTGTAGGTCTTTTAAAGAACACAAGAGTATTAATGCCAGTGAGAAATGTTGGCTCAGAAGTATCTGATGCTGATGTACCAAAATTCGATATGGAAAATCCATTTTTGAAAGAGAAACAACAGTGCATCTTGTGCAAACATAAGATAGATCCAGATTACAAGAACGTTAAGCTTCTTTCTCAATTCCAATCACCTTATACAGGCAGAATATATGGAAGACATATAACTGGACTTTGCAAAGCCAAACACGAGAAACTTGAATCCGAAATCGTCAAATCCCAGAGCGCCGGATTAATGACTGTATACCTAAAGGAGCCTTGCTTCATTAAAGATCCAAAACTGTTTGATGCAGAACGTCCGATTAGACCTCATCGTTTTTAAAACGATTATAATTTAGCCAAAATAAACTGATAGAACTTAATTTTTGCATTTTCATTAAGGTAATCAAATTGTTCATAAATGATATCATCTTGTTATGTAAGAGATGTTGGTTGCAGCATCTGCAGGGGATTGCTGTGAAGCGTGCGCTGTTTGTTTGTTTATTTTCCTCAGGTTGGCAGAACGATGTGTGGTGGAAGAGTCAAAACTTGTGCCAGGCATCGAATTTATATATTACATTTTTTTTTATTTCAATTAGTTCAGTTTTTTTTGTTTGTAACAATAATTTTCGAATGTTCGTAAAGTAGTATCTTGTGTTCGCCGTTCTTTAGTACAAATATAATAACTACATGGTCATGGCGGAGATGTCGGATACGCCGTCGAGCCGATTCGAGAAGTCGCTGGGGCTGCTTACCACGAAATTCGTGAACCTCCTGCAGAACTCGAACGGAGGCGTTCTGGATCTGAAAGTGGCAAGTAAACAAGGTGCACTGGCTCTCAGGCAGGTCTGTTTATAATCAGGTTGTGTGTTGCAGGCTGCAGATCAACTGGCTGTGAGGCAGAAACGAAGGATATATGACATCACAAATGTGCTTGAAGGGATTGGACTCATCGAGAAGAAAAGTAAGAATAGTATACAATGGAAGTAAGTAGCAGAATCCTGTCTGTAAAAGAATCAAATCAATTGACAGTTGTGTTTTTATTTATTTTAGACCATACACATACAAGGATTCACTGCCTTCCTGCACGCGCAATGAGATTGCCAATAAGGTGATGAAATTAAAGAAAGATATTAGCAAATTAGACTATATGGAAAACAAACTGGATAAGCACAGGTCATGGATTGAGCAGAGTATAAGAAATGTGACAGAGGATTTAGACAATATGCGATATCTGTATGTAACCAAAGATGATTTAAAAGAGGTGTATGGTTCAAAGCAAAGGATACTATTGATTCAAGCACCATTAAACACAATTGTAAAATACGATGTAAGTCGGTTTTGCGTTTGCCTTGAGTGTGGAATAATTATTTCTTGTTTGTTTATAGGATCAAGACGACGATTTCTATCAGCTGCGGATAAAATCGAAGAGCTCACCAATCGTAGCGTGCATAAGTAAAGATGACGATGTCTCCTCGGTGAAACGTTATTTGGACGATTTCGATACGGAGGAACCCAGGACGAAGAAGTCGAAAAATGATAATTGCCTGTTAAGCTATACGGACGTGGACGATGAAATCGTGACGGCCGACATTCTATTTAAAACCGTACACAATGATATTAATGATAATAACAGCCCTAACGGCAACCAATGTAAGTAACATATCCATCCTAATTTACAAACAATTTCTCATCTATTCAATAATATTTTAGGTACAAAAGATTTTGTTCCATTAAATCCCTTATACCAAGACGACTTTAGCTGCTCGTTACTAGAATCCGAAGGTGCTTACGATTTGTTCGACATTGTTACAACTGTATAAAACAAATAATATTGTTATTATTGATATCCCGAGATACGTCTTACATTTTGAAAATTTATTCGAAATATTTCTAAGACGAAAAGAAAGAAAAAACAAACAGAAGAGAAATGAGTATATTCTTAACAATAATAAATGAACTTGTTATATACCTATTGTTTTTCATTTCAAGTTTTCCATATTAGAAATATTTATTGTTATTAAACAGGAATGAAATATGAATGATTTTCTTAATAATTTATTATTCTCTCTCGTTCTCCCTCGTTATTTTTTTTACACTAAATATTACAAATCCGCTGTAATTATATACAAAAAAGAAAATGTTTTGGGAAAAATATCTGTAAAAAATATATATTATCACGTTAAAATAAAAAATAACTGCATATGAAAAAATATATTAAATATTATGAGTAAGAGGAAGAAAAGATGTTATAAAAGTAATAACAAAATTTAAAATAATATTGAGGCCGCTCTTTTACTACATATTTGAACGAACGTAGAAGTTACTCTAGATAAACTAAAAACACGAACGAATTTAAGAATGAAAATTATTCTACTTAGAGTTGAGTATTATTTTTTGTAGTCTGAAAATATTTTGCAATTATTATTCATGAAGTTTTCAGTACTACCGAGTGAAGAAATATGATAAATGATCAGAACTAGAAGGTAAGATATGAAGGTATGAAAGAAGCGTTAATGGTAGAGCGGCCAATTCGTTGTTTATAATTTATTAATTTTAAGTAAAATTTCTCACCTGCCTGGAAATCAAATAGGTTCTGAAGAATGTCATCTGTCGCAGTGTCTTCTCTAGTAGTCATCTTTGGCTTGCTCTGAAACGGGCAGTGCTTTTTTTCAAAATATGAATAAGTGTAAAGCATAGTACTTACTCTCTTGGGCGCGCTCCTCCGCTCGAGCCTTCATCCTAGTTATGAAAGCGGCGCCTTTGTTTTTCCTGAAGTTCTCGTATGGATCATTCAGATTGCATCCGATTCCTTTGAATTGATCTTGCTTGTCGCGCACATCGCCTCCCGATATTGGCGAATCTATACCCTGTTCATTCACGCCCAAACCACTACCACCCCAACCCATCTTCTTCAACATTTGATGACCCTTGTTGCTAGAATCCAGAGACTCTTGCATCGCTATCGAGGTGATGGGAGGCGGAGCCTGTTGCATGCCCCGCCCACTATACGATGGTGTCGGCGACGAGGGTGAGCGCGATCGCGACCTTGATCTTGTTCGTCGACGACGCGAAGATCTCCGAGACCGCCGCGGGGGTGGACTACGCGACCGTGATTTTGAACGCGATCGCGATCTCGACTTTTTCACGCTCGGCGGTGTCGGCGATTTACTTGTGTACCTACAACAAAGTTGCATTCATTATATGTTAAACACTACTTCAATACATTTACCTTCGTCTCGGCGGAGAGGGACTTTTCTCTTGCACTATTATCACCGGACTTGGACTACGCGACGGTTCCCGCAGACCACCGTCGATCTGCTCATCTTTTTCTTTTTTCGCCAAATTCTTAGCCTTGTAATACTCATACAGACCAAGTTTTTCCCATCCCTCGCTGTCCCTGGGTCGTTCGTGCGAAGGTAATGCGTAGAAAGCCTCCACTGCCGCTAATAGCCTCTCATTTGGAGGAGCTGGAGGCGGCAATCTAATATCTTTAGGATCGAGTGGCTTAAAATTGGTGTCCTCCAATTTTATGAGTGGGACCATTAGCCCAGCGGGAAGCTCGTAGTAGGGAACGGAAGGTAGTAATTCTTCGGGAGTGGGTTCCGCCACCAATGGGAAACCGGGAGGTGGTTTCGAGAAATCCGGAAAAGCTGGAGCGGGTGCCGGGAAAAAACCTGGTGGCGGTTGTGAAAACTGAGGTGGCGGAATCGAAGGATTGATGGGCGGTACGACCGGGGGCGGTTCTTCGATCCTAACAGCCTGTTGTTCCTCCGCCGCTCGCATCTGCTCATCAATCAAATTAATCCTCGCCTCGTGTTCCTGTATTTGCTGAGTGGCATGCATAACGAATGCCTGATGCTGAGCCCTATAACTTTCAAAAGAAACCTGCGTCTGCTGTGTCAACAAACCTATCTCGTTGGAAAATTTGGTCAGCTGATTGGCCTTATGCGTTTGCAGACTTTCCTGAGGCCGCTTCATCGCCTCCACCGTCGTACCGGCCAAATAATTGGCCTTCGACTCCCACAGCTGGAGAAGCTTATCCAACTTATTCTTCTGTTCATCGTTTGTCGCTGTCAAATTCGCACTACAAAACATCGCAACCACCACGGATTCCAAAGCGTCCTTAACATCCGCTGCATTTTTTCGCGCACAATGATGCAATACATCATTAACCAAATAAATAACGTGTAATCTATGGTTAAAAGTGGGCGTGCCTTGCAGCACTTTAATTAACAAACAATTTGCAATGCAGTGCGCCTTCTCCTTAGTGTTTGCATTCTGCAGGATCCAAGATTTCCCACTTTGAATACTATCCTTGGTGCAGTTCTCTGTGATGGGAGTGAGCAACTGGTTCAGCTCTACCAAGGGTATGCTCAGCTCCTCAGCCTCCTTCTGGTTCAACTTCATTTCACACTCATTTAGTAAAACATCAACCTGTGTCTGTTGCTGTTGCAAGAGCACAGCATGCTGGGCATTCAAGTTTTGCTCACTCTGCTTGATCTGCTCTTGCAGAACATCAATCTGTGTCTTAATCTGGGCCATCTCTCCAACTGGTGGTGGTGGCAGTACACTGGTACTTGCACCATTACCATTCTGTCCATTGCTGCTCCATATACCCTGCTGCTTCAGTATTGTCTGTTCAGTGTTTACTTTGTACTGGTAGTAATTGAACAGGTCACCACCATATAAGAATTGAAATTTAGGATTTCCTTTCTGCTTGTTTTTCGTCATCTGTTCGAAATCCGGTCCATTTCTAGCAACAAATTGAGCCAATTTATCGATTATATTTCTAAGTTCCGTATCTGTAAACAAACGCCAAATAAAAAGCAACATAACCTAAACTCCAGTATCCGCTATGTTTTTTCGGTTAGTTTAATGTACGCAAATTACGTTCAACTCTATCACAAATACCTTGCGGGGGTTGCGGAAGATCCATTCTCTCGTATTATAATACTTAAAACTCATTAAAACTAACACTTTTCCGTGAATAATTCCGAATCACATATCTCGAACAATATAGGTTATGATGCTCATTATATTGCACTGAAGAATGCTGCAAATACAATTTGGCTACGTCAATTTTTAAATGTCACACATAACGACTTCTTTCATTTTCTTTATTTACATCAAAATTAAGCAACAATTCTATAATAATAATAAGACGAAAAATTTCAGCATAAATAATACTCAATAATGTGTTTATGTAAATAATACATTTGACGTGCTTATTAAGTTGCATATCATTGAATATTTCCTAATACTTGCTAGTTACTTGCACAGCTGACTTTCTTAAGGTACCAAAACATAACATTTGATAACCCAATTAGAATTAAATTAATCAATTCGCAGATGTCCGAAAGTGATGAATCTGATAACGAGTATCAACCATTCGAGCAGGCAAATAATGTGTTGGTCGCTGTCGATTGCAGTGCATCGATGTTCGTTAAGAATGCAGAAGCGAAGATTCCATTTGAATTCACTTTGAATAGTCTCTTCTCAGTTTGCGACAATTTCCTTCTTAAACGCTCAGCCAAGAACCAAATAAGCATTATTTTCTTCCATCCAGAGAAGACAGACCTGATCAACTTTGATTCTCCCTTCGTTGAAGGAGTAAAGAATCTAAATGAGGCCATCAAAGAATACAAAACCTACAATCTATTAGATTGCAAAGGGAAACCCTTGAAATTCGCTTACTTCATCATACTGTGTAAGAAGAAGTTTAGCAAAGTGAAGGGCAAAAAGTTTTTGTATTTGGTTACTAACCATAGTGATCCTTGCAATGGAGATGTCACAGTTCAATCACAGTCTTATAGGGAGATCATGGATTTGCCTAAATTAGGGATTCAATTTGAGCTGTTGCCTTTGTGTGAGGATTTTGATTATTTACCATTCTATGGAGAGGTTTATAGGTCTTTGCAGGAGAAGCAACCAAAGTTCTATTATAATGAAAATTTCCTATCTACTAAGATTAGTTACACCATCAAAGCTAAGGAATCCAATAAGAATTTAAAGTAATTATATACGATATACAGAAATATTATTTATTAGGTTTATGATTACTAATATTGCAAGTGTTTCAGGATATATTTAAGAGAGGATTCGGAGCCGGACGTATTCGTACCGTGTTTGGAACGGAAATTGTTCACTAAAGCGAAAATTTCAGAAAATGTTTCCACAACCAATGATCTTAAGAAGGTGATTAAGAAAACGGAGCGTTCTGCCAAGTTAAGCAAAATCGAGATAAGCCGCGAGATCATAAAGGTATTCAATGAAACTGAAGTGTTGGATCTCTATCAAACTGGCAACATAAAATCAGGCCTCACCATTATCCACGCTCAGCATCGAAGGTATTCCAATTATGGAGAACACGCGGCGGATTGTAAATTGCTGAAAACCAAAAATAAAAATGACGAGAATTTCCACGCTTTGCATACTGCTTGTTCGATGGGCAATTATTATCTCTTATGCACTCTGAAACATAAAGAAGGTGGACGCGTCCACTACGCAGAGCTGATGCCGAAGATTGTTAACCAGGAGCCGCATTTCGTGATGATTACTCTGAAGAATTCGCTCAACTTCAGCGAATCACACACCGTGCAAAGTGAAATCGTCACTGCCGATGAAGAACTTGAGAATTTGATGAGTAGTTTGGTAAATAAGGCTACCATTGAAGATTACGATAAGCGTAAAATGGTACCGCTGAAGTATGCCAAAGAGAGTAAATTCCTGAAGCAAAAGTTGTTGGAAGATGAACACTACTTGGCGGACAAAAAAGACTTGGATCTTTTGAACGACGTGCTGTACGAAGGAAACGTGGATGAGCTCGTTAAGAAACTGGAGGAGATGTACCCTCAAGAGACGAAGAAGAGAGCTCAAAAGAAACCCGAGAAGGCAACAAATAAGAAGATTAAAACTTAATTTTGCTTCTTATTATATATCATTCTTCAATGCTTATATATCCTCATGCTTAAATAAATAATATGTATTTTTGTTATAATCATCTTATAAGAAATAAATAAGTTTTTTACATGAGGGACTTCTGTTGTTGACGAAAAAACAACTTATGCAAATTTAAAACGAGCAGCATTATGTTCCATTCCATTTAATCGCTTTCCAGTTGAAGCATTATAAATATGTAATTGGAAATATTGGAGAGCATCTGAAAATCGATGATGTTGTATTATGGAATTCCAAGCGAATGGATGGAAAATAAAGGTTAATTACCGCAAACACTGTAGAATAATTGATGTTGAACAATCGACATGCCGTAATTTCCAATTTGTTCTCGTTAAGTTCGTAAATGGATGTGATGACCTGAAACGGAACAATAAATGTTTATTAATGAAACTTTTTCTTCTATATTCTTAATTTTGTTTTTAAATAAAAGTATTATTTGTTTAATATATTAGACGATTCGAAAGTTTTAATAAAAAAATAAAGTTTATTATTGTTCAGAATGAATAAATCGTAAATATGTACCAGTCTGTGAGATGTTTCATCGAATATGTCCATCCTAATTCCGATGAGAACGTCTCGAGCTGCGGCGGCTTCGGCACAGAGTTTGGTGCTCGTGTAGACCAGTATGAAGAATTCGAAATAGACGTACACGGAATTCTCGACCAAGGTAAATGGATACACCATGAGATCCTTCTTCCTCGTGGTCATGATGAACATGGTGTAGTAGCCGTTAGCGAAGATCAGGTTGAAAATAATAGTGAAATGCCAGACGATCTCGATTTCGAACATGTCGTTCATCATGCGCGACATCGAGACGAGCTCCTGGTGCAGATCCATCAGCTGCGAGAGTTCCTTCTCGAATTTGTACACGCTGAACGAGTACTGCTTCAACTTGGAACGTTTCTTAATGCTACGGAAGCTGCCGTTCAAGATCTGAATGCGGTTCCTCAACACCGAACACCAGATGTAAAAGTAACACTTATTCAACGTTCCTACATAAGAAGGCAGGAAACTCATACCCAGTATCAAAGGCGTTACACGCTTATAAGCGACGACGTAATTGAAGCCTTCGGTGATGAATTGCGTGAAGATTCCCAGAATCAATGTCTTGATTGTGCCGGTACGAAGCGCTTTATTCCCTTCGTTAAGCTCCTCCGTTTTACCCAACGATCTCAACAGCGCATCTATTCTGTCTACATGTTGGTGGAGCTTTATTTCGATCGATGCGTTCTTCAGGCTTAGCACGAAGATTATTGCGAATCGGACGATGACGAGAATATTGTAAACGGAGAAGGACGTCACGTATACGTCGGAAACGTCTATTTCTCTCTCGTTATCCTGGAATCCGAAGTAATAACAAATGGAGAAGATTGCGACGTGAAGAGCGGCTGTTGCGAATTGCACGATGGATCGAACGTAAAGACCATCTTTATTTCGGGTCACCGATTGTATGGAGAAGATTCTCGCTAGAATTCTGTACGGTTTTATTGAAGTATAGAAGTCTACGTGGGTCGGCATTTTCTGGGAAGCGCCACGGACGGTGCAGTTGTCGGTAATGGAATTGAAAGACTTCATTATGTAATAGATGTTTGTTTATTGAACGACAGACACAATTAATTTGTATTAATGAATTGCAGGGAATCGGATCAATACAATAGATATTAATGTCGTCGAAAATAATACATTTTCGAGTTATTAAGTTAATTTACAAAATTCAAATAATTTAAATAAGAAACAGTTTCAGCCCTTTTTAATCTAAATTTTATATTTTTTTATCTTTACTAAAGAACTGATAAGATTTAACCATCAACATCAAACTGAATGCTAGCTCAAATTGTTATCGAATTTTAACAATTTCACATATTGTAATAATAATACTATGGAATTAATGATTTCCTGAAGATAAATACTTTTAGCTTGATTTTTGGATAATCCCAAGGCAAAGCCATAATGCCAATTTCATTTAAAAGAAGTAAAAGATAATGGAACTTTAGAAAATTATTTTAAAGATATGAATGAAGATCTTCTCAAGATGAAATCTCAAAGATAAACATAATTACGTAAGATAATCGGACTTTCGACGAGGATTTAAAGATATAGAATTGAATATAAACAGTTTTAAGTTGTCTCATGAAGATCTTCGCGAGATTCATAGATGGAAGAGGTAGAGAGAATAATGGGATTTTTGAGAAGAATTTTAAAGATATAAAAATGAATTAATCCTAAAGATTAACAAATTTAACTTGTCTCGTCACTCTGTCTTCTCAAAACTCATAGATGGAAGAGGTATAGAACAATGTTTTTTTTGATAATCATTTTAGAGACATTGGAATGAATGAAATCCCAAAGATAAATATAATTCCAATTTCATTTATAAGATATAGAAGATAATCGGACTTTTGATGAGGATTTAAAGATATAGAATTGAAAATAAACAGTTTAAGTTGTCTCATGAAGATCTTCGCGAGATTCATAGATGGAAGAGGTAGAGAGAATAATGGGATTTTTGAGAAGAATTTTAAAGATATAAAAATGAATTAATCCTAAAGATTAACAAATTTAACTTGTCTCGTCACTCTGTCTTCTCAAGACTCATAGATGGAAGAGGTATAGAACAATGCTTTTTTTTGATAATCATTTTAGAGACATTGGAATGAATGAAATCCCAAAGATAAATATAATTCCAATTTCATTTATAAGATATAGAAGATAATCGGACTTTCGATGAGGATTTAAAGATATAGAAATTAAAATAAACAGTTTTAGGTTGACTCATGAAGATCTTCCCAAGACTCAAAGAAGGAAGAGGTAGAGAGGATAATGTGATTTTTGAGAAGAATTTTAAAGATATGAAAATGAATGAATTCCTTAAGGCGCACGGATGAAATATTATTTCCTAAGGGTAAACGATTTCGCTTGTTCCGCAAAGATGTTTCCAAGGCGAGAAGAGACCTAGTGGCACTTGCATTTGGTTGAGGTAGAGGATAATGGGTGTTTCGCCAAGTGCGAATCGTGCGAATTGTCGGCGATGTATCACGTGAATCACGTGGTTTATCCACGTTACCGTGAACGTGATCCGATGCCAGGGATCATCGATGCCCAGCTCAAAGACGTGCCCGTCTATCTCGAACCTTCTCTGCCGCGTTCGGCGACCAACGTGGGGCACGCGTCTTCTCGGATGCCACGGCTCACGTGCGGACTAGCGTGTCTCAGTAATTTCACACACTTGCACCAAGGCACACTTGAATGTGTACCACTGTGTGCGTACGCGCTCTCCCCTGTGTCTGTGTATGCTGTATGTATGTGCAAAAATTACTTTGCATTACGAACACCACGCTCAGTGTGCTGGCACACTTTGCCTCGCACTTTTTCCCCGAAAATAAATAAAGATAGAGACAACCGAACAGAGCAAAGACGAAAATAAACAAATAAATAAACAACGCTGGACAAGGGATAACGAATTGCATGTGCACCCCCAGAGGATCATAACACAAAACACAATCGAGTGGGCGAGTGCCAAATAAAACGGAGAAGAATTCACAAATACAGACAAAAAAATACAAAATCTGCGCACTCAATTATGGACATGAGCCACAGCTTCTGGGAGGACAACTCGACCATCCAGAACGTGAAATACGAAAGGTAAAATAGAAATATATATAAACCTCTTAGATTTTTGTACTATATTATTAAAAAAACTAATTAAATAATTAATATATCTCATCATCGAATTCCCAAAACGATGATAACGATTAGATTAGCGACGATAAATCGCGGAAATTCTGTAACAACGAAATATTTCCATTATGACGTAAATCCGTCCGCATTTAAACAACCTAATCGAATCCGCACATACAAATAATAAAAAAAACAAGAGACGTTTGCAAATTACGTGTTTTCCTGCACGCAAATTAATTATTTAATTAATTTGTCTTCTTGACTCTCGTCACGTGCACCGTATTTAGACGCGTGTTGTCGGTCCTAATTCTTATTATTTATTTATGTTTTTCTCGACTTTTTCCTCCTCCACTTTCTCAATCTCTTCCCAACGACGTAACCATTATTTTTCCATTGGATTTTCTCTCTCTATCTATTTATAATATGCGCTGTGCATGCGAGTATCGTACTGCCGCGGTGCGATTCCGCTCGTAGAAAACGAAACGTTAAAAAAAATACCGCCTCTAGCAGAAACGCAATTATTTTTGAGTCACCGCCTGAACTTTGACTTTATTATTTATTTATTATAACCGAGAAGCGACGATGAAAATCCTAGTTAATTTGATCATCAAAACATACTTCCATTTGAATACTCTAAAACAGATTTAAGAAAGTTACTTTATTGGGTATCGAAACTATTCGATTCTTGCGTATAAAATCGAGTTCGAAGTTGCACAGGCTAAAATATGTGTTCGTTGACTCATAAAGTTTAAGGAAATGCGAGCCAATAGAATTGGGTGGAAAATCAAGGTTTATTGAAAGGACGAAGGACGGTTGGCGACCTTTGCGGCGATAAATACGCTCTCTCTTCTCTTATTATTATTATATTTTTTTGGGACGATGCTCCTGTGTCTCGTTTGGTTTCTGTTTGCGTGGATTGTGTATTCCTTCGGGCGTCGGCGTTTCGTAATGGTGCAATGATTGGTGTCTGAGCTGAGAGTGGAGGAGAAACGTGCCGATGCCGAACGCACGCAGTTCCGGCAGAAAAAAAATAATAATGCAATGCGAAAACGTGTTTCACTTCATGCCTTGTACAACAAACGATCGGTCGCCGGTTGCGACACGTGATTTCTATTAATACATAACAACATCACATGTTGTTGTATGACAGGATAACGAACGGTGCGGTTACTTCCTAATTGGTTCTTGGACTAATTATTATTGTTGTTTTGCAGTTGCAATTCGAACGATGAGCCGGCTGCGAGGGTCAACTGCTTCGATGGAACCTCTTTGAACTTCTCGACAGGAGAAGAAGATTGTACCGAGTATACGGGAGCTTATAGGAAGACGCCCAATGTGAGGGTTTCCAGGCAAGATCCAATGTCGCACAGGATCATCGAGAAGAGACGCAGGGACCGGATGAACAATTGCCTCGCCGATCTCTCGAGGTTGATCCCAGCTGAGTACCTGAAGAAAGGACGTGGACGCGTCGAGAAAACCGAAATCATCGAGATGGCCATTAAACACATGAAGCATCTTCAGTATCTAAACCACTACCGTCTCGGTTACCAGGAGTGCATGTCCGAGACAATGCGGTTCATGGTCGAGGTCGAGGGTCGCTTTCCGCGGGAGCCGTTCTGCGTGCGGTTGCTGGGACACCTGCAGCAGCACAGGGACTCCATATGCAGGGGAACCCCAGAAAAGGCCATCCAGCAGGTGCCGGTCCCGCTTCCCGCTAAGATCGAGCCGAACAACAACCTATACGAAGATATCCACGAGTCCGGATCGCACGAGAAGAACGGCTACAAATACAAGAACGACATCAAGTTGCGCTTCAACCAAGACCTTAACATCGCGAAGCGCTCCAAGATCGATGAAGATTCCAGACGGGACAGTTCCACCAGCATCGAAAATCACAGGTAAATAAAACTGAAATTTCATAAGCTAAATACTAATACTTGACTCAATTTCCAGCCATACCAGTTCGCCTCATCAGAGCGAGATCTGCACACGAGTCTCATCATCGGAAACGGAAACACATCAGGCAAGCTCGACCTCACCTACCGGTAGCTCCGCGTCGCAAACCACCAAATCCTCGCACGTAGACCTGAAGACCAACTTCAGCGTGCCCGTATTCGTCTTGCACGCAAAAGGCTCATTCTACGTGCCCATAACTCTGGACTACCAAACTCTGTCACCGTACTTGGGCTCCTACGACCTTCTGAACCTCGCCAACGACATCGTTCTGCATCCGGTAGCAATCAACGTGAACTTCCAACCATCATTTCAACATACCCAAAATCTGAAATGAAAGATCAATCCATCGAAGCATCGTATGTTTTCTCAAGGAAAAAAAGAAACGTGCGCACTAGAATACTTCTTTGTTTTTTGCAAAATTGAGAATTGAATCTTAACGTTCGAGTTATGCACGCGCATGTAACTCTAACTGATCTGCTGTGATGTTTAATTAAGACTGAGGTAAAAAAAAATCAATATAAAAGTATAATATTCAAGCGCATTATTGTAAATTGTTGTTGATTTCTAGATGAGTTTCGTCATTTTAATAATTATTATACATAATATAACATATATCAAGTAAATATTGATGTTTTTTCTGATGTCTTCATTAGAACTGTGTAATTTTCAAACGGAATTGTCTTTGAAACGAATTGAACTTAATTGAGAATTAAAAAAAAAATCACAGTCGGCTTTTGGTATTGAGTGAAAATTCGTGTCGTGTCGAGTTTGACATCGCAGATCATCCAAAAACAACACCACCCACCCCCCTCCCGTTTCAACGAGGCACAGCCCACCCGCCCCGGAAGAGGCTCTGTGACCCTGTTGAATCATCAACACTAAATTCAAAAGGAAACAAGAAAGAAGTTCTTCCAGCAATCGATGCATTCTAGAGCATAAATCAGGCGAATAGTTGAAGATGCAGAAGTTGAAGCTACGTTGCGGTGGAGCTGCAACGGAGGGGGCGGCGGCTTCTCCAAAGAAGGTCTCCTTCAACGAAATCGCCATCGAGTATAGCGGCAAGTGCATGCAGATGGCGGCCCAGTACGTGCAGTTACGAGACGTGGAGGTCGAATCTGAGACGATGCCCATGGAGGTTGATGATTTCCCGCGCGAGCCGGACCTGCATGGACGCTACAACTTCCGCTCGTTTTAGGGGGTTTAGGAGTGGTTTGCAAACAGGAGACGATTTCTCTCCTAATAACCTTCTTTTTTTGTTTATTACCAATAAATGCAGGCCAACAATTATCATAAAAATGCGTCTAAAATCTCAGTCTGAATTTTGGGATTTTCCTATCACTCGCTTGTCTCTCATACCGTCGCGACTCCATCGCGCCTCACGCTTTCTCTCACAATCTCATTTTCTCTTGATTACTAAATTGAGCGGACGTTACATGTGTATGTTTTACAATTAAAATACAGTGAATATTGCGAGTTAACTAGTGCACGTTTTGGGACGACTTGGAAGGATACAAGTACAGGTTGTGCTTGAACTGCTCTATGTTCCTAATGTAATAGTCCTCGTTCGGCAATTCCTTCCACTCCTTGAGATCGCTTATCAGATTCAAATTGTAGTTGTTTGGAGTTGGAGCGACGGCGGTCTCCTTACTTTTATGTCCGATCACCTAAAAACCATAAAAAAATGATCATAGAGCCACGCTTACAGATTTGAACGAAGAAATCGAAATACCTGTATAGTGAGTTTCTTAAGATTATTGCGATTGCCGTGCGTACAGTGCTCTTCCCAGAACTTCTTCATCTCGCTGGCCTTCAACTCTTCGATGGCTTTGATCTCGAGCTTCACCCTATTGAACATGTAGTCGCGGCTTATGATCTCGTTCCAATGCCGGCTGACCTCCTCTTTCAGCAACGTGTCCGAGCATTGTTTCACTTTAATTAAATCGCGTTTGAATTGATTGAACTTTTTGTCCGTCATCTTTTTCAGCAGCTTCTGCACGTGCTTGCAGAACGCCTCGATGCGCCCATCAATGTGACCGGTAGTATGTTTCGTCGCCTGCGTGTTCACCGTTATCGAGAATCCCAAAATGCCGAAGGTATCTCGGAGGGCGCAGAACACGTTGTAACCCAATTGTTCCTTCGTCCGGAGAACATCGAACAATGGCTCTTCGATGATCATCTACGATCATAAATAAATAACGATAAAACCATGTATACCAATGGACAGATGATTGCACATACCATAATCAGATCTATAATCACACTGTTCTTCACCGAGAATGGTCCCGACTGGTAATAGTTCGTCACATACGAATTGCAGTCCTCCGGATTAAAGGACATTACTCTCAGGCAGTGCTCCTCTTTGGGCATTTCCACAACTCGGATCTGCAAAAATAAAACAATGTTTTCTTAGTTATTGTTCTACCCACATTAATAGACTTTCAAAATAATTTTAATCACTTTAGGATAGGTGCTCGGCATGATGACATCGTACCCAATGGTTTCGATCAACTTCTGCGTGGCTTCCACAGCAACTTTTTCCGTAACATTTCCTTGAATTAAAGCCTGAATGTACAGATTTTTCAAGAAACTCTTGGCGAAAGTTTTCATCATATCGAAATCGACCTTATCCACTGCCTCGCGCTTCTCTAGGCTCGTCCAATACAGACTCAGCAGCAAGGACAATCGCATATCTTTGTTCAAATTGGACGGTTTCAAATATTTGTTATGATATATCATTATCATGCTCTGCTTAACGGCGTTGAACATCTCGACGGTCATATTTTCTGCAACGCGCACCAAATATTCAGTAATTAATTCCAAAAGGATTGGCAGCTTTTCATCGAAGCCGTTCATCTTGATAGACATTCCTTTGTCGCTAACGGAGAAAGTGTACTGCAAATCGGCAACTTGCGCCGGATACGCTTCTTCGGTGATTTGCATGGTCAAAAGAGAGATGAACATGTCCATCATCGTAGCATTCGTGGGCGACTCCATGGCTATGGGGCTGATCAGATTGTAGAAATAGAAAGCAGTAGGCGTATCGAACTTCTCATCGACTTTATACCAAAGCTCCACCTTGCTATTATCCAACACTTTTACAGGATATTCAGGGTTTGTGCCGGTTTTTGGTAAAAGAGAGAAATTCGTAGTCAGAAAGCGATTCGGCGATGGCAGCGAAAACTCTGGATATGGTTCCACGTTGGTCCAAGTCTCCAACCATTTATTAGGAATATCTAGGAATAAAGAAATTATGAATATAAAAATATATAAGGTTAATAATGTGTTATACCTTTTTCGGCAAATTGTGTTTTGAACCAAGGCTCCTCCTGGTCGCAGTGTATTTCCGCGGGCATGTTGTTGCTCATAACCATCACGTTCATCTTATCGGGTCGCAGATAGTTGAGCACCATCTGGATATCATCCGGTTTATACTCAAAGTACAGTTCCGAACCAGTCAGGTAATCTGTGCTTGGATAAAACTGCATATTCTCTGATACGCTCTCGACCATATCGCACGCAAGTTTCTCATCTGCAAAGGTGAACGACGTTTGCTCCACAGTTTGTATCTCCTTGAAAATTCTCTCCTGAGGTCCGACCTTCCTCAGCAAATTGATGTAAGCGAAAACAGCCGTCACAAGCTCTTCAAAATGCTCCAAACCCTTCTCCGTCAATACCAAGTTAATAGTAAAATATGCGTACATCGAGTTGTGCTCTGATCCGGTCTCCCCGTTACCAGTGTATATAGCCATGGCCCAAACCTTCTTCCTCAAATAAGACATCAAAGACCCTTTACCTTCATCCCCCAAAAGCCAGGAAATGTACTGGTGTGGTTTACTCTTATACAAGTGGAGAAGCGAAGGCAATGCCCAGATCAGATCGACCTGTACTACATTCTTCATTGGTATAATATAATAGATTTTGTTGAACATTTCCGTGTCGTATATCTTGTCTGAATACTGCTTGAAATTATCCGGTAGCAACTGATTGCTAGGCACGTTACTAAAATATTCCATCACGAAATTCTGCAAAGTTTCCATCGGTAATCTGGCCTGAATGCAAAGGGTCATACGGTGAGCAGAGTAATGTCGCTTCCTAAACTCGTGCAGAGCTTTGTACAGTTTATCGTCATCCACATTGTCCTTCAGCGTAATAAGATTTCCCCAGCTGAACTGATTTACGGGAACACTCGGATTGAAGAAGCTGGTCAACAGCTGCTCCTTCCTATATGAATCGCTTGGAATGGCCATTTGAAATTCGGAATCTATAGCTTCTCGTTCCCTTGTCATAGAAGTTTTCTTCAGCAGAGGTGAGACAAAGAATTGAGCAAACTTATCTAAACTTTTCTCTAGATACTTCTCTAAGCATTCAAAATAAAACGTCGTCGTCTCGCAATCAGTGGACGCGTTATCAGAGCCACCCCTCTTTGTTATGAACTTATCAAAATCGTTCTCTTTGGGGTACTTTTCACTGCCCATAAACACCATATGCTCCAAAAAATGGGCCATACCTGGAACCTCCTTAGGATCACTGAAACTTCCCACTCCAATGCACAGAGCAGTAGCAGCCATCTTCTGCTTTGCCTCTGACACTTTCTTCATGCAATCTTCTTCATCCCCAGAGCACACTGCTTCGTCCTCCTCTTCTTCCAACTCCTCATCTGATTCAGTCTCACAGTCAGAATCAGTATCACCATAATCCTCATCACTGCTTTCATTGTCTCCAGCAGCTTCCTGTAACTTAAAAATAGTTTCAATGGTTTTCATCAAGTGTTGAATAATAAACTCACCACATCTGATATTAAGCAGGCTGTAAGACCATTCTCTAACTTTATCACTTTGTACTCCTTCAAATCTCGCTCCGACTTCTGCGGAGCCTGTAATACCTCAAACTTGATGGGCTTTTTATTTTTGCTGGCATTGCTGCTCCGATTCTTCACACTGTGCTTACTCATTATTTTAATATTCCTATTAAATTCTGATACGACTGTACATAACCTACGAAGGAGACGCGTTGTGCTTCTGCTACCAACGACAGCTGATCGTCAACTGTCACCTCTGTAAAATTTTAAATGCAACCCATGCAACTTACACCCGGACTCATTCAACCAGGTCAGAGGACGCGCACCATGATCGAATTTGAGATTCACATCGGAAAAACGAAACTAACCGTAAACTGCCGTAAAGACGGAAAATCAATTGCTTTTCTAATAAGTAAAAATAAACAAACTGAACTGCTTTTCAAATAGTTTCCCAGTATTGCCAACAGCCAACCAAAAACATGACTTGTAACTGGTTCATAAGAGTTCATTGGTACACATCCTTTCATGTTACAATTATATTAAAAATATTTATAAGATACGATCTGTTAATGTACAGAACACAAACATTTCAAAGGAATTTAAATATCCTTACCAACAAAATAACAGTACTTGTTTAGATGGAAAAAAAACGTTGTTGCCAACACATAGGCCAATGCTCAATGTATTATTATTATGATTCTAACCTAGATTTTTGTTTATCAACGTGAGAGTTGAAACTCACTATTAACAAGTTCCGACTGTAAGATTACGTACATTACATGATGAGCAGTGAAGAAGTGATCGAGATTTCCGATGACAGTGATTCAGAATACAAAGCTGGTAAGTTTATTACTGACACAATTTTTTTTGAATTTTTGTAAACTTATGATTGTGATTAAGGCACAAGCGGTTCCAAGCAACCACACACATCAGGATTCGTTGATTTAGATTCAGATGAGGAATCTGATGAGAGCAGTGACAGTGTGCAATGGGTTGAAGAGGAGTCTGAGAGTGAACCCGATTTGGACTGTGACCACTGGGATGATGATTGTACTATATGTGACCTGAAACCTTCTACAAAGCTAATTCAAGGCTGTAAGTATTAAACAAATCAATAATAAAATGCAGTTAGTAATAAAACATTTAATTTTAGATCACCTAATGCCAACATGCATTAGAGACCTACCAGAGAAAAGAATGAAGATGTCAGCAGAATTGAATGATGTATTTTGTAATAGCGAATATGTGCAGAAGTTATGTGACAATTTTCAGAATGGTAATGCATTCATTGATAAGGAATGTGAGATGATCCTGGATCCATGGAAAGTTTTAGTATGCAATGACGTTGTAAGCAATGTAGATGTTTTGAATAATGTTAGGGAGGAGTTTAATGAAATTTCATGGAATGAGAGGAAAATGGATTTGTATGAGTTTTTCCAGTCAAGGGATTTAAGAAAAGAGCAAGGATTTAAAAATATTAATTGCATTTATGAACTCATCAAGGGTGACTTGATGAAGTTTGTTGCCAAGCTGTGCGGACTGGAGCTGGTTGATGCTTCAGCTACTTGCAGCTTTTACAGTGACAGTGATTTCCTACTTGTCCATGATGATCAGCAAGATACTAGAGCTGTGGCATTTGTTCTGTATTTGACTGGAGAAGAAGGCTGGGAAGAGAATTGGGGTGGAGCACTGGAGCTTTTCGATCGGAATTCCCAGAATCAACCGAATGTTTGTACGAGGAGAGTTATACCAAAAAATAACCGTTTGGTGTTATTCCCAGTTTCGGACTATTCATATCACCAGGTCAGTTGATTATATATTTTCATATGATCATTTATTTTATAAAAAAAATATTTGCAGGTGAATGAAGTGAGGAGTAAAAATTACTGCAGATTAAGCATTAACGGATGGTTTCATACTAAAGAACCATTAAAGTTTGAAACTCCCACATACGAGAAACCCAAGTGTGGTATATTAAGCGATACACTGCAGATCGTTGAAAATAACGAAATCAACTTGGAAGACTGGATAGGTCCAAGATTTTTAAACGAAGCGTATGTAGGGGACATCCAGGGTTATATGGAGGAGTCGTCGCAGTTAAGTCTTGCGACTTTCTTCAATTCCAACAAGATGAAGCGAGTTGTCGAAGTATTGAATTCGCAAGGTTTGTTGCGTGATAAGTTCAGGAGATCATCGGTATGGTAACGTTTTTTTGTATTTATAGATTTAGTTTGGAAGCACATGGGACCACCGAATCGTCATAACTACGAGTACCTTGATCTTGAGCAGGAGTTACCGCAGATACTTAAGAATTTCCTGGCGCTGTTCAAGTCCACGGATTTCATGCAACTGCTCATGCAATACACGCACTTGGAACTCGTCAATTTCAGGTACGAGCTACAAAAGTGGACACCTGGATGTTACTCTTTGCTAGGTGACCAAGAGGCGAAGAACAGGCTGGATTTGTCTATTAGCATGGGTGATCTAGAAGTGATCGGTGGAAAAACGCAATACGTAACGCTGGAGGATGAGGTGCAGCAGGCTTTGGTGACGATCGATGTGGACGGAAGTCTGAATTTAGTGTACGGTGACACGGCCAAATATATATCCTTCGTCAGCCACCAAAGCAAATCTAAAGCCTACTACACCTTAACAGCATCTTATTTCGAAACGGAAGAGGATGATGAAAACTAGTACTATAGTCTTATATAGTATACACATAAAACAGATTCTATAACGTATAAATAATTGTATTGAACACATTTTTGTAATAAATTTATGACAATTAGACATTCCTTCTTTGAGTACTTATTGATGGTACGTTTGAATATGTTGCAGAATGGACAGAATCAAGTGATACGATCCACTATATAATCTATAATGAATATATTGTGATATAGATGTTCGGGGATTATAGATTTATTCGCGTTGCTAGGCAGCCAAGCACAAACACCTGTGATGTTACGTGTGCAGAGTTATGTCATCAGGGTCACTACTTTCTTACAAGACGCACAGCACGCACGTGTTTTTAACGATTATACATCTCAATGTATTTCTAAATATTCTACAAAGTTTTTAACATGACGAAGAAGGCGTTCCAAGTACAAGTGGAGCTGGACTTGCAGGCCGTGAGTCGTATTTGTTAATTTCTGAAGAATAGCATGGTAATTCGAACCATTTGCAGGTGACATGTCCTGGTGTCTGGCTGTGTGCCAACGGGAATGTGTCCTTGCAACTATACATGCTGGACTCTTGCGTACAGACGGCCAGTGTCGAACCCATCTTCCCGCTTCTCCTCCAAGAGAAGTACATTTTTTACAAGACCTTCATCTCCGTGCATAAACTGACCGGACTACAGAAGCTATTAAGCAAGTATTGAAAATAACCGATAACGATACATGTAACTATGGATTGATCGTTTATAAGACAAGGAGACGCTGTATGTGGAACTAATCCAATGGCAACACAGCGACGCTGGAAACGTATTGGCAACCTTCCAGACTACCCTCACGGAACTCCTGTTTCCAACAAAGACGGTCGGTTGCGACGTCGATCTCCTTATGGATCCGATGGATCATTTTCCTGTAGATTTATTCATTCATCTTACAACAAAGATAACATTTAACTGAATAGAGAGGTTTCAGGGAATAATAGCTCCAAAGATAGAGGTAAGCACAAAAACTGTAATAGAAGACAAAATCTGCTCGGAAGCGCGAGCGTGTCCATCGTACGTCGTAAATCCCTGCCGCATTCAAAGCATGAACCAGCAGCATTCAAACATCGTCAGGCAGAAGAAAGTCTGTCACTCTGTTAAATACCATAGGTACTTTACTAAATATGTAAATTTAAAACTCAAGTATAACTAATTGGTACAATGTAGATCTCATCGTTGTCCAGTTGGACAAATGATGGACACGAGACCGCCGTTCGTGTGCCGCAGAGTTGACGAAAATTTGATACACAGAAGACCAAACGGCACGGAAACCAATTATTGGTAATTAATTAAAAGTGTACAGATATTGGCTAAACGTAGAACAATCATTCTCTAAAACGCAACGCAGCAACTGCAAGTCGAGTTCTCCAAAACGGAATCCGCCGAAGATCGTATTCAGTGAGAACTGTCATCTGAAGACACGCAAACCCAATCTTACCTTTGTTCGTAAAGGTAGTATTCAATTTCTTCCATTATATCGAAAACAAAAACAAATCAATGAAATATTTTGAGATTTCTGCAAAACCGATAGATGTCACCATAGGTGTGTATTCGGCATTTAAAGCTCATTAAATGTGTTTCAGTCGATGATAATTTGAATTGCGGCTGCGACAGAGAGGATCACCAGGAGGATTGCCCAGTTTGCGCCAAGTACAAGTACTATTTCGATAAATCGAGCCCTTCGTTAAAATCTACAGTGAGCAATGCTTCCGTAGTCGCAACATTAAATTTACAATGTCAATGCAAATAATTTCCAACGTTTATTGCAGATGAATCCCGAGGTATTGTGCAATTACAGTTCCAAATCGAAGCCTAGTCTTGCAGGGAAGATACACAGTCGGTTGCTGGAGACGCTAGGACAAAAGTCTCAAGTTCATTCTGACCGTATGAGCGACTACTCTGATGAATTGTTCGTGTTTTAGCTTTTCTATGAGGTGGCCATGCACCAATCGCGCAATATTGAGCGAATTTATAAACATATTACTATTGTCCAATGAAAATGCATTGTTTTTGGTGGATGGCCAACTTTCATTGGTCATTTGCAATATAATGCGTTTGTTTTTGTTTTGCTCGATAGAGATTCTGATTTTGACATGATTTTGTAGAAACTACGAAGCCGGATCCCTGCGTGACAGCTGCACGGTTTCCAGCTTCGGGGACTTCTATAAGAAGCTGTACGGGAAGGCAGCTTCTAAATGCCAGAGACTTCTTTACTAGGGATGAATCTAATCTAGTCACGTGCCAGCAGCTGAATCGAATAGAATTAATTGCGAGAGATATGCAGAAAAAAAGTTATATGTATGTTGCTGGATTATAATAAATATTGCTGTGAATCTTGTAAATGGCCTTTGCGCGTGAATGAATGTTTTCCTAATGAGCGCAGAATGTTTTTCTTTACGCTTTAATTGCCCAATATCAATTGTTTTCGCATCTATAATCGTCGGTGACGTCACTTTTCTTTTGTTTCCTCTATAAAAATTTCTTCCATCTCTCTCGCTCTTGTTTTCTCCAATTAAAGCTCGCGCGCTCCGGCGTCTTCTCTTTCCTTCGATTGTTACGCCCACGCGTACTCTGCATTCAAGGAATCGCCTACGTCCATGTGTTTATTCAGGTTCTGCGGTGCGAACGATCGGTGCGTACGTCGTTGATAGGTTCGACATAGCAGCGCGCCTTCTTGTTCATCAATGAAATGACGTTGCGGCTCGTTGATTGGTCGATGCGTTCGGAGTCGTCCAATCGGCAGCTTGCGAGCCATTGTCGATTTTCGTCCCGCGTCCCTCGGCGATTCAAGTTTGGGACAGAGCCGCGTTTCATTTCGTTTCATTCGGAGGTGCGCTGAGTGTGGAGCACACGCTCCATAGCTTCTATCATTTTCGTATCATTTCGTTCGCGTTGTACATGATACATGTATGAACAGAGTATGATAATATAGGAAGAATAATATCGAGTGCAAGTGTCCATTATTTTTACACGTTCCATCCATCCAGCATCGTCGTCATTCATCTCTCGTCTTGTCTCAGTGAAGAAGTTTTGATGTTGTTTGTGTTGCCCTAGGAGCGGCGGTACCAGTGCTGATGTGTGATTTGTTTATTTTCCGCGCGTTTTCGTTCGTTTCTCGCCGTTGTCATTGATTGCGCGAGTTTAATAACAGTTTAATTGAATTAAATAACAACAACAAACAAAACAAATATGCCGACAACAGCTGATTGCTGCGATTACGACTTCGTGTCGAAGGACTGGCTCAGGGGGGAGCTCCGTGGTGGTGACTCCAGGAGGCTGGTGGTCTTGGATTGCAGGAGCAGCAACGAGTTCACGGAGAGTCATATCCGCGACGCCGTCAACTTCTCTATACCCTCGATCATGCTGAGACGCCTGGCCACTGGCAAGATAGACCTCTCCTCCACGATCAAATGCAGACAGCTGAAGACCAAGATCTGCAGCACCTACAAGGAGAACCTGTTCATCCTTTACAACGACCTCTGCCGCGTCCAGCAGCACCTCTCCGACTCCGTCCTCGGGGTGCTCCTCAAGAGGCTCAGCCAAGATGGATGCCGCGTCGTTTGTCTCGAAGGTTAGACCGCTGCAACTTCATTCGTATTTTCCTTTCCTATTCATCAACAACAATAACAAAAACAACAACATAAGAATGCATCAACACACTTCGATCCTGAACATCAAAAACAACAACAAACGAATGGGCAGCAATCTCGATAAAAATGACTATCTACAAACCGATCAGATATTTTATTTAACAGATAACCGAATTACTCAATTTCCAATACAGTTTATCGAGATTCATAATTACGATAAGCCCGAGTTGCGTACTTTGCAAATCTCATTCATTTCATCGTGATTCACTCAAACTCAAGGCTACCGTGTCTCTCTCACACACACACTCTCCGTCTCTCCCTCCATTCGTCAAAGCAAAGCACATTTTTCATTCATTCATCTACACTTATATTTTCCCTCCCTCTAACGTAAATCCATTCTTTCAGCTTTCTATTTAGATATTTTCATAAAATATTATTTGATTTAACGAAATTTATGACTGTCTGGGAAAACGAGATCTAATTTTAAATTTTGTTTGGGAATCCGCATTTAGCAGTCTCTCCGTTACAAATATACAAGAGAGCGCCTCGCACACACATTATAATTTCAATGTTGCCATGAGCGGCTGCAAACCGGAAGTCGAAAAGCGGATGAGGCAACTTCCTGCTGTTCAAATGCGGCCCGCTTTTCTTTTACTACAAATTTATTGCGTTCTTCTTTCAGTATTCGATTGCTTCGACAAAAAATATGCGTTGAAAGTTGCGTTGCATTGCATCTCTGAGTCATGCGATTTATGGGCGCGCGATCCGGTGGCAGAAAGTTGGCTTACATTCGCCATGTTGTCGCTGCCGTTGTTACATTTCGGATTATTCACTATTCCGAATATATTGTTTCTCTTCCGAGAGGGTCTTCGAACCTTCGGGCCGGGCCGTTCGCCTTGCCAAAAAAAAAAAACAAACAATGTTATATGAATCATTTGGTTTCAGGAGAATTTCAATTATGACCGAATCATTTATATCACGTCCAACGCTTTCAAAGAGTCATACGGGTCACGCTGCATCATGAGTCTCCTACCAATTATCTTTAATGAACAAACTTCATTGATTGGTCTCGAATCTAATTGCTGCTTGCATATCACAATTCTATTAATTGCTTTGTTGAATTTAACGATTACTTCAAATTATACTTTGATAAAAAAAAAGTTTTAATTGCGTTCAAACAAATTGATGAACACTATTTTTTCTTTTAATTGTGAATTTCAATAATCGATGTTTCACTATTCAATTTCTTAGATAATCATTTTTCACACAAATTTCTAATCAATTCCGTATAATCAACGTGGATTAGAACACGAAGACTCGAAACTTTTGCGATGCATTTGAACGATGACTCTCAATAATCAATGTGAAACCTGATTTTGTTTTATTGTTCGATCGTGCTGAATGTGGCGCGTTTATTGCGTAACAATAATGTTATTATACCGGATATTTTTGAAGACTACGTAAATTCTATCAATTTGTAGCTTCTTTTGCTGATAACTCTTAGTCGAAATCACACTTGACTCTTTGAACTGAGACGTTGTTCGGGTCGTCCTCGGACAGAGGGGGCCTTTAATCCGGAAAGAAGATGTGTATCTTGCGTAATCCGGCCGGGTTTCCATAAGCTCGGGCACACGGTGTAACGACCTCATCCGCTAAAATTTCTATGAAACAATTCCTCTGCACATCCTGCATTCGTTTAATATTCGCGTACGTGATTTCCGCTTTCGCCCTTCCGAGAAGTCATGTTTATATGTAAATGTACGCGCCGCATATAATAACAATTGAAGCAATTATATTCGGCGTTTTTGTCGACGTTCCCGTCGTGTGCGGTTCGCTCCTCCGTATCGCATAATAAACTGTCGATACGGATGATCATTGGACGATCGTCGTTGCATTATGCAACTGTGGAATTGGATTGACTAGAATATGTAATATAATAAATAACGTTTTCTGGAAGATAAAACATTTGCCTGTGGGCGAAATGGACTTTAAGAAATCATTGAATATAGTAGGATCAGTATCATCTTCAGAAAAGATTTCAGGTATCCGTGTGAGAATCTATAGAAAACCGAATTCTAACATGATTTTATTTAGAACAAAATTCTCGGCAGTTAACGCGAATCACTCGCTTCCCAGAAACCCGTTTATTTACGGAATGATTTCTAAAAGCCAAAGAAGCCAAATGAATAGTCAAGTCCCGAAGGGTCTCTCTCTTCTTTCTTTTGTCGAGTGCTTGACTCGACCGTTGTTGCAGGTAATCGCGTCCACTCAAAGAAGATAATAAAAGCACCCCCTCGAAATGTTATTTATTATATTATGACCACTCTTGAAAATGTGTGAATTCGCTCCTTTGTATTCTTCTGCGAAACATCTTTTCTTTTTCGGTCGTATCAATTGGTGTAACTGACACTCCAGGCATTGAATGTCATTTTTTTGTTCACCTAATTAAAGTGTACGAAGGGAATGGTTGGAGCAAATGCACCGCATACTTGTCTATAAGTGTATACATATTTCGGTTTATACTATGTAGGTAGAAAAGCCGAGGGCAACTGGAGGTGATTCGGTTTTCTTGGAAAGGCAACTCATGTTCTCTTTTGCACGCACCAGCACTATGCTCCGTATATCTTTCCTTCTCTACATGATGTTAAAATATCCAAATTAACGTTTGAGTAATCGATGAATGGAAAGGATGTTTAATGCTGCGAAACGCGTGAGTGTGTTTTTGATGTATGCAATTTGATTGGAAGCGTCCTTTCTGTTTGTGTGAGTGCGTGTGAGTACGTACATGTGAGTGTGTTTGGGCAGAGAATTGATGCGTGGGTTTTACGTGGAATGGACGGAGAAGCCTCCCACGCATTCCTGCGAACAAGAACAAGATGGAAACCGAAAAAGAAGAGAAGAAGAAAAAAATAAATAAATAAAATGACTCTCCGTCTCGATCCTTCCTTTTTCTCGTTTCGCTTGTTCTTCACTACTTGTTTCTTTCCAGTTTTATACGCGGCCCACGCAGACAAACTGTTTCGGTATCAATGAGAAAGGGACTTGTAGAAAGAGAGAGAGAATGGGGCAAACACGAAGTAATAATAATAATGATCAAGAAGTGGGCGAGAAGAAATATATATATATATACCTCAGGAGGGCAAGCTAAATTGAATGGGAATGAGGCACGAGGAATTCGAAATATGTCCCACACATTCACCTTCGCTTCGCTTTTCTTTCCCTTCTTCTGCTCCATCATCATCATCAGCTCTCTATCGCCTAATAACAGCCTTCCCACGCAACCCGTAACCTGTTCAATTAAACTCAAACCAATTTATTACAGCGGGCACACGAAGGGAAGGACAAACAAACAAAAACGAAAATAATTATCTACAATCCAAAATTTGCTTTTACTCGAAAGCACTTCGCATTTCAATTTACGGTGGATTTACGATGAGACGCTTCTAATTGTTAATTAAATCTATAAATAACGATTTTTGTGAGCAAAGTCAGTTGCATTGCTTTGCTGTGCGTGTACGGCTTCATTTATCTCTTGCACTTCCTGCATTCGGAGTTCAAATAACTCCTGCCGTTTCCGGCGCAGCTCCGAAACCGTAACAAACTATGTGCGTTCCTTTATTTATTTTTCTCATCTTCTTCGAATTTTTACTTTACTAAATTCAACATCGATTTGTTCTTTGTTCGAATCAACGAAAAAAAGTAAAAAATACGTAGAGCTGAAAAATAGAAGGGGTGCGTTCACTGATGGACGGAAGGGCAGGCACACAGCCACAGGTACTTACCCTAATAAATGATGGTTTGGTCCGTATCCTAGCAACTGCCTGCAGGCAGGAGAGAAAGTAGGTCTTGCCGTGTGTGCCCTGCCCGGTCGTCCCCTGCCCTATCCTATCTGATCCTTTGCCTCCAATATGAAACGCATTCATTGCATCATCGCATTTGAATAATATTTTATTTTTTTTAATTAGTTTTTTTTTAAATTAATTGTATTCTTGTATTACAGATGGTTTCAGCAGATTTAAGGATGCGTTTCCGGAATGGTGTGTTAGCTGTAACGACCTTCCGGATGGCGGAGGCGGAGTGCAATCCGGCCACAGTGGTACAATGGAATCACTCCCGCTGATGGGTCTTTGCTCGTTGAGGATAACGGCCGTTCCGCACCATCCAAGACATCCTCACAGGAGTTGCGACAGCCTCTCCTCGGCAGCTAACAGTTCTACAGACAGTTCCGATACTGACGATAGGTGCGACAGTTCATTGGGTTTCGAGGAAGATCGCGAATTCCCAGTTGAAATTCTGCCCTACCTTTACCTAGGGAACGCTGCGAATAGCTGTGACCGCGACTCCCTGGCCAGGCACAACATACAGGTTTGTCAGGCGACGACCCATCGATTTTACCATTATTTATACTTTATATCCTTGCAGTACGTCTTGAACGTGACGCCGGACCTGCCCAACGTCTTCGAGGAACATATTACGTACATGAAGATACCGATCACAGATCACTGTTCCCAAGATTTGGCCTACTATTTCCCGCAGGCCATCGAATTCATAGGTATGTGATCGTGTACATATTGCACAACTTGAACTATATAGCCCGATTATTTGAGTTAATAGTTTATCTCTCAGTATCAACATGGATTTCTAAAGAATTGGTCAACATGAAAAGCATTCTGACTTTAGCCAGAATTTTGATAGAGTTTTTCGATAATTATGAACAAGTCGAAATTATATAGAATTGCTTTTAAAACTATGATGATTCAATGATATTAATTGTTGCTCACTGATGTGACAAATGATGAACAATATGAAAATATTATGTAATTTTACTGTTAAACGATAACAGAGGAGAGTTGCGTATTATTAAATATCATACAAATTGTTGCTAATATTACTATTACACTTGTCACTGATGATTAATATGAAGATATTACAATTTTTACAAGTAACTTATCTAAAAAGAGTGATGATTGTGTTAAGAGAAAACACAAAAATAATGATGCAATAATTAAAACATAGTTTGTATCTTAGTTGTATATTGTTAGCGATAAAGTAAAAATGAGGCCGCGTTGGGGAAGCGAGCAAGTAATTGCAATCTAATGCAAGTAATGCAATTCATTGATAGATATGAGAACAAGCTGACTAATGAATCGATAAGTACTTGTGTAATGAAGTTCTCTTCCTATCGATTGCACCACGGGTTTCTCGACCTTTAAATAGTATCATTATAATTGCGTTTGTGCGGGGGCGGCGAAACACGAAAATCGATTCAAAGTTTCTCGAGCGCGTGGGCGTACGTTGCGGAGAAGAAGGCCGTCCGTCGCGTTGTTGTTTCCCATAAAACGGGAAAAACAACAAGAGCAAAAAAGGAGAGACGGAAAAAAGGAGATCAAGCATATATATATATAAATTGTTTGCAAGGTGGTGGCTCCATTCCGTAACCCTGCGCTCCTTTTCCCCCGCACTCAACGGAGGTTGGCCTCCCACGCCGAATTCGAGCAGCGACAGCAGCTGGGGTCGTGCGGAGGCGCGCGCGTTGTCTGCGACCACCCCCGTACATTCACTCATCTATCGTTTCATTCACGACACATGAATGGGGGGTGGGTTCAGTCAGCCGCCCCCGCACTCATTCGCCCTTAATCTAGGTCAACACACGGTTTCATTCACCGCCCGGATTCACCCTCGCTCGATAACTGCCACTAATGCTTTTCTTTGTTTGCAGATGAGGCGCGAAACAACCAGAAGGGCGTACTCGTTCATTGCCTAGCTGGGATAAGCAGATCGGTCACGATCACCGTGGCCTACCTAATGAAGAAATGCTCGCTGACCATGAACGACGCTTTCAGCATCGTCAAGTCGCGCAAGTCCAACATCGCACCCAACTTCCATTTCATGCATCAGCTCTTCGACTTCGAGAAGGAACTGAAGCTGGACGAAGGAGGCGGCGGCACCGTTCCTGCCCCTCTCCGCGGTCCCATCAAATGCGACAACTGCGGGCTATTCGACGCCGCCTGCAAATGCCGACAGCACTCGGACTTCCTGAACTCGATGGCCCGGTTCGGAGTCAGCCCCGACTCCGGCATCGAGTTCGATCGGTGGGCTTCCAGCAGCAGTACTCCGGCCGAATGAGACCGCTTGGGGAGATCGCAGTGGCATTTCTGAACGGATCCTTGTCATCTCCCCAATCGAAAATACTAACGGCAAAACGGGAACTTGCCAGGAAGAGAGTTTATTGTTGAAACGCATTTAACATTTGTTATTATCCGTATTTATATTTGTAACAAAATATGCACAAATCAAGTTTTATTGAATCCATTTGATAAATTTGAGTTTATGTTGTGCGTTCATTATCCGCGTTTGTTTTTTTTACATTGATTTTTCTACGTATTTAATTAATAATCTTTTCGAAGCCAGTATTATTATCGTTATTATCACACCTACTGTATTATTCTACATATTTTCGTTTCGTTTTTAAGTGTCCATCTACATTTATCGTAGACGTCGTTATTCCGTATTCTTTCTTCCCATGCTAAATTAGCGTAGGGTCGCACCTAGCAACTAATCCTGAGCAATAAAAAGTATATATCTAGGGTGGTTTATTTTCTCGCCTCGAAAGGAATATTCTAAAAGGACGAAGGCGGCAGCGGCGGTCGTAGTAGCATTGAAAAGAAGACTGTTTTTTTTATTATCGTTGACGATTATATTCGTTTCGTTTCCATTGAATGTTTTTTTTTCTAAATTAAATTTTGGGTACGCGCGCTACAGCAATTAATTGATAACCATATTTGTAATGTATATTAATAATAACAACAACAAAACGCACAAAATTTGTTGTAAAGATCGTTTGCCATTTTATAAATTCATAAAAGTATATATACAACATGCATGATGAGTAGACGAAATACAATTAGCGCGTCTACATATAAATTAAGCGGAGAGAGATAACGTAATGAATTCAAATAGTAAGATTTTTCATTTTTGTTGTATTTTTTTTTGTACTGTGCCATATTAATGTTGTTAGCTGTATATTGTGTAACTTATTTAGGGTCTAAGTAATAATACTTCTTGCCATCTTTAATGAAATCGAAAAACGGAAAAGCAGCAGCAAATTTCTGAACAATCTGATATATATGAATTACTAATATTCACTGCGTTATTTCCGTTACAAGCAGCGTGCGTTGATCGATTCCAATTTCGCTTCAAATATTTCTTTTTAAAATCATTTTCTTTATAATAGTTGTAAGTTTTCTTTTTGTAATATCTGTGTATTTTGTACATATAAAAAAAAACCTTTTATATATATATATATTCTTCATCGACGGGGAAGTTGTTAACACTATTTGTACTAATATCACGTTAGCTTAATTATATTACTCTATATATGTATAAACAAACAAAAAACGTCTGGAAAGAGAAAAAAAATTGTTATCCGCTGATGATATATATTTATGTATGTTGTCTTAATTTCTATGTCACATATTTTTCGTGTATCTATATATATATACCGATTACTTGATGATCCTTTTCACCTAAGGGCATACATTTTTTTTTTCAAATAAAATAATGTTCATATTTTCAAATCCTCGTTTATTTATTCATTATTACCCATTTTATTATAGACTCGACACCTAGTGAATCAACGAAACGAACACACAGTTCTACAAAAGAGGAAATAACAGGGTTTATTTTTCATTGAATAAGCTTAGAAGCAAGCACATTTACTCTTAATATACACTTAATAGATTCCACATTTAGAATAATATAATAATAATCGATTACACATCGCACATACGAACTTTAAGCTAAAATAATATCTTCTCATGTTTTTTTTTGTTTTGTTTGACAAAATTAACGAATCTGATGGATATGGATTTACTATACAGAATAAAGCGAATTACGTAAAAAATATAAAATAAGATTAAAATTAATATATAATTATATTATGTATATATAACAAATAATAATATGTTTGTGTTATTTGAGAAAATGTGGACTACGGTTTCACCTATATTGAAGATAGTTCAACATCTTGTTTCGTATAATCCGCTCCTGCCGATGTACCTGACCCATTTGATGACATCGTGATCAGAGTAATTGATTTTGGGCTCGAACACCTTCAGGTAACGCACTTTGAAGCCGGACGGAGCGAACGGCACTTCGAAGTTCATAGAAATCGGCGGTCTCGTCCACTTCTTCTTTGTGTCCGTCTCTAGAAGCTCGATCTCAGCCGAAAGTTGGGTCTCTTTCATACCGGCCAACCGTTTGATTCTTAAGAGAAAAAAACATTAGTTAATGAATATTGTTTAGGAGGAATCATGAAATACTCACTTCCAAACTATTGCGTTTTCGGAGGCCTTGTATTTGGCCTTACCCTTCAAGCAGATCAATTGAACGCCGGACGTGTTGAGAGGAGTCGGAATCTTCACCTCGATCTTCTGACCCAGCAGCGACGGCTTGAAGTTGCTCTTCAACACTACCTTAACTTCCATTTTGGTCCTTCCTACTTCGCGCACCAATGGAATTACGCGGAATGGTAACGATATATCTTTGGTGGTGCGGTATCTAATAATAATTACAACAGTCAACACTTTGCTATCGTCGTCAAATACTGTTAAACAAACCTCATAAGTTCGAATTCGCCGTCGGGCGGGATGAAACTAATGGAATGTTCTGTCTCGAATTTACTGAGCTTCACGCATTGATGGAATTGGCAGTCATCAATGACGACTACAGGTTTTCCAGATCTGGTGGCTTCCGTCTCCGCAGCTCCGCCCAAACCGCTCTTTCCTTTCGCCTCCATCACGATCTTATCGTTGATACCGAACTTGCATTCAGGCATTCCAGACAGATAACTCTTCATGATGACCTTACCAGCAACGTGTGCCGACAATACTTGACCTATATATACAAAAAACATAAATCCATTTACCATAATTAACCAAATTCGTTCAATTTTCTTACCTTGCGGAGACATCAGCAAGTTTACGTATTCAAGAACATCCAAGAACAGTTCGTTACGTCTATACTTGATGCCCTCACGCCTCCATCCAATCTGCCCAGTGACCTGTGACGTAATCTGAGCTTGCTCCTCTTTTGTAGCAGATTTAATACCTTGCTGCGTGATGAACGTTTTCAGAACGCCAGTATCAGAATTTTGCGGATAACCAAAATCCAATATTTCTAAAAACAATTATATTAATACATATAAATATTTCAGTTACAAAATATACAAACCATCAAGCAACTCATAAATAAGAACAAAATTATTTTTGATGTTCTCTTCAGATATCTTTCCAAAGTAAGATTGCATTACTTCAATGATCTTCAGGAGGAATTCGAAGACCATGGCAGCATTAACATTTTGTTTGGTGACTGCAGCCAACCAGATATTAGCGCGCTATTGGATAAGGCAATGATATTAAACTGTCTTAATACATCTTACAATATATTTACCTTTATGTGAAAGAATGAGGTGCGAGCGATATTGGTCACAGGTGAACGAACCTGCTGCCTAGCGTGAATCACATTCACCCTGAATGCATCCACCGCATTTCTACCAATATCATCCCTGTACACCCGAGAGATGAGCACCTCCCCTTTATGGTTGTACACGAACAAACCGCCAATCATTTTGGCTGCCCAAAAACACAAGATCAATCTGCAAATAAACAATATTATTAATCAAGTACTTATTTTTTTTTTAGATAAGATGACATCTTCTACAAGGCTATATAAGTCATTATTACATGAAAGCAACAATAATTCATATGCTGTATAATCAGCTGAATGGGATCAGGAAGTTGAGTATGATTACGCTTGAATTAAGTTAATCACGGCCATAATAATGATGAGATTTGTTGGCAAAGTTTTATTGATTCTTCTTGAGAGGCGTATATTGGAATTCGAAACCAATTTTATGGGAACTCCTCCAATCAGGTAGCTCTTTTAGTAATGGATAGTGAATAGGGGATACTTACGTTTCAAAAAAATGCCAGCTATTTCATTGAAAACAATTATTTAACAATCCTTTTAGATTCCAGTTAGATCTTTTCTGACAATTTACTTGTCAGCAAAAGCCGACATATTCAATTCCCCACCAGTTCCTCGATCAACCCACTTTTTTCACTGGTACCAACATAAATCTAATCAAAGTCAATTCAAACTAATTAACATACGAAATAATTGTTCTAAAAACGAGTTAAAGTATTACAAATACCTCTTGTACCTTAATTAGACTATAATGTTTAAATGGTTGCCTAATTGTGAAGTTAGACTAACTGTTCTGAAAAATAGACAACAGGATCTTTATTTAAAAAAGCAACAGATGTCGCTACTATAGCATATTGAACATTAATTTGGAAGATTTTTCAAAATTTGGAGACTTATCCAAAGAAGCATTTAGTGGTAGATAAATAGAAGATTGGGGTAATTAAGACCGAAAGTAACTTTCACCTAGGCTTTATTCGTTTCAACCATAAAATATAGTAGTAAGTAGGTAGTTAATAGATATGTACATACATAATATTTTATACATTCTTAGTAAATATCTTACAGGAAGATTAATTCATATTACTGATGATAGATAATACGCGACTCGAATATATACTGAAAATACATGTTTACTTCATAGACAAAAACAAAACAATATATATAGAGGGTTCCAAAAAGATTTCGCATATCCTTGTTCTCTTCTCGTCTTGTCCTTAGTGTCGCTTCTTCAACGTTAATAATTAACAGAAAAAATAAAAAATAATAAGCACCACAAATATCATGACCGCTTTTTCAGGTTTCAGGGCAGGTGAATCCATCAGTTTAAAAAAAAATAATAATGTAAACTACACGAAAAAAAAAAATAAATAAATACTCATCTTCAACATAACATTGTCGTAGTACCGCCACATCTCAAACTAATACTCTATAGTAAACTCATCAATAAAGAATAATTAATCACAGCTGCTAAACATATTTCACAGTAAACATCGTTCGCGACAAATACAGGCACAACGAGAGCCATTCTTTCATTTTGGCCTACAATCATTTGTATTATTTGGTATGTGTTTCTCTTACATGTATAACATAATATACAATGAACGGACAGGAGGAAAATCAAACATAAAAGTAAAAATGAAATGCTTTCGTTCGTTCTCGGATATCTGTCGAATCAGTGCACTAATTATATATTACGCGAAAATAATATAGAACAGTGCACAAATAAACAAAAAATAAATATTGTTCGAGGTTAAAAACCGACTAAATGCATTGGCAATATTTGAAAAGTTTCCAAAACCACAATACCAGAAAATTTGTGCAAACATCGACGGTTCATGAAAATTTTACAAATATCAGAATGATTTGGCAGTTTGTATAATATATAATAGAGTAATTTCTTTTTTTAAATAAAACGCATCGAACGAAGACGAAAGCAAAAAAAAACAAATGCCACCGTATGGCAGTTAACGAGAATTTTGGTACTAGTGTGTGTTAAGTTCATTTATCTAATATATATAAAGTTATATATATATAGTTTTATATAGTCTAGTTACGTTTCGCTTGTATATTATTAGATAGGATGGATTTTCGTTATCTTACTTTTCTATCCACCCAAAGTTAATGTGGGATGTGTTTTTTTTAGAACAGGCCACCTTTGCGGCCGAATAGCATTGAACTAAGTGTACCCAAAGAGCTGCTGGGTTCAGCTGCAACCGGTTTCTTATTGGCCACGGTTCCCAAATCTGGACGTGTTTGACCACCTCCACCTTGCTGTCTACGCTGTTTTCTGGCGTTCAGTTGTTCCAAACGTTTCTTCAGTGAATCCGTTCCAGGTTTTCCGGGAATTCCCATGGGTTCTTCTACAAAAATAAAAGAAAATAATTATTAGACTGTACGATGATTAAGTGATAATCATCACTTACCAGGAATCACGCTCTTTTCTCTCCTCTTCGAGGTAGCACCGGTTGTTTTAGAGGCTAGATTCTCCGTGCTGTGGCTAGGAAGGAGGCAGGTCAATTGTGCCATGGGACTGGTAAGGGCTGGTCTATGGTACATCCCCGCCGACAACGACAAAGCACCAGGTGATGAGCTCATCAAATTCGATATACCCATGCGCTCGATTCTACCAATCAATTGCTGCAACAAGATTTTATAATCAGTATTGTTATAACTAAAAAAACATCATGAGTTATGTAAATAGTAACCGTAACCATACGAAACTACATATTCAATATTTATTTCAATTGATAAAATTCCAGTGATACAATTGAAATATCCGTCATTTGTATAAGCGTAACCTCAATAGCATAGCGATTTTTATCTTGAGATAAGGAGCCTTGCAAAATGTTTTGCAATTAAATATATATTGATATACATAAAAATTAAACAATAATATCGGTGTAGACAATCACAAAGTGTAAATAAATAAAAAAGGAATGGTTAGTATTTATTTGTTAATAACGGGTTAACATTTGTCTAAGTGTTTTTTTATTGCATCTTTCTATCTAACTCTCATAATCTCTCAAATTCAATTATTAATTGAAATCCTCGTGTACGCGGCAATTGCTTTCTCATAATCAATTCGCATTGTAATCTGTAAAGAATAGTGTGGAACGCTGATGTTAGTGGTGTGAAGAAAACATGTCTGTGCAAGTTATCAGAATCATAATAGGATTGTGTGAATAAGGATTATCATGCTGGGATAATCAGATTCATCCTGGTTGTAATTACTCTCTCAGAGTAATCTTATTAATTTGTTTTATTAGTAGTGATCAAATATAAATAATTATTAAATTAGTATTCGAAATTAATTTGGACAATAATCTTATCAAGATCAATTAACGAAGATGTAGTATAGTAATTCGGTTTCAGTCAGCATAACGTTATCTTTATCTGGAATACTTACACCCTTATCAGAAGAGCTGCCGCTCTTTTGGCGTTTTGATATTCTCGGCTCTCGCGGGATCTTCTTGCGAGCACCGCCTCCGATGGTCTGCTGCACGAATTCGGGCATCGAGCTCAGAATCATCTGGGGAATACTGAAGATGTTGGGTTCTGGGGAATTGCTTCGCGATCGGTCCGGAGATCCGAGTGGACTGTTGCACGGGGTGGCGGTTGGTGTGAAGCTGTTGACACCGCACGGCGTGTTTACAGCCGAAGGGGTTACTGCTTTTATACCTGAATAACGAAAGAACAATATTGAAGTGCTGGATGGTATGTGCAGGTATCAGTACCAAGGACGTACCTCTTTCATTAAGCATCTTTGCCAATCCGTAGGTGGTGGAGAAGGTGGAGCAAGAGTTTCGGCGCGAAAGCATCCTAGGTGTTTGCGGTGGAGAGTTTTGAACGCTAGAACACACCGAGGCAACTCGACTACCGACGTTGCTCGGAGTCATAATTGTTCCGTCATCAGGGTGCATCACAGTGCTGTTGGTTAAGGTGTAAATAGGGGCGGACGAATCGAACATCTTGCCGGGGTTGGAATATTCTTCGTCTTCTTCTGTAGAATGATAAAATACTTTAAAGAAATTCAATTAATAAAAAAATGAACAATAAAGTACCTAAATCACTAAGACCATAAGTTTCCAACCCCATATCTTCAAGTTCCTTGCCGCCTTTGATCTTAACACCAGGCCTCTCTTCCAGTAGGCCACCAAATGTAGGCTGCGCCAATTGCGACCAGTGATGCAATGTCTGTGAGCCCTCCATAGGTTTAACAATCTGCAGCTTCTCCGGCAACCTCCACTGTTGGTACGCCATCGATCCAGTGGACATCAAACTATCCGGGGTGCGGCATCCAAAAGGCACATATGATTCACCCTCGTAACTAACGAGAAATTTTATTCTTTTGCTCCACTATTACTAACAAGCAGTATTTGATAAGAAAACTCTTATTACACTCACCCTCCGTAGGTAGGACCATGTTGCAGATTGGCTCTCCTAGCCAATACTTCCGACGGGGTCAACCGTTTCAATGCGGCCTCTAAATCTGCTGCACCCGGAACTCCAGGAATACCTTTCTGCGGAGGCGCTGGGTAGCCGTCTTCCGAATCAGTGTTCAGACTCGACTCAGAATCCGATTGACTGGTAGAGTCTATGCTCGGATAACCTAAGCTGCTGCTGCTGTAGATGGATCCAGAAGATCTTCGCATATCCGCGTAACCGCTCTGCGGACGAACGCTCATTCTTGGTCCGGTGGTGCTCAATCCGGAACTGCTCACGTAACCACCAAGACCAGAAGAGGCCAAACTGCCCATGCTATCAGCACTGTTTAAGGAACTTTGCGATGCGCAACGAACAGTTTCAAAAACCTTCTTGTATTGCGGCCTGTAATTAATTCGTTAATCAATTGTTGTTTAGCTAACTGCCAGTAAACATACACTTGATCGTTGTTGGAAATACCGCTGTCCGTGCTGAGTTCTGAATGCAAGGACATCTCCAGTTCGCTCTGAAGACTGTCGTAAACTCCTTGGGTATGTCCACCTAGTGATGGGAACATCGAGCTCCTGGCCACTGGCATTTGTTTCTTACGTAGCTTCCTCAGCTGTTCTTGTGTGTCGCGCAGCAGACCTTCGAGCTCGTAATACCTCAGCTTGTATTCACTTAATTCTACTGCCAAACTATTTTGATTCTCTTCTGTGATTTGTAGTTTAACACAGAGCTCCTCGATCTCAGCTGCATACTGTGAATGGATCATTAATATAGAGATTCATAATTTCCTCATAGAGTTACACTCACTTTGCCTCCCATGACTTCAGATTCTACTAGTTTAGACTTCAACGTCAAGATCTCCTCGTGCTGCAGCCGGCACTCTTCCCTGGTCCTGTCCAATTCATCCTCGAGCAACATCATCGACGATCGCGAACAAGCTGTGAAAATGTAGAAACTTTGCTCTTATTATGTTCGTAAAAATGAATATTGATGATAAGAGCGGACGACGCGATAAGGAGCGTAGTCTATTTATAGATATTCCCGATGCGATCCGATCCTTACCTAATTGACCGGTGATGTCTTTTAGCAAGTCCGCCTCGTGCGCCTCCACCTCGTCCGTGTCCCTGACGAGTTTAAAGAATTCATTCTTCAACGTCTTGTTCTCATCTTCCAAACAGGCTGCAGCAAAACGAATCAAAACAAAATTAATAAACACCAACCACTTGAAATACAATTATAATAATTACATATGCGCTTCTGCATGAGGTCCAGATTTATGTCACCCGTATAGTGGCCGATGGTGGACTCATCCATGTCATTGGTGAGGACCTGAATGAGTTCCGTTTTCTTAAAGATCTCATGGCTGAGCTGTGTGATCTTCTCATTGGCGCTCTTCAAATCAGTTTCCAATGCCGTCACCGACTCCGTGAGTTTGTTGTTGGTTTGCAAAAGTTCTTTGCCAATCCGGGCCGTTAATTCCAAATCTTTTTCTTTCTGCAAACAAAATACATCGAAACAATTTAGCATCGCTTTAAAATGCTCAAAATATTTTCAAATTATTACCTCTTCCAGAAGCCTACTGACTGCTTCTATATCATCGTAGGTCTTGCTCATTTGGCTCACACGATCGCTACATAAGACTGCGAAAAATAAAAACAAAAAATCCTTTTTGAAACCCTCTATATAATTATTTTTGTTTTTTTTTTGTCAAAGAAACATTATTTCCCCTTTCACTATCGTTTGAGCATCTTGGTGCGAAACCGACGACTGCCAAACTCCGCGCCGATCACGTATCGATATAAATATTGTCCTCGCACGCAATCCTTGATTAGATAACGAGAAAAATACCCAACAACGCACAACAATACAAGATGCTTCAAACGATAACAAGTAATGTGATAGCTTAAAAATACAAGGAAAATTATGATTCACTTACGAAAATAGTTAAGGGTTTCCCGAATTTGGTCCGGGGATAGTTTCAAATCCAATTCGTCCACCTGCAATGCCGGCGAAGGGATGAACCAATCCTGATTTTCGTACCCTGCAATAATAAACAATACATGAATTACAAAAACATTAATGCAGCAAGCAACAACAGTTGGAAACTTTTCAAATTCGACATGTATATAATTCAATTTTTGCGTTAAATCGCTGTTGTATAACAAATTTGGCATTCAACCGCAAAAAAACCTCACAAGCACCAGTCACGTCTAAAAATAAACGAGAAAATATATTGAATATGATTTTTTTTCCTCTCCTGAAACACCTCGCTTGATTTACGATCATCCACATAGATAGAATATGAAAAGATCTGTTCATTTTTTTAGTTACAAAATGTCTTCTCCTTTTTGTTGTAACTCGATTTAAAAATACATCGGAACAATGTCCAAACGATAAATGGATCAATTAATTGTTATTATTATATATATTTTTATAATTGAATTGTGTTTTTGTTTTTTTACACTATATCAAGGTTTGTTTTGCGTGGCGTAAAACTAGGTAATCCATCGAAATTATTATTATCTTTACAAACGGAATAAATAAACACTTGAAGTTACTTTGTTCCGTGCTAATGTATTTATTAGCATCAACTTGTTGTTCTATTGCTGTGGTGAGCGCGAAGTATATTGAAGTACTGGAGAAAGAATCCCGCTACAGAGGGTTATGCCATCTCTCTTCTATTGGTTGCTAGGAAAATTGCAGAGCCTTTAAATAATAGACGCCGATGTGAAACGAACCAATGGAGCAGTCTCTCAGCAATTTAACGAGCGATGTGTCTTTAATAGATAATTCATAGGTATGGAATTCAGTATTATGGGAAGAGAGAGAAAGATGCAGAGAAAAGTATCAGCTATTAACCTGTGCCCCATGGTTTGTCAGATCCATACCCGGATTTTAAGCATGTATCTATGCAATCTGCAGATCTTTGTTCTGATAAAACGACACTTGGATTGTTCCTAGATTTCGCGGCATGCTGCTGCAAATGGACTGATAACTTATCACGTTGATGGCGAGAAGACCTCTCAGTACGCCGGCAACGTATTCGCATTCCGAGAGTGTAAAATACTTAATAGAGCGAATTGTCTATGAATAAACTATTCTTATACACATGTAGGTGAAGCGGCGCTATGGCCGAAGGGCACCCTCGACATTCACCTTCTGCAATGTAAGTCCAACAACAAACTGAGACCCACCTTGTAAAAACCTCTCCGGTGAATGCAAAACTGGATACATTTATTTCTTCAACGAGCGACACTCTTTTTACCACCTTTTCTTTGGGACATCGGAAACATTCACCGCTCCGTTGAGCGGTTAGAGATAAACCCGACGAGCGGATCTCTTCTTCCAATTAGAAATCCGCGATTTATAGCGGATTCAAATAACAATGATCGGGGAGCACAGGAAGAATTGTAATTGCTGTACTTTATATCTTGCAGGAAATGAGGAAAGGAATTATTAAGTGCACGACCCTCCACCGTCCAGCACAATGGATGGGAACGTTCCCATGGATCCAGCTGAAGTGGAAACAGCGGGAAAATTACGCGCAGATCAAATAACTCGATGATGTACTTATCAACAATCAAAAGGTGGGTCACACTAAAAATGAAGAAAGTGAAACTTGTATTTCACTTTCGCTCTGTCGTATTAATGACTAGATTCGCGACTTCATTTAAATCTCGTTCGCCTTGAAATCATTATGACAATCTATTCAAATTGAAGATTATCACTGTTAAGCTTCTTGAACTTGCACTAAAAGTGTACGGGGAATCTCACTAACGTTAATTTGAAGAATGAGTGTATTTCCGGTGGATTCTTTGATTTCAAATGCCCTCATTGTAAGTGACTCAAAAAACGATGATAGAAAAGTATATTTTGTAATAGAATTAGCTTTTTTTCGAAAAATAGTTTATTTAAAAATATTCAATTGAGATCAACAAATAATGTATTCCCCTTCACCATTCTGATATTTACAAACAAATCATTTTTCGTGCCAGATCTGTAACCTTCATTATCTTTGAATATAATTCCTCAAGAAAATCATTGAAAGTATGCGGAAAAGGTGAGGCGAGAGGTCTTAGGTGTACCAGATGCCGAAGAACGTAGAAACCGTCAGAAACACAGTTTCTATGGCTATTTTAAGACTGTGGAATTATAATTCTAGAGAATCTCATTAATTGGATTTTTGTTGATGAACCAACAGAGTGGTATGAAGTAGAAGACAGCTGTGATTTTTCGCATAAAAAAAATGGTAATATGTTTCGAGGATGGTAAATGTACTGGCCTGTCACTATTAAACAAGAGTTATCGATGTAGAGAAAGTAAAGATGCGAGTTTGTTGGTCTTAAATTTAAAAACTTTGATGTTAAAATCAATTTAAATTAAACAAAAGTAACAGGTATTTTCTACCAATTGTTACAAATAATTTAAAAAAAAAACGATACAAATTTATTGAACTGTATAGACATAAAAAATATTACTTCCCTTAGTTTTACTATCTAATTAGGAGATTCAAATGTACGAGTATAATGATAAGATGATCAACTCATGTTTACAAGTCAATTTTACAGTTTATTAACATATGTGAAACGTGTCAAGCCAATATGATTTTTTTTCGTTTATAAGAAACAAATTTGACTTGAGATGGACAACACTGCAAATGCAAGAATGATTTAAGACTTACCTCCGAACTTTGTGAGCGTGTCTGCTCTCAACTTGTACCGCGGTATCTGCTCCTCCAAAAGGCTGATGATCTCCACTTCCGGAATCGACTCGCCACTGCACAACTCTGCCGAAAAAATAAATGAAAAAGTAACAATTAATACAGACACTTCACGGACGGTCGACTCGATAATTAGTGAAAATAAATAATCGTGGAATGGAGAGCGTTTCGAACGAAAATAACAAAATATTAATTTGAATAGAAAAAAGAAAACGTGCGATCATCGAAATTCATTGCGGAAATAGGAACGAGAGGGATGAAAATAGATTGGACCGGTTATCACAACTAGGAATGGATTGAGTCACCACCACGCATTGGCCCCGATGCAACAAATTGCATCATCCTACACCTCCGAAAATACATGACCCCAATGGATAAATATTTATCATAAACACAATATCTCTGTCCATCTTATTGCAGCTTAACAATAATACTTGAATTTTCGTCCATAAATCGGCGAGGTTATCCATTACAATACAAATGCGTTAGAACTTTCCCAAATTTTTTTTTCCAAGAAAACCAACATTATATTGTCTGTAGCTGTACTACGACCCATAGGTTAAGAAACGCTGGACTAGAAGTTTGTTAAATCCAATTTTTTATGTATTTTTTTCCAAAACGATTTCTAATCAAATACCAAAACTAGACTAAAGATCGTGTCTTATCATGTAAGCTATTAACACTCCCAATGTGCTTTATTTTCGGTTAGCTTTCCAAAATCGAAATAGCACGCTCCTTTCTTCTTCGCATCGAGTACGAAATATATCTTTGCCTATAATAAAGCCGCACGCAAATTTACTAATCTATTTTTACTCGTCCACACGTATTTTAGCTCCCTTACGTAAGTCGCTCACAAACACAGACATTACACGATAGTCGTGTCCGTGTGTATGTGCGAGTGTACGTACTGTATCTGCATAATAAACATCCATTCACGTGATTCAAAAGTGAGCCAAAAAGACCTCGCACACTGCACCACACCACGACCTCCTCCTTTATTTTTATATACAACCTATCCCAATGCACCTGCACTTCACGAATCCTGCCTGCTTCGTTACCTTTTAATAATGGCATTCCATGCAGAAGTCGTCGACGCGCACTTTGTTGACACTAAGCTTAGAGGAATCGATTTTTTTTCGAAATCGCCACAAAAGCAGCACAAGTTGTTGCGGTGCTTTTGCTGATTGGGAAAGGTGACCGCCGAAGCCGCTGTAGTTGATATGCGCTTTCGTATGAAATCCACCCACTACTTCAAACAACTCGCAAACTCAATTAGCACAATATTTTATTTGCTCTTCCCGTTAGGTGTTGCTAGCGCAGCACGAATTAAAACTCAAATTTATTCAATTTGAACGAATAAAATTGATTCGATTTTAATAGTTAATTGAAACACGTAACTACAAACAATTAATTTTAAGTGTACCAGCTTTGTAATTTCCATTCACTGCACTGTAGAAGCAATTGCGTCTCATCGAAATCACATAACATTAGCTTTGATGAATTATCTTTAGAACGCTAATTGTTAAACTCGACACAAATACATCCAAATATTAACTCGGAATGATCGAATTTCAACACTAGTCTTTGTTTACTTCATCCGATAGAGGAGAACAAAATGAAAAACATTCATTAAAGCTATGACCGAAGCTTACTACAATTACAATTCCAGCAGATAACGAGAGATATATAATTTTTGTAAAAAAAAAAATAAGTTGGCGACATTCAAACAATGTACTTGCACACGATACAAGGTAAAATCTCGTAAACCTTCATTAAAAAATCACATGCTTCTCGAACTTTGGACGGCGCACTGTGATTCATGCTCCACGGAATTTTGGAAGACGAAGAACTGGTTGATGGCATCAACACTCACCAGCTGATTCAGATGCAAGGCAGCCGCCCTTTAAATCCATCGATTACGAAACACGCAAGAACTGGTCGAGGCGATGCGTTTAACTGCATTTCGACCTTAGAAACGCTCAGTAGGAACGGTAATGTTAAACAACGTCGAGTGAGAGACAGAAAACTAATGGAGACAAACTCGAAAAGCAGTTTTGGTAGAACAAAACAGTGTTTTGAAAACTTAAAAAAAATCGTTAATGACCTTTACTCGTGCGCACCTATGCAAAATCGTATTTCCAATGATAATCTTATCGGAGCCGCATTGTATTTTTTTTTCATTATTTAATTTATTTTTAGTGAGAAACAATAATTAATCTAATTCGATATATTGACAATCGGCGATAGTGCACGAGGAAACAACTCGAAAATACACCTTAATTAACCGTCAACAATGAGGCGAACTCAAAAGACTTTCAAAGTAAAAGTTTTGTAGTGAATTAAAACGAAAACGCGTTCGAAAAATTTCTACTAACAAAAAAAAATATATATATAATAATGTGAATTTCTTCCCAGGCTAATTTAGTTTCGAAAATAATAAAGAAGTATCGAAATATTGAGGAAATTTGAATGAAATGTTTGTTTATTATTTCAAACTTATATAATCGTAATTTTTTTTAAAAACCTATTTGATGGTAGTCGTAAATTGAAGGTCGTTTTGTAAACGGAATATATAATAAAGAAACGAAATCTCTGAACTTTTTTTTGCGCAAGGTTAATAATAGATAAGTTAAGAATAATATTTGTAAATTGTTTAGTGCATCTGCAATTCAAATTTGAATGTTAACCAGACGATTATAAACGTTAGACAACTATAAACAATTGGGCTAATAGAAACAGATAGAAGTGATGTCATCGCGAATGATTCAACGCTATCAACGGATACGAGATTATTTATTTACTACAGTACAAAATTAATAAACTATTCAACACGAGACGTTCGCTTTAGTTTATAGGCAACCAACATCACATTCGTTATCTGATTGCAGCTAATTAAATGAAAATTGCAGGGATAAAATGAGTTTCAATATAAAATAAGATGAATTGTGAATTTGTCCTAAATAATTTGAAATTGGGGCGAGTCTGATCTGATTGCGAACTTATCGCAAAAAATAATGATAAGTTCAATTGTATCCAAATGTACTCAACGGAAAGTTTCCAAAACGAAACCAAAATATAATAATTGACTGCTATTCTTCGAAGAAGTATACATAAACAGTTCATTAACATGACGTATGTATTCATTACTCATACGCTTGCAACGACCTCGCAATTTGTTTAATGGATTTAAGCTAGTTAATGAATTCGATTCGCGTGTATTTTGATGTGTACCATTGTTCCAGTTGTTGAGAAGTTGATTCTGCTTTTCCCAATCTTTGATGTTAACGGATCGGCCGGCTCGCACCCTAGGCCGTTTCTCCCCCGAAGACGATGCCATCCCCGACACTGAATTCAACACTTCCAAGCATGGTAACGACACATCGAGCTTTTATTAGATACGACGACTACGAGCAAATGAAGTACTGATTTCGACCAGCAAAAAAAAACGAAGTAGAAGACGACGCGCGCGTTCACACAAGAACTAACTTAACAGTATTTTGGATTGCTTCTGCAGGAGGCGTCGCGACGCTTCAGGAATAACTGCGGCGCGCTCGATTCGCCGGATTCACGCTCTCCCTTTTCACCGTCCACACAAATATATATATCTTCCTCTTCTCCCGCTTCATTCTGATGCCATTGGAGATCGTCCAAAAAAGTAAAATATATTATTCGGAAATAATCTCAAACTTTCCATTCATCGGAGACACAAAAAGGTGTAACGCACAACAAACTGCTCCAACTAAAGTTCACCGGGTATCATCTAATTGGATGTCAGACGATGGTCTCTTATCTCTTATTTTCCTGCAATCTTGTTCTTGTACTACAGTCGCCAATAGCACGTGCGTTTCCCATTAAATCCAGAGGTTCATGGACCAAGGTTATAAATACTCGTCTCCACCGATTTAGAAGAGACGTCGCATCCGGAATCTTGAGCTGGATTTTCCGGAAAGAAGAAACAATTTCTTCAACTATTTTCGTTGATGACTCGCCGAACTCTAATTATAATGTGCACTCTACTACTCTCTTTCCTTTTTTCGTCCGATGTTGATTACGTGCTCGATGGTAACGGTTCCTCCAACCGAAAACTCAACTATGTCCGGCGGTGGGAAAACGGTATGCCTCCTCACCTGGATTCATAATTGAACTGAACACTTTCGAATTAGAAGTCGCGGTTACGTAACATCAGCTGAGGGGGTAGAAATACCCGCGTCGGATCGATGGCGGACGAACGTTTTTGTATATGCTTGCCGCTCGAGAGACGATATTGTTATGCGATTCCACTGTCCGTAGAGCGAATTTGGCTACAAGTCCAGAAAGGAATTGGGTTAAAGATCGAACAACAACTGGGGCGTGCTCTGCTGTTTGTTGCCTTTTCCGTGCCACGGATCCACCATTATAATTAGCTTCAACTCTCGATAACTTGAAATGTTCTTATTCAATACAATAAGTAAACTAGATTGGTCACCCTCGCCTTGAAAATCACAATAATTTTCTACTTTCATCATTAATCTTGTTTGCATGCAAATTGGTCAAGAAAGTCGAGTAACTTGTTAATGCAGACTTGTTTCTAATTTGCACCAGCAATAAAAATAACAATATTATAATCAACATTACTTTCACAACGAAACGTTTCCCTAATAAACTAGTTATTTCAGTTTTAAATATCAATAATATATTAATTGCATAGACTGGCATTATTGATTCTGTTTAAAATATTCGAAAAGCAGTTCATTCAAGTTTACCCCTCGTTTAAAAATAAGTTTTATTTACTTTTCAGCAGATGCTTCGAAACGTACTTAAAGCGGATTTTACTTTTGCGTAACAAAAGACAAAGTGAATATACAAACACCAATTACGCAACTCGATCTTTTATTTCTTTTTAGGTCCTATTGAATTCTTATTTATGTTGTTTTAATTCTTCCGAGCAACGATTCAGAAGAAAATTTAAATTAAAATTCCCACCGTCCAAGGACGACAAATGTTCCATTTCGTCAGAGTTCTATTTAAAACCACCATAGTACTGTCGGCTAGAGTGCACAGCGAGTGCGAATTATATACATTTGGTCTACGGGTTACGCAAACCCGAAACAATTACAATTTGTATCAAACAAAAATTCAGTTACGGAAGAAGTTACAAACTTCTATTTTAGTCTGGTCGTTTCATTTAATTGTGTAAGAGTAAAATGCTCAATGAAATGCAATAACAAACATAAGCTTATTTACGAAATCGAAAATAATCCAAGCATATTAGCTATTAAATATTTGAAACCATCTTTTTTTTGACATTTTGACACGAAAATTTGCGAGTTACGTAATGAATCGTTGCCGTACATTTTTCCATCTGCAAAACTGTATTTAACGATTTTAAGAAATGTCAAAGAGTATATTTTAATTTGAAAAAATGTACTTATTTGATTGATGATAATCTATACATTATTTCTAAGCGCGATGAATCAATGTAAATGATCTCTTATCACTGTTTCTATTTGTATTATTATCGAATTTTATTCCGCAACAATTTTCAGCATTTGTCATGTGTGTTTTCCAGTACAATATTGAAAAAAAACAATAATGAGATGAGGAGAGATATTATTGGATAAGGATTGAGATTGCATATGGTATGAAAATTCTTATATAGATTAATGATATTAAGATTATGTGACTGACCTGTGATTGTCTCCTTATTTACGGTGGAGATCCTGGTTGTGGCCAATGGGAGGTCAGAGAGTGCGCGGCTGGCGCCACTCGCCTCCTCCTGGGCTGCCAGTTTGACCGGAAACTATGTTCAACAATCCTGCAACAAGGAAACAGCACGAGATTAATTCGCTGACACAGAACAATTTCATCTTAATCTCTTGATAATCTAATCACAAAACACACGAAAAGCAAAACAGTTTAATGTTTCTCAAACACACTGCAATTTACCAAAAGAAAAATACTGCCTCCGCAGGTCTGCCTTCCTCCAGCTAAATTGTCAGAATTGTTGCGCACCAATGGCTCGTCTAAGTTACTTGCAAGTCGGCCGCGAATCCGTACCGAAAAACTCTCATTTGAAATCGCCCGTTAATTGGATGTTGCGAAAGGTGCGTTTATGCAGCGTAGATCACGTAGTCAAAAAAAATAATATAAATCTGAATACAACAAACACAATACTTCTCTCCGCACAGTCGAAATGCATACGTTACAGTGATAAAAACCCGCGAGATAGCATTATTAAAAAGGCTTGGTTATCTACAGAATCGTAATCGTAGATAGGAACGAACCCTCCGCATCATTTTTCGTGTACTAACAACGTGAAGCGTGTCATCAGATTTGTTCTTCGCTCCAGCCTCACAATTAACACCGTCCACCTAAATCAATAGTGTGTGGGAACTTTCTGTTTGTTCGAGCATCGACTCTTCAGTAAACACACAACAGGTAATGCAATGTTATGAAATAATGCGTTTTACAGACTGATGCACTACCTGCTTATTACCAGTTTTTTTGGTAAATTCCCGAAAATTTTTGTTGCTTTATCACAATAATCAAAACTGATACGGATCGGTCCGCATCTATACTGCTACTTTCGATTAAAACACAACGTTCCTGCGGAATGTATTACTACGGTATCACTAATAACTGAAAAGAACAACAGCTTTTAGCATCAATTATATAAACTCAATTCACATTGATGGGCTAAAATAATATCACAAGGTTTCACGAATTCCTACGCTAGGGCAAAAGCACACGCTCGAAGGAAATAAGTTAATAAAGCTCTCTTTTTTTTCGATGCCGATGTAGACATTAAAAACTAAAAATAAATTCTTTATTAAAAAGAAAAGAAAATAAATAAAAATAAACAATAATTACCAAATAATAATAATTCTCCCCGAATAGTGGGAGCGACGTGGAATTATTTTGTGATTATTTTTTGGGAAGCACGACTGTTCACATCAACGGACGGACTAACCATAACATATACCATACCTTAAAAGCACATTATTCAATTATATTAGTTTTATTAGCAGTAATTTCATAAAATGCCAGTAATTTCCTTGGAACGCCAGAAATATTTAAAATACCACCGTATTGTAAACTTTTCAGGTGGAAACAAATTAATAGCATTTATTGCAACCGCCTTCAGTTAGTTAACGACATTTTTTTTTATAGTAATTATAAAATGATAGAATTTGGAACATGGTAAAAGTGTTGTAAATTTACTTTAGCATTAATCATATCAAGTTTTGGATGGCCTTAATGTAAATTTTTCACTATTATTCTTTAATCATGAAAAAGTTCATTAAACTGTTCAGAATACCCAAGATTTAAGTTAAGTAATAAGTAAGTGAAAATTTATATACTTATTATGTCACTATCTAAAAATAGCCACATACATTTGCAAACAAGTTTCACTGCAGCTTCAACATTGAAACTGATAAACACATTGTTGCAATTAAAATATATTATTTATATTTAATCAATTATTAAAATTATTTGTTTAAAAATAACAAATTATTTTATATTAAAAAAATTAATTCTGTTAAGTAGAAAGTCCTATAATTAATATAATTTCTGTCAACTGATAAACTTATGTAACTGTAAATTTAATATTTGATATTTAATGTAAAGTATCTACCAAGCAAACTTTGATTGGAAATGATAAGTAAAACTATTATTTTTTAATAGAAATAAGTTATATACTAAATATAAGCAATATATAGCTAATATAAAGATGAAAGTTAAAAAAAAAAAGAAGGTAATAAAGGAAACTACTAATTTGTTCAATTAGAAGCAATGAAAACAAATGGGAAGTCCATCCAATTTAAAAATATAAATTGATAGAAAAGTAAAAGTAAACTATTTGCATTGGGTTTAAAGCAAATGATATCACTTTACCAGTGTTTGACTGGTAAAAAAAATACCTGGGGTCACAGAACTTGGATGAATAATAATATTTACAGATACTTGTCTCATAGCTTGCTGGACTAGCATCATTTTAAGAATGAATCATCAGTTGAAAGATGTAGAAGCATATAGCAGAGTGAGGCATGGTTAGTGAAAGCATGTGTAGTCTTCAGGGGGTGCAAGTCTGTTGATTATTATCAATAGTTGTTAATAGCAACTTACTGTTTGACATTTCATAATTAAGTCCAGGACCCTTCCCAATGAATGAATCAATCATAGATTTTCCTGTCAGCTAAACTCGCCCTTTTCGGGTGGGTTCCAGAGAGCAAGTAAGCAGCCGTCGAACGCAACTTCTGTCACACGCTGTAAATCAACGCCTCGTTGTACACATAATCACACTTTTTTATTATTATTTTGCAGCATCAATAGAGCATGTAGCCCTTGCACCGAAGGATAATATCACGGGTTGCAATGCACGGACAGCTGTCAAAGCATCAAGGCTATCAGCGAGGATCTTTACTAATGCTACCACCTATGATTTCTAACCGAGAGGTGGAGCATTTGCAACTAGCTTCACTCCAATACAAATTTCTCGCACAAATTGCCATCATCACAGATTCAACGAGTTTTTTTTGTTAAAAATGATGCAAACTCACACATACATTAACTATATGTAATAATTGCTTCGTGTAACATTTTTTTAATTTCGCTGAAACACGCTCAACTGTCAGTTTTAAAGAAAGAGAAGTTAATTGCATTAATCAGGTATTTGAAAGCGGAGGAGAACGCCAACCTGACGCAATTGAAATTTACCAAAATAAGGAAGCATTTTGCGAAATTTTGTGAAAAGCTATGAATACCAGGATCATGTCTGGAAAATTTGCAGCGATCGCGAGAAACCCCTGTTGCAATTCCTTTCTTCCTTATCCGTTACGCACTTTCGTCCGGATTGTTTAAACAATTGTTTACCGATGTGTTTCGGTTCCCGATTGTTCCTCATTGTCTTTGCACAGTGGTCAAGATGCACCCTTCGGCGATAGGGGAGATGAAATTCGCGTCTCGAAAAATATAGGGGAAGTTTAATTTCTTAGTTGGCGAAAAGAAATAGGTTATTGATTAAAATGAAAAGGTTTAGTTTATTTTTATGTCTGAGAAATATGGTCTTCCATTTAATACGAACCGAGTTCTCGTGACTTGATTCTTTTTGTTGTTGTTGTTGCTGCTGCTGTTGCTGTTGGGTACAAGTCGAGGAAGGCGGGAAGCGGGGTTGGAAGAGGATAACAATTATGGTCCTGAAGACGGCCGTGATAGTGAGTAAAAAAAGCTAGATCACTTATCTGCATAGTCTGTGTTTCGTGCAATGGAATCAAGCGGTGATGAGCAGCAGTTTTGCCTGAGGTGGAATAATTTCCAAGCGAATATAACATCGCAGTTCGAGACCTTAAGAGATGATGAGGATTTTACCGACGTTACCATCGCCTGCGAGGGTCAGAGGCTTCAGGCCCACAAGGTTGTGTTGTCCGCGTGCAGCCCATACTTTAAAGAACTTTTCAAGGTAACGGAGGAAATTGAAACCATTGCTCCTTCACCGAGAGTGAGAATAACGATACTTTATCTTATATTTGTAGAATAATCCCTGCTCGCATCCGATTATCTTCATGCGGGATGTAGAGGCGAAGCATGTTGTTGCGCTGATGGAGTTTATGTACGCGGGGGAAGTCAACGTCGCTCAGGCTCACCTCTCGGCCTTTCTTAAAACCGCTGAATCACTTAAGATCCGAGGACTCACGGACACGACCCCCATTAAAGAAGATGTATTTAAATTATTAGTATTTTTTCCAGAAACAGCTTTCATCATGTAAATCATTTTTTGCAGCAGTTGTACATGAAAAGTAATCTGGAGAAATCTATTCAGGGCAATAGCACTGTTACCTCAAGTCAAGATCTGCTGGCCGGATCCTCTACTCCCCCTCCCGCCGCCAAGAGACAGGGCAACCCGGAAGCGGAAAGCAACGAATCCGATCTGCTCAAGCTCAAAGAACTTAACGATGCAATCATCGCGAATCCATTTGAGAATTTGGATATATGCGGTCCGAAGGTAGAATTGCCCGATTACCTCAGTGACGAGGATAAGGAGGATGCTCGCAACTACTACTTGAGCAGTATCAACAATCTAACTGGTAACGTGATAGATGTTTAATTGGCAAGATCATATAAGACATTTTATTTTTAGGAGGAATGGAAATTATACCGCAGAATAGTTCAAAGGAATCGTCGACGGAGAGTCTATTAGGTGGGTAGTAGAAGCTGTAGGTGATCAAAATGAAAGTATTGTTACTAGGGCTAGGGTATTTTCAATATTTGACCCAAGCGTTCTATCTCGGTATAAACTTGACATTAGATAATAGCTGTATGTCTACTTCAAGAGGGAGAGTATCAAACTGATGATAGATACTAAAGTGAGCACGTAACTGAATGGTATAGAATTATTTGGTCAGAGTGATGTGTTTTGCAACTGCACTGTTCTTGCAACAAAGCGAAAAAAAAAACGTAAAAAAGTATTTGCTATCTTTTCCGAATGATGTGAGTTGTTTTGTTGCAGGCGCAGACAGTCGCAAATTGCACTCGCTGGAGCCTAGGCCGTGCGAGGAGTGCGGCCGTACGTACAGCAACCTTTCGAACCTTAGACAACACATGAAACTGATACACTATCCGACGTTTGTCTCGTGTCCCATTTGCGCGAAATCCTTCAAAACAGATCTGTACTTGAGGCGACACATGGGCACAGCGCACGAAATCATCAACTGCAAAAAATTGGAAACGGAACACACCACGATCAAGACGGCCTATCGCATGGACAAGCCGTCTTCGCGCATCGCCAATAGAATGAACAGACCTAGAAAGAATGTCGTTTATTAGTTTTATTATTTGATTTTTTTTTTAATGAATTTATTATGTTCATTTTATTTCTATTTTTCTGACTGTAAATATAAAATGCGAAGAACATGAACTTAAACATATTGAATAAATTTTAAGATAATCTCACAGCGCATTCTTGGTGTTATTTCCATGTAGGTCCGATACGGCTCAGACGTCGGAAGAGTTCGGATCATTGGGTTGGCCCTTATCAGCAGGCGAGGACGGCATCACCTGACGTCATCTCACGTCTGGTGGCGGGTCATCCGGGGGATGATGATAAGAGGAATAGACTGGTAAATGATGTCTTCGTGCTGCTGGACTTCCAATTAGCATATGCTTGCATCTAGGTAAAACTGGGTGAAGGTATCGAAATATACGAGGAGCAATTGCGGAGCGTCAAATGGAGCGACTACAGAAAGTTAACTCGTGGTCTGGCGACCATTCTCTTCAGTCCTGCAGAGCTGGCAACTTGCTCAGTGACGGGTCAGAGGTGGAGCAGAGCCGGAAATGTCGAGAGGCCGGTAAAGCCGGCGTTGGACCGCGCTAAAGTCCAGGCCATCATATGTAATTTTTGTGTAAACGCCCGCGTTGCCGAATTAATTAACCCTCGTTATTTTAATCGTTACAGCTTACGTTGCCACCAGATTTCCGATGATCGAGATCAGCAGGATCAAGCAAGTGCTGGCCTACAAGTGCAAGGAAAACTCCACCGCTTTCAAGATGAAAGCGGTCAGATACTATGGGTGAGTGTAGCTGCTGCAGCTCGACAGGACCATACAATCATTTTTCCATTTTGCCTGCTTTCTCTATAAGCGATAACCACATTCGAGATCCGGACAAGAATTAATTAGCCCATTGGAATACTCCAACAATGTTATTTTTCAAATGTTTAATAATTAAAAAAAAATAAGCAAAAGGAGAAACGATAGGTAAGTGTTTAGAAATGTCGAGAAACTAACCAAAATGCAGTGAAAAATTGTGTCAAAATGTATAGTAAATATAGTTTGTTAATGATATCCAACGATCATATGTTTTATAAATAATATATTATATTGTTTAATTATAATTTTTATTAACCAATAAAAAGAATATAACTTCTAACGGACTAATAATATGTTATTCCTTCTCATATATGCCTCCTTAGAATATATTTATAAAAATATTTCCTAATCTACTTTCAATCATTATTTTAACATAAAGTATATAAAACAAATATATGAAGTATATCAATACTCTTCGATTTGTAAGACGATCTTTTTCTTCTTTCCATCACCACTTCGCTGATCTTCTAGGAATTTCTTCATGAACTTAAGATCATCATCAGAATCATCAGACTCTTTATTATTCTGTTTAGAATTAGATGCTTTTTTGTGGCTGTTCTGCGATTTTTTATTTATCTTTCCGGTTTTCGCCTTTGGAACGGCACCACGTGGATTATTAACCGGAAGACTTAAAAGAGACGGAATATTTGCTTGATGCGAACGACCTTTCTGCTGTATAGATCCACCAGACTTCTCATTTTTACTCAAATTGTTTTCCATTTTGTTCGTTTTATTATTATATACCTTCGAATTGCCGGGGAGTGGATGATAGTTTCCCGGATTACTGTTGTTTGGATTGAAGTTTTGCGGATAATTGTTGATTGAATCGAAGTTTCCCGGATAATTGTTGTATGGATTTAAGTTTCCCGGGTTATTGTTGTATGAATTCAAGTTTCCCGGACTAATGTTATATGGATTGAAGTTTCCCTGGCTATTGTTGTATGGATTAAAGTTTCCCGGATTATTGGTTTGTGGATGAAAATTTGCCGGATTGCTGTTCATTGGATTATGGTTGTACGGATGGTTTCCCTGCATACCATGGTATATATTGTAGTTTTCCGGACTGATATGGCGTGGATTGAAATTTCCAGGACTGTTGTTGCGTGGATTGAAGTTTCCCGGACTGTAGTTACGTGGATGAAAGTTTCCCGGATGGTTGTTACGTGGTTTGAAGTTTCCCGGATTATTGTTGCGTGGATTGTTCCCTTGATTACGCGGTGCTTCATATTTCATATGCTGCGAAAAGGGCTTTTGGTTTTCCTGTTTAATTAATCCAAACAGCTCCTTGATACCAGCACCATCTAAATTCAAATTCCTCAACTTTTTCTGCAAGTTTTCCAATTCCTGTTGCTTCGTCTTATTTTTCGGTTTCTTTATATTTTTGGGATGACAGTATTCCATATTGTGTTCCATTTCCTTTTTACGCTCATTCTCCTGGTGCTTATGGAGATCCTTGATTTTCTTACCGGTATGTCGTAAATCGTATAAATTCTGGATACATTTGTATACATCCGTTGAATTTACCATGCAAACATTTGGATCTATTTTCAGTGCATCTTTTTTGGCAGACTCCAGTATTTTTTTCTCCATTTCGTGTCTCCTCTTAAGGTATACGTAACGCTTAATAATTTCAGCATCCTTATGCGAACCTAGTTTGTTCTCTCTGTCGATCAAGTAGTCTATGTAGGTAATGTACGAGTCGTTGTAGATTGTAATTGAGTTGTTCATGAGGTAATGTGCAAATTTGGCCATTGCAAGAATGATAGCATCCCTTTCCTCCTCAAATTCCGTGCTGCGTTTCTTTAGGTCTTGAATGATCTTGTACAATGCCTTTATCCTATCATCAGTAGTAGTTATTGTTTTTTTCACAGATTTATCTTCGATTTTATCAGAAATCAGTTCCGTTTCATAGTTGATGTGTTGGTGAGCGAGATAACTGCATTTGCATACAGTGCAAGTCTGAGTTCCTGCCATCGCTGCGCATTGCATCAATTCGGGAGCTCCGATTATTTCCGCGGTTACATTCGTTAGGTAACAAGGATTGTGGCACCTCGTCTTGTAGTGGTACTTCGTTATGCCGTAAACCGTACAAGTTTCGCTGCATTTTACCGAAGTACAAACTGTGACCGGTTGATTCAAAGATTTTTGTTTAAGATTGACGCACGGGATGTACAGTTTCTTCGTCAACTCGTCGTTCGTTAGTTCTGAATCCAGTAAAATCTTTTGGTGGCGGTTTAGTACAGTCAGATTGTCCTGGATAAGATCCGCGATGTCTGCAAGCGGTTTGCTCAAGTCAATAATGAGTTTCCGGGTCTCATTCACAGATAGAGTTTTCTCCGTGCTATGAGGAGTCAAGCCCTTTCTGTTCATATCCCCCGAAATGTAGGAGAGCATATTCCATAAGCTGTCCACGGACGTTTGCCAGCTCTTGGTGAACTCGCGCTGCTCGCAATCCCCAAATGTGATTCCATTCTTCTTGCCCACCAAATACTTGAAAGACTCGTTGTCGAAGCAGAACATGTTTTCCTTGCCGTACGGTATCTTAACACCTTGCGATTTCTTCTCGACATCTGCCAACACCTTGCCGAGCGAGGTGCGCGTTTCTGCGGGTCTGTAGAATGAGCATCGGGTGCTGGTAAATACAAAAATGATGTTTTTCGCTGCGGACTTGTCCAGACGCGAAAGCAAATGGTTGATGCAGAATTCGAAGTACGCATTGATCACGGAGACGTCGGGCCTTAACAGAAAGCAGATCGCGTGCAGCTCCGGAAAACGGCTGATGTATGACAGGATGTTTTCGAAGTTTTCTTTGTCCTGGTCCAGACCCCTGGAATCGCCGATGCCGGGTGTATCGATCAAACGAATCTTGACGTCCTGTCCTTGAATGGGAAATACGTAAGCTCTGGTACCTAAAGAAAACAAAAAATAAATAAATCAAACAATGAAATAAAATAAACAATTGGTACAAAAAAATAAATACTGAATTGCTTTTTTTTATTGCATTCCCTATGGTACATTGTTAAAAGTCAATACAGTGGAACCTTTTTTAATCCGTTCCAAAATTTCCGGATTTTTACTCTATAGTGAAACATATTTAAAAAATACACATATGTCTACACAAGTTTTAAAAATTATGTATAGCAAGCGCAACTTCTTTTCTCATCGTCACTTCTTATGCGAAAAGTCGGTCGTTAAGGGAGTCATTTTTCTTAGAATTCATTTTGCTCGTTAAGCAAAATGTTCATTATGTGGGGTGCTCGTTAGGCGAGGTTTCACTGTATTATAATACATAAACAAATAAACGAATTCCATTGTCTTGAAAACACAATAGAGACTACCATAAAGTCTCCAAATATATAAGTCTCTGAATGAGCAAAAGCAAATCAAGTTTGAATTCTCGTGGGAATTAATTTAAAAAAATGAGCATAAGATTAGCTGACGCGGTTTCAGCGCGTTCCGCGAAACACAAATAGACAAAATTATGTTTATACATATAATCAGTGGCGGGAGGTGACTTTTCAACCAGTGGATGCTGTACAAAAACAAAATCACTGTGTAGATTCAATATATTTTGATTCGTGATGCTCACTGTCCTTGTTTTGTAAAAAAAAACAGATAGTTTACTAATTTCGATAAAGTAACTTCCTTGCTGTACATTACATAATCTTTTTCATTAGAAAATATGCAAGATTGAGAGCATTCGTGTCTCTTGCATGCTTTACTGATGTTGCAAAATGAGCAAATTCACAAATCCAAGCATTTTTTTCGTAATTTTCTCTATTAAAATATCTTTTAATTATTTGATTGAGACCGAATACTTAATATTGGTACGGGTTTCGGATTCTTGACAACAATCTCTTTTTCATTAAACGGGAGAGAAGCAAATCTTCTTTTAAGCATATTTTCAATTAAAAAATTGCAATTATCCACCTTCATTCTTTATTTGGTTTTCCATAATAAAGGCAACAATAAATGATAATTTTAACACGGATGTGGTAATTGTGGTGGAACAGTACAGTAAAAGTACAGGTATCCCCCGACTTACCAACAAAATTCTAAAAGCTCTAACTTGTTACAAGGAGATATATAGTGATAAAAATTAACTGTCCAAACAAAAATTGATAATTTCTTTAATAAAATATAATATTGTTGGAAGATGTACTATCTGTTTTGTTGCATTTGTTTCTTTCATCGTTTTTTATTAAATGATTGTGATGTCTACATAGAAAAGTATTTTGTTTATTTTAATCTATTTTTTGAAATTACGGAATAATACATATATAAAATAAAGAAATGTAAGGGATTTGAGCCGGAATCACAATAAACAAAACCATCCATTCCGTATTACATTTCGTGGGAACGCTTAATCATCAAATATAAATAAAGCCCTACTCCCAATCACAATTCCCATACTACAATACTAAGAATTTACCTCGTAAGCATATGTATTTAGAATCAATCTCAGAGGAATACACTTACAACACGCACGGTGAAGTCCCTGAGTTTACGCCTGGCTCCATTTGTTTATATTACTTGTATCGATTCTTGTACTTTTGATAAATGTTTATATAAATAAGCATATCGACTAAAAGAGGTTTCTTAAACATAGTTTATATACAGCAAACACAAATTATATTAGTCAAAGAGTACGCTTGTTATAATCATACTTAAACACAGATGACAAAAAAATCAAAGATGTTTAATATATTCATAGTACTAAAACAGAATGTTATTATCGAAAAAAACCCTTTTATTTATCAGAATTTTTCCGCGGCGCCCCAAGTCAAAACATTGGTACATCTCAGGGCAAACTTTATGTTAATAGTATTTTTTTCAATTATCATATTGCTTTGCTTGTAAATTAATTTCTACTAGTGATGCTTCATGAGGGTAAGATGGATTTTGTGATTTGTCTTATTTAAGACAGTGAATCAAAATGCACGAACGATCTCCAATACATTTAAAAGAAAATTGAAAGTGACCTTTGGATACAAGTTCGCCGTAGAATAGTTTCTTTTATATTTGGTTCAACATAATTTAGTTTTCCGACGATCTTCCGATTCTTTTGTTGAGTCCAACCATTATTATTATAATTGTTATTATTAATACAGTGTATTAACAAACTAGAGACATCCACGGCATCTCTTAGTCGCATTATTATATAAACATATACATCAGCATAAAATAAAGGAAGCTCCACCGTGATCCCAGTTAGATCATTTTAATATAAACAAAGGGGACCAAGCGTAAACATTCCCATCGATACTTCTATACCTTTACTCGGAATTCAAGTCCTTATTATAAACACATAATGATCGCTACACATACAATCGTAATCGATCATCTTTTTCATATAAACAACAAATAGCATAGGATTTTGTCCCGGTCTTATAATAAACAAAACTACCAAGGCCGATTCCCGTGGGAACGCTTAATCATCAATATATACAAGCCCTACTCCCAATCACAACTCCCATCCCGTATTAATAAGAATTAACTTTGTAAGTAGAATAAGTATTTAGAATTAGTATAGTAAAAAGTATCTACATTGTCTTGGAAAGGACCCCAAGAGTGCCAATTATTCCTACAGCAGAGACTCCACAACGACAACACCAGACAATATTCCACTGTGTCCAGAATTCCATCACAGGGACTCGACACTTTATTCAAATTTTTTTTTGTTTGATTTAATTTATTGCAACATTTAATCCAGTTTTAAATGATCATTTAAATTGAACATCTATAAAAAGGACACACTCAATTCAAAATGAGATAATTTGAGACCACTGGAGTGCTAAATCCGCTACTGATAACGAAAACAACTCCACTTTATGCAGAATTTCATCCCAACAAAACATCTAATGCAGGGGTCCCCAACCCTAAGCCCGCGGTCACAGTGGCGCCCGCCGCTGTGCGGTTAAATATTTGTTTTGTACATTATGTGTATTTATTTACTATGTCAGCGGTTTCCAACCTTTATTCTACTACGCCTCCCAAAAAAAATTCCGTACCTCCCTTACATTTTATTTTTTTAATATATTAAATAATATAGACACATCTTATTTATGTGAAGATATTATAGTATAAAAAATTAATTTATTAAAAAAAATTAGGCCAGCCTCCCAGGTTGGAAACCGCTGAACTATAACTTTACCTTGAAAAAATAAAATAAATGGTCCCCGCCGTCCGACTGGCATTCTAGAATGTGCAAAAAGGTTGGGGACCCCTGATCTAAAGTGTCTCCCTTATCACATTTCTTTAAAAAAGTCGAAGAGATATAAACAAAACATGACTAAAAGGTAAACAAGTATTTCTATATGCAAGCAAATCATATTAGTATCGTGTTTCAAAATTTTTATTGGATTGTGTTGAAAAGTTCATAAATCTATATACAACGGGGAAACCCGGAATTCACATGAGATAAGAAAGAAAATCAGTTTTGATTATGTGGGTGTCATATCAGTTTCTCTATTATGTCCTATTGTCTAACACAGTTAACTTCACGGCACACTGGGCAAAGAGAATTTGTTTTGCGACACACCAAATAAAAAAATCCCAACATTAAATTTTTCTGATCACGAAAGCCCCACTCTCTAATATTGTTTTAACTACAGTGGAACCTCGCAAAATGAATTGTAAGAAAAATGACTCGCATAACGAGTGACGATGAGAAGAGAAGTCCCGCATTTCGTACCTGCTACATCACATATTATGTGTATTTTTAATATGTTTCACTATAAGAGCAAAAAATCTTGAAATTTTGGAACGGATTAAACTCGGTAAGCGAGGTTCCACTGTATGTTTACACTTAGTTTGGCAGACATTAGACCAGCGGTTTCCAAACTGGGAGGCGCGGACTCTTGCCAGGGGAGGCGCCAAAATTTTTTAATAAATTAATTTTGATACCATAATA